ATTCTCGACATACCCTTTCATCGCGCCACCCCTCCTTCTTCCTCTTTCTCCTTCTCCTCCCCCCCCTTTTTTCCTTCTTTTTTTCCCTCCTTCCTTCCTTTTCCTTCTCTCTCTTTCTCCCCCCCCCTCCTCCTCCTCTTCCTCCACCACCACCCCCTCCTCCTCCTCCTCCTCCTCCTCCTCCTCTTCCCCCTTTTCCTTCTCCTTCTCCTTCTTCTCCTCCTCCTCCTCCTTCTCCTCCTCTCTTTCTTTCCTTCCCTCCCCCCCCCCCCTTCCCCCCCCCCCTTTTGCCCCCCCTCTCTTCCCCTCCCTTCTCCCCTCCCTTTCTCCTTTCCTTCCTCGCTGCTCCGAGGGAGGAGACTCCCTCGGTACCGGCGAATCTGGTGGGCTGGGGGAGGGGGGAGGTGAGGATTGGGAGGGTGGGAGGGGCGGAGGAGAAAGCTCCGCATTCGGCTGGTTTTGGAGCGGATCCAGGAGCTCCAGAGGGGGAAGGTACGTAGGCTCTTCCAACTGGAGCATAGGAGGGAGGGGATCTTGGAGCTGAAGGGCGGAACCGGGAGGGTGGGAGGCCGGTTCCAGCATAGGGGGGCTCAAGGGCTGTTCGCCAGTGAGTTGCCGTCCCTTTTTTTGTTTTGAAGATTTTTCTTTTGGTTTAGCTGCCCTCGTGGCTTGTTTTGAGGGCTTTGATTTCTTTTTAGGCGGCTCCACTGAGGAAGCGTTTGCCTGGCTCGAATCTCGCCTATCTCCAGCACGTGGAGAGGAAGGCTGAGTGAGCTCTTGGGTTGGGGAAGAATGGGAAGGGGGAGGGAGCGTCTGGGGAGCCAAGGCGCGTTCATAAAGGAGAGCTTTTAAACGATTATCTCTGCCTTTGCGGGCTCTACTGGTGAAACTTAAACATATCTCACAGGATTGGAGATTGTGAGCCTCCCCCAAGCATAACAAACATTTGGAATGCTTATCGGCCTCGGGCAAAGTAGCCCCGCAGGCCGAGCAGTTTTTAAAATACGGAGAAGACATGCTAGCCTGAATTAGAGAGTAGTCAGTCTGTCCGGGTCAGGAGTGGAGAAAGACGGAGTCAGAAGGGAAGTCCTTAGTCGAAAAAAGCCGGTAGAGAGTGGGCGAATGTTCCAAGATGCTGCCGGATTAGCGCGGAAAAGGAACTAGAGCTCACCCGCACGCGGCGGGATATATATACCGAGGGGGCGGGGAGGTGGGCGGAGCCTTAAATAATCATTTTTTATTTCATCAAACTTAGAATGTTCCGGATTTCTGCGCATGCGCAAGGGGAAACCCATAGGTGTGGATTTCGCAGAGGACACGAAGAATAAATATATATATATAGAGAGAGAGAGGGGGAATGGAGGGAGAGAGGGAGAGAGAGTCAACACTGGTATAGTCGTCATAGACTAACACCAATCCTGCTCCCCAACAAAGCAACTAATTCAGAGCCCGAGAAACTCGACAGCCATTCAAAGGCTTTTATTCCAGGAGCAATATTGTTGTATGAGCAAATGAGAGAAATTTCAAAGGACTTTTGGCTATGATTACCCCCAAGTTTGAAGTCCGTACCATTCATAACAAGCAAACAAACGAGAAAGAAAGCCAATTCAGGTCCCTCTTAAAACAGCAAGAGACATCCTTGGCCTAATACAAGATAGAGAAGAGGGGCCCATTCCTTCCCACTGGACATCCAGGGTCCGTTTACGGCCAATCCGTTTCTGCCCCCCCCCCCCAAACATCAGCGAAATCCCACTGAAGATCAGCTCTCAAAACCTCGGGTCATTTTGGGTGTCTCAAAAGCCAGGTGATTGAGGCCAGCAAGACCTATTTCATGTCCTTTGGGGAAAAGACAGCCATTCACCAACAACACTGTGCGCACTTTCAAAACAACACCCAAAGCCAAATATATGGCTCCCAAGAGTAAGGAGAATAGAGTCCTGGTGACGCCGCACATCGAGCCCATGTTGTAATGGTGGTGACCCATTTGGGTGAGAGGGCTAAGAGGGGGTCCTGTGGCCAGCTGGACTCACACAGCCATCTTATTTCTAGCTACACGAACTCCGTGAAGTCGTCCACTGAGGAGATCAGGCGCTTCCTTTGCCCCGTTTCATAGGTGGGGGCAGCGTCTGGGGGCATGTGGGCAGAGGCCTTTCCCGCGGTCGGAGGGTGCATGGCGGGGAAGCCGGAGGCCTGGTACTGGGTTTCTTCCCGGATCTGAAAGCAGAAGAAGGAGACATTGCAGTAGGAAGCGGGGTGATCATGCTTTTAGCTTCATCAGAGGCTTTGAAACAGAGACAGTCAGGAGGGTGTTGATGATGCTTTTCCTTCCTTGCTGAATAGGGATTGGACTGGATGGCCCTTGGGGTCCCGTCCAACTCTAGGATTCTATGATTCAGAGGCTATTTGGCAATCTGTCTGAAGGGCTTTGATTGAGCTTTTCCTTCCTGACAGAATAGGGGTTGGATTGGATGGTCCTTGGGGATCCCTTCCAACTCTAGGATTCTATAATTCAGAGGCTGTTTGGCCATCTGGCAGGAGGGTTTTGATGGCGCTTTTCCTTCCTGGCTGAATAGGGGTTGGACTACATGGCCTTGGGGGGTCCCTTCCAACTCTAAGATTCTATGATTCAGAGGCTGTTTGGCCATCTGTCAGAAGGACTTTGATGGTGCTTGTCCTTACTGACTGAATAAGAGTTAGACTCGATGGCTTTTGGGGGAGGGGGGGGGGAATCCCTTCCAGCAATAGGATGTGTCTTGTTTTCACCTTTTTTCTTAGATCTATGTAATTCAAGTTATTTTGCTTCCTGCCTACATAGAGAAGAGGTCAAGGCCGACTTCTTTCCAGAAATCTTTAGTGTATTCCCCTTTTGTTTGAGAAGGGAGCATCACGAGGCCTCTCTCTGCCGCAGGAGAAAACGCACAGAGAAAAGAACCAGCATCAGGGACTCTTCTACCAAAATTAAGCAACTTCCTTTTGCTCACCCGGTGCCGCAGTCTCTTGATGTGCCGCAGCCTCGCGATCCATTTGGAGGGATAGGTATCCGTGGGATTGGAGCGACTGTGATGGACGTGGGATGCCATCTGAAAGGGAAAATACCCGACAAGTTTGCATGCAACTGTACAAGCCAATGGTCTGGCCATGTAGCTATGCTGGCGTTATGGCCAATTACGTGGCTATGAAAGGAGACGCCGGCCATTACCTTGAGATGCTTGATAGCCACAGGGCTGTCCCCAAGGACTGGGCTAGAAATTGTATATAATGGAAGACCTAGAGATTCTTAGAGATGTGCTCTCTCCAGTTAAAAAATAGTGGTGTTTGAGCCATTTCCCTCCCAGTTTCATGAGGGTCCTTGTGTCCCTAAATCCCAGCAACTATGGATGGAGGGCTGTAGGCTTTTACATTTTCTTTATCCTTTCTACAATTACTTGTTTTCAGAAACCACCCTGTTCTTGATTACAGCGCTTACTGCCAAACTGCACTAAAACCTATTCCGCTATTGCACATTTCATTATCCGACTTCACATTTTTCCTGTTGAACATTTTAATTTTCTCATTGTACTTTTTATATTGTCCTGTTGCACCTTTTATTTTTTCCCATTCCACATTTAATTTTGTCCTATTTCACATTTTATTTTTCTGTTGGACATTTTAATTTTCCCATTTCCCATTTTTGTTTTCACTTTTAATATTTCCTGTTACACATCTTATTTTTCCCATCACACATTTACTTTTTCCCTTTACACATTTCATTTTGTCCTATTGCACCATTTATTTTTCTTATTGGACATTTCAATTTTCCCAAGGCACATTTTCATTTTCCTGTTGTACTTTTTATATTTCCCTAATACACCTTTTATTTTTCCTATTGGACATTTTAATTTTACCACTGCACATTTACATTTTCCAATTGTACTTTTGATATTTTCCCATTGTGGTCAACTGTGAATCGCACATATGGTAGTTTCTGCGCCTGAGCAGACAGCTTTGGAACCTTTTATTTTTCCTATTGGTCGTTTTAATTTTCCCACTTCACATTTTAATTTTCCTATTGTACCAGTACTTTTTATATTTTATTGTTGTACCTTTTATTTTTCCTATTGTACATTTTAATTTTCCTTTTGTACCTTTTATTATTCCTATTGTACATTTTAATTTTCCTTTTGCACTTTTTATATCTTCCTGTTGCACATTTCCTTTTTCCCATTACATGTTTCATTTTTCCCATTTTGTTTTTCCTAGTCCACATTTCATTTTTCCTATTGTACCTTTTAATTTTTCACCATTTCATGTTTCATTTTTCTTACTGTACAAAAGAGTACTCACATTAGCATGTAAAGCCATCTGACGGGCGACAAAGGACAGGTTTTTATCCGAGATTATCTTTGCCACGCTGGTGTCAACAAGTCCTTCCATATCTACAGATTGGAGAGAAAGAACAGAAAGTTCCCACCAAATACCTACTTATATAATAATTTCTACCCCACTTCATGTTCTGTTTCTCTTTCTTTCTTTCTTTCTTTCTTTCTTTCTTTCTTTCTTTCTTTCTTTCTTTCTTTCTTTCTTTCTTTTTGTCCCGATAGCACAAATAGCTCAGAGCAGTGGTTCCTTGTATTATGTGCAAAGTTTTGCAGGGAATCCATTTGTGTGCTTGAGAGGAAAAGGCGCAAAACGCGACTTACCTTTCCTACATTGGAGAGTCAGGAGGTTGCAGTTGTAATCTAGGGGCTTGATGACGACATGCACAAAGTTGAACTGGCCCTGAAAAGTAGTAGCAGTTGTAGTAGTAGTAATAGTAGTAGTAGTAATAATAATAATAATAATAATAATAATAATAATAATAATAATAATAGCTCAAGGCAGTGACATGAAAGAAGCCTCCCACAGGATGGTAAAACATTCGGGCGTCCCCTGGGCAATGTCCTTACAGACAGCCAATTCTCTCACACCAGAAGCAACTTGCAATTTCTAAAGTCGCTCCTGACACAAAAAATAAAATTATATATGCATATATAATATAATATTACATTATATTTATTATATATATGTCTGCCAATCCTCAGGCATATATATATTGTGGGGCCTTTCCTTTACCTTGATGGTCCCCAGTTTGAAGTCTTCTCCAGAGTCATTGTAAACAATGGAAACGAAGTCGTTTCCCAGGTGCCGTTTCTTGTTGCAGTGGTATTTGTCCAGGTCCTTGGTGGGCATCAAAGTGGCGATGTGGAAAATGGCTGCAGGGAGGGAAAGACAGCAATGAAGGCAGATGCTGAAGGGTGGCAGTAGCAGCAGCAATAACAACATGCTGGTTGGCATTAGTATTTTATTTATTTCGCGCATTTCTACCCCGCCCTTCTCAACCCCCGAGGGGGGACTCAGGGCGGCTTACAAAAAGGCACAATTCGATGCCAACACAGACAATAAGATAAAAACATATATAACAGCAATTATAAACAGTTAAAACAATCTGTTATACATCACAATCAATAAAACCAATCCTATGCTCAACGTTTGCCAGCTCAGAGTCCATAAGTTCATTCCACATTGTCAAATCCGGTCGTCCTTGTCCTTTGTCTATCTGCCAGATTACGCAAAAGCCTGGTCCCATATCCACATTTTTAATTTCCTTCTAAAAGAGAGGAGGGATGTCGATGACCTAATTTCCCCACGGAGTGAATTCCACAGGCGGGGGGCCACCACCGAGAAGGCCCTGCTCCTCGTTCCCGCCAATTTCACTTGTGATAGAGGGGGGGCCGAGAGCAGGGCCTCCCCAGAAGATCTTAAATTCCGAGGTGGGACATAGAGGGAGATGCGTTCGGACAGATATGCTGGGCCGGAACCGTATAGGGTTTTGTAGGTCAAAACCAGCACTTTGAATTGTGCTCGGAACTGGATCGGCAGCCAGTGGAGCTGACATAACAGAGGGGTAGTAGGCTCCCTGTATGACGCTCCGGTGAGTAATCTGGCTGCTGCCCACTGGACTAATTGAAGTTTCCGAACAGTCTTCAAAGGCAACCCCACGTAGAGTGCGTTGCAGTAATCTATTCGGGATGTAACCAGAACGTGGACCACTGTGGCCAGATCTGACTTCCCAAGGTACGGGCACAACTGGCGCACAAGTTTTAATTGTGCAAAAGCTCTCCCGGTCACCGCTGAGACCTGGGGTTCCAGGCTCAGCGATGAGTCCAGGATCACTCCCAAGCTGCGAACCTGTGTCTTCAGGGGGAGTGTAACCCCATCTAACACAGGCTATAACCCTATGCCCTGTTCGGCTTTACGACTGACCAGTAGGACCTCTGCAGTAGTAGTAGTAGCAATAATATCATAATCAACAACAGTATGCTGGTTGGCACTAGTAGTAGCAGCAGTTGTAGCAATAATAACAACAATAACAGCATGATAGTTGGCACTAGCAGTAGTAACAGTAGCAGCAATAAGAATAACAAGAATAAAAACAACAGCAGCAATATTCTGGTTGACACCAGTAGCAGCAATAACAACAGGAACAACAACAGGAACAACAAAAATATTCTGATACTGGTAATAGCAATAATAATAATAGCAACAACAGTATGCTGATTGCCACTAGTACCAGTAGCAGCAATAATAACAACAACAAAACAGCATGCTGCTTAGCACTAATAGTAGCAGAAATAAAATAATATGCTGGTTTGCATTCGTAGCAGCAGCAGCAGCAATAATAACAATATCAACAACAATAATAACAATAGCAACAGTAATCACAGTAACAATAATATGCTGGTTGGCATTAGTAGCAGCAGCAATAAAATAACAATAGTTGATTTGTTGTTGTTAAAAGCATTCATTATTACTACTAATAAAATTGCTATTATTAAAATAATTATTATCATCATTATTATTATTATTATTATAAATGAGGTATGTCGGGATTCATCGTTGTGTGCCTACTAGTTAGTTCCAACTGGAGGTGGCCCCATGGCCAACCTACTATGTGGTTTCCTTTGCCGAATTTCTCCAGAACGGCTCGCCTTTGCCCCCCCACCTTTTCTGCACTGCCTTTCCTCCCAAGGTACCTTGCATGATGTCGTCGTGCCAGCAGTAGGTGAACTGCCCGTCCTCCCCGCCCACGTCCAGGCCGCCCAAGTAGATCTTGTCTGGCTGACAGTCCTTGAGCTCCACCAGTTTGCCCAGGCCAGTTAGGAACTCCGTGTAGCGGTAGGAACCGTGCTCGTTGGACAGGATGGCCAGCTCATTGTGGCTCTGGATGAGGAGGAAGAGCAGGGAGGGAGACTTGCAGAATCATAGAGCAGGAAGAGACCCCCAAAGGCTATCTAGTCTGATCCCCTTTTGCCAGACAGGGAGAAACAATCAAATCCCTCCCGACAGATGGCCATCCACCATGCATATGATACATAGGTCGGCACATGATATTCTATGAAATATCTGTTAAAGATTATAGATTTGAAGGAGCCCCCTAAGACCATTTAGTCTAAGCCTCTTCTGTCAGGCAGGAAGGCACCATCCAAGCCCTCCCAACAGATGGCCATCCAGTCCATTTAAAAACCTCCAAAGAAGGAGACTCTACCAGACTTCCACTAAGGATACATTACACTAGAATTGGAGTGGACCTCAAAAGTTATCCAGTCCAACCCCTTTCTGTCATGCAGAAAGGCACCTTCAAATCCCTCCCAATAGATGATCATCCAGCCTCTGCTTGAAAGCCTCCAGAGGAGACTAACATACGCAAAGTAGAGCTGGAAGAGACTCCATGCAGTCCAACCCCATTCTGTCAGGAAAGAAGATACCATCAAAGCCCTCCTGGCAGATGGCCATCCATCTATACCCTGAGGTACAGGGAAGAGCATGAACAGCCCCTTACCTGCCCTTCTCCAACGTACAGCACTGCAATCTTGTGGGTGTCATAAGGAGGGATCTGGTCCAGGAGTTGAACGGATCTTTCAAAGGTCTGAAAATGAATAAAGGAAATGAGTGACACGAAGCGGTGAAGATGATCATATTCATTTATGACCCAAATTAGCCATGACCTATAATGCCCTAGACAACTTAGGTTCAGCCTATCTGAAAGGCCCTGTTCCCCTCTAGAAAGTATTTGGATCTATGGGGAAATCTATGGAGCCTACCTCATTTGGCAGCAAGAGGGGCTTGTTGGTTTCGTCACCAAAGAAAGGAGAGTGGTACAGCTGCAGGAACACAAAGCTGAGGAGAGAAACAACCATGAAGCTCCATTTAAGGACATTTGATGTAAAACTGATGGTTCTCTGTTGGCTTAGAGAAGCAACAAGAGCCAAGGGATTTACAAAAACTCTCTTATCCTTAGACATACTGCAAAGAATGCATGCAACCAGACCCATTGCCTTAAACTGGAAAATCCAATCGATTTAATGGTTCAGGTATGACAATATTGAGCCTCGTAGCTCCTTTGCCATATATGGTCTGTTTAATTCTATTTGTATGCTGTGGATTTTCCGTTGCACTGTTTTTTAATGTTGCGAGTTGCTCTGCATCTCAATCAAGAGATAAAGGCAAGAAATAATAACAATGATAAAATAACAATAACAACACTCATAAACAACAACAATAATAAAATAAGGTCCGTAGACACCTCCAAGGTCATGTGGCCTGCATAACTGCATGGAGCGCTGTTACCTTCCTGCCGGAGCGGTACCTATTGATCTACTTACATTTGCATGTATTCAAATTACTAGGTTGGCAGAAGCTGGGGCTAACAGTGGGAACTCACGCCGCTCCCTGGATTCGAACCTGTGACCTTTTGATCAGCAAGTTCAGCAGCTCAGGAGTTTAACCCACTGCGCCACTGGGGGCTGCCAATATAAGGATAATGATAATAATACTGTATTTTTTTTCATTTTCAAGATGGACCTTCCCCCATATAAACATCTCTAAAAATAGGGTGCATCTCAATATTGTGAGCCACTCTGCATCCCAATCAAGAGATAAAAGCAGGAAATCATAATAACAACAAAAACTGCAATAATAAAGTAACAACAACAATACAAAATAATAATAATAAGATATTGCTCCAATTCAAAGATGCACCTTTCCCCCATATGAGTATCTCCAAAAATAGAGTGCATCTTAGAATTGCAGGTGCTTTTCTTATATATCAACAAACCTCTTTTTTTCCTGAAATTAGTGTGTGCCTTACAATTGATGGCTTCTTAGAATAGAAGAAACACGATGACGATGATGATGATGATGATGATGATGATGATAATAATAATGTATTTCTTCAATTATAAGACACCAACAATTGTAAGGCGCATTATAATTTCAGGACCACCCCTGCCAACAAAAATACATAAGATAAGCCTGCAATTCTAATTTACGCAGAGCAAAAGGTGCATCTTAAACTTGAAAATTATTATTAATAATATTTTTTGTGTGTGTCAGGAGAGACTTGAGAAACTGCAAGTCGCTTCTGGTGTGAGAGAATTGGCCGTCTGTACCCAGATGTTTGTTTTACCATCCCTGTGGGAAGCTTCTCTCCTGTCCCTGCATAGGGAGCTGGAGCTGACAGAGGGAGCTCAACCCGCTTTCCCAGATTCGAACCGCTGGCCTGTCGGTCAGAAGTCCTGCCAGCACAAGGGTTTAACCCATTGCACCACTGGGGGCTCCATTATTAATAATAATTACAATAATAATAACATACTTCTTCTATTGTCAGATGGACCTTAATTTCAGAACCACCACCACCAACAAAAATACATAAGGTAAACCTGTGATTCTAATGTGCACCCCCTTTTAAGAGATTTTATATAGAAACAAAGTGAAAAAAAAGGTATACAGGTGGTCCCCAAGTTACCAACATGATAGGTTCAGTACATGTGCACTTAATTTGAATTTGTTTGGAAGTCGGAACAGGGACATTTTTGAGGTGTAACTCCAACTCTACATCTATATCTATCTATGTTTGAATAGCATAGGCTGTTTGTTTTGCTGCTGTGCTCTAATTGAGAAGAGTTCACCACACTTTTCTGTCTCTGTGATAATTAGATTTTGAGAAATTTGACTTGCTATGGAAACAAGGATTGGAAATAAAGCTTCAGTGGAGAGCCCTTTCCCCCATGATAATAACTCTTCCAGGAGTGAATTTCCCTTCCAAGGGATGAATTCCTCCCACTTCCTGTTGTCTCAGCCCTGGTCTTAACTTGGACTCTGTAAGTAATATGTTTGTAACTTGAGGACTGACTCTATATGGGGAAAAAAGTGGAAGAAATGTAGTATTCCTTTTTGGAGAATGAATGGGATCTTTCTGCAGGTGCTCCAGGCCAAAGCCGGCCTTCAGGCCTCACCTTGGGTTGATCCCGGGCACCTTCTCTGCATTGGAGGCAGCGGCAGCAGGGGTGGCTCTGGTCCTGAAGGGCTCCCTCTCAGCCCTTTTTCCGCGCCGGGAGGGGGCCGAGTCGGAGATGGTGTATCCTCGGGGCCGGTGTCCAGTTGGGGAGTGGGGCAAAGAGGTAGGAATGCCTCCCATCACCCGGGTCCCTCCTCCTCCTCCTCCTCCTCCTCCTCCTCCTCCTCCGGGAGCATCCCTCTCCTCCTCCACTACTCCCCTTGCCGTCCATCCAGCCACCGCTTCTCTCTCCAAGGGTCCCGACTTGACTTCACCACCGCTCATCTTCCCAGAGAGACTTTCATGACTGGGTTCCTTGAGGGCCTCCTGGAGGGTCTGGAGCTCCGGTGAGGAGCTGGACTTGCTGAGGGGCTGTGAGGGCTGGAAGGAGAGGGCCTCCAAGGCCCGGCGGTCTTCCAAGGGGCGGCTCCCCTCAATGGGGATGCCCAAGGAGCTCAAGTCTTCTGGCTTCAGGGATTTCTCCTCTTGGCTGGAAGTCGAGGAAGACTGCAAGAGGAGGAGCAGGAGAATGGGATATAGCCCTTCATCAGCAACAACAAAGAGCGAGTTGCTTTATAGGCTAAAACTCTATAGAATCACAGAGCTGGAAGAGACCCCCAAAGGCCACCTAGTCCACCTCCTTCTGCCTTCATGCAGGAACAGCACCATCAAAGCACCACCGACAGATGCCCATCCAGCCTCATAGACATTAATGGGTTCATGGAGAAATAGGACTATAACAGAATCCCAGAGTTGGAAGAGACCCCCAAGGGGCATCCAGTCCAACCTCCTTCTGCCCTCATGCAGGACCAGCGCAATAGACACTAGCGAGTTCATGGAAAAAAACAGATACCGTATATACTCGAGTATAAGCCGACCCGAATATAAGCTGAGGCACCTAATTTTACCAAAAAAAACTGGGAAAAAGGATTGACTCGAGTATAAGCCAAGTGTGGGAAATGCAGCAGCTACTAGTAAATTTCAAAATAAAAATAGATACCAATAAATTATAAGTTGCTTACCTGTAACTGTAGTTTCCTGAGTAGTCACCTGTGAATTCGTACATTTGGTATTCACACGCATGCGTGGTACAGCCTTCGGAACCTTCTAGAAAGTAAAATAACAATTTAGACCCCAGCTAGACCCGCCCACCCTCTCCCCGAGTATAAGTAGCCTGTGGGCGGGGCTAGCCAGCAGTTCTCTTCCGCCGCAAAGCAGCCAGAAGGCGTGGCATGTACTCGAGGGGAGGATGGGCGGGTATGTACGAATTCACAGGTGACTACTCAGGAAACTACAGTTACAGGTAAGCAACTTATAATTTCCTGTCGTAGTCACTGTGAATCGTACATTTGGTAGATTAGCGAGCTACTAACCGTGGATGGTGGGCGTCATGCCACAGCCGAAAACAATACAGCTCTGCCAAATTGAGCATCACGCCTGGACACAACATCCAATTTATAGTGTGTTACAAAGGAAAGCGGTGAAGACCATATCGCTGCCCGGCAGATAGCATCCAGAGGGACTTCCTTCCAAAATGCTGCAGACGTAGCCACAGATCTCGTTGAATGACCTCTAATGGGACGGGGCAAATCCTTGCCCGCCAGTCGATAACACAACTCAATTGTGGACACAATCCAGGACGATAGTCTCTGGGATGAGACGGGCATGCCCAAGACATCCGAACGGTATTTGACAAACAACTTGGGAGTCTTTCTAAAGGATGCCGTTCTGTCCACATAAAAGGCTAAAGCTCTGCGAACGTCGAGCAAATGCAAATTTTTTTCCAGAGAAGTGGTGGGGTTCTGGAAGAAAGAGGGCAGTATCAGGTCCTGGGAAATGTGAAACTTTGTAGACACCTTAGGTAGGAACGCTATATCAGTTCTCAAAACTGCCTTATCTTTGTGAAATCTGAGGTACAGAGAATCCGCCCTCAAGGCACACAGTTCGCTAGCTCTCCTGGCCGATGTTATAGCGATTAAAAAGGCTGTTTTCCATGACAGGCAGAACAAGCTGGCCGACGCTAGGGGCTCAAAAGGGGCTTTCATCAGTGACCCAAGTACCAACTCCAAGCTCCAGGAGGGGGCCACAGGTGCCACTGGGGGTCTAGTATTCATGATTCCTCTTAAAAAAGTCTTTACAAGGGGATCCAGAAAACAAGAGGGGAGGCCAAATTTCCTACGAAACCAGGAAATAGCGGCCAAATAACATTTTAATGATGGGTAAGATAGTCCCGCATCCAATAGTGATACCAGAAAATCTAACACTAAAGAGATGGGAGCAGTGTCAGGGTTTGCTCCCCGCCCCTTCGCATAAGAGGAAAACCTCGACCATTTGTACAGGTAAGATCGCTTCGTGGATGGCCTATGAGCTGCTTCGATAATACGGAGCACTGAGTGGGATAAATCAGAAAACGGGGCTACAGTTCTGGGAGGATCAGCCAGGCAGTGAGTCTCAGTCTGTGTACCTCTGGGTACAACACCCGGCCTCCCTGCGATGTTAAGAGGTCCGTCCTGTCTGACAGGCGGGTGAACACTCCCTTCGCCATCAGGCGCAATGGCGCGAACCACGGTTGCCTCGGCCACCACGGGGTCACTAGTATGCAATGTGCGTTTTCCGCTTGGATCTTCGCAACTACCCTCAACAGGAGCGGAAAGGGAGGGAACGCATAAGTCCTGCGGCCCGTCCAGGTGTGGATGAAGGCGTCTCCTAGACACCCTTCCTGAGGCGACGCATGTGCTCGTGCGCAGAAGAGAGGGCACTTCGAATTGGACCGCGTCGCGAAGAGGTCCAGTTCTGGGGTTCCCCATGCCTGGAAGAGTCTCCGCACCTCTTCTTGGTTCAGGGACCATTCGTGATGTGTTAGCGGGTTCCGACTCAGGGAGTCTGCTAGCAGGTTCAGTTCTCCCGGCACATGGGTTACAAGAAGATGAATCTCCCTGTCTATACACCATTCCCATATTTGTATTGAAAGGCCAAGGAGGGTGTGGGAATGTGTGCCTCCCTGCTTGTTCAGGTAGTACATCACCGTGGTGTTGTCGGTGAGAACGTGTACTACCTGACCTGTGACCACCCTCTCGAAGGACTTCAGGGCCCTGTCGACGGCGAGAAGCTCTAGCGCGTTTATGTGAAGAGTGCTTTCTTCTTCTCCCCACACGCCCCGAGCAACTAGGCCTTGAGAGTGAGCCCCCCAACCCGTCAAAGAGGAGTCTGTGGTGACTGTTCTCGTGGCTCGGGGGGCGTAGAAGGGCATTCCCGCACAAGCCCATTCCGGATCCATCCAGCATCGGAGCGAGCAGCGGACCCACGAAGGAGGGGACAGTCTCACGGCCGGATTGTCCACCAACGGGTTGAACTCGGAGAGGAACCAGGATTGGAGTAGCCGCATACGCAACCTGGAATAGCGGATAACCGACGTAGTCGATGCCATGTGCCCCAGTAGCACCTGGAAATGTTTGGCTGACATGTCGGGTGCCGTGATGGTTAGGCTGATCAAGTCACGCAGGTTGGTGAAGTGGTCCTCGGGCAGAAACGCTCTCTCGGCGACGGAGTCCAGAAGAGCCCCGATGAAGTGGTTGCGTTGTGAAGGCATCAGCACCGACTTCTCTCGGTTGAGTACGAGGCCCAGCGACTGAAGAAGAGACAAAACCATGGACACATGTTTTTGAAGCACATAACGGGATCTGGCCACTATCAGCCAGTCGTCAATATACGGGTAGACTGTCACGCCCCTCGTCCTAAGGTGTGCAGCCACCACCGCCATGCATTTTGTAAAAACCCTTGGGGCAGCGGAGAGGCCGAAAGGTAGGACGTTAAAGCAATACGTCTGGCCATTTACTCTAAAGGAGAGAAATCTGCGATGGTGCGGGGCAATAGAGATGTGGAAGTACGCATCTCTAAGGTCAACGGTCGCAAACCAGACCCCCCTGGACAGGAGAGGGGTTATGGAAGCAAGAGTCACCATTCGAAATCTCTTTGGCTTAATATGTTTATTTAATGCCCTTAAATCAAGGATTGGGCGCATTCCACCTCCACGTTTATCAATCAGAAAATATCTCGAAAAGAAACAGAACGGAAAAGCTGAGGGGTCCACCAACGAGATGGCCCCTTTTTTCAACAACATCCCAATTTCCTCTAAAAGCTGAGGGGAGGAAGCAGTGTCTCTTAACTGACCCACTCTAGGGATATCCTGAAATTCAATGACATAACCATTAGAGACAATAGAAAGTACCCATGAATCCGTCATGATGCTTGCCCATTCGGAATGGAAGGGGGCGAGTCTATCTCTGAAGAAGGGGGATGGTCCAACAGGGACCTCAGTGTTTAACCCAGTAGAACAATATGGAGGAGGGATTCCCGACCAGGACTCTCCTAGGGGAGCTGGCATCGGTTCAGGTGCGCCCGTTCCTAGATCTACTACGGGAGCGTCAAAGGCGCTTCTTGGAGGCGCCTGAAAGTTTAGGTTTCCCTTGGAATGATTGCGCCCTGCCCTTTTGGAAATAAGGGGTGCGACGAGTTCCCTGGAATCTGGAACCTCCAGAAAATCTATTTCTAACGGGCACCGAAAAGGAGCTATTGAAGGGCTTGCGATAAGGGGTCGCAGACTGCTGCCACTTGTTTTTTGGCTGATTATATGGCTGCCACGTATAGCCGAATTTGTAGGCTGATTGCCTAACGTCTTGCTTTTGTTTCAAATTGTCATTGTATTGGGGTTGAAGAGGCCCTCCTCATGAAAGGGGAGGTCCTCGGCTAAGGCCTTCCCCTCCTCGGAGAGGTTAGAGGCCCGTAACCAGGCATGCCGTCTTATGGAAGTGGCAGTGGCGAACAAATTGCCCGCTGTTTCCGCCATATGTTTGGCGAAGTCCTTCTGTAGTTTCGACAACACCAGGGCCTCGCCCTGCAGCGCCCTGGGGAGACGCTGTTCCTCTACTGGCATGGACTCAATATACTGTAACATTCGGTTCCACAAAAATGATTGGTAACCGCTCATATAAGTAGCGTAGTGAGCCATACGCGTGAATAAGCTAGCTGCAAAATAAGCCTTTTTACCAAATGTGTCCAATTTCCTGCCCTCCCTATCTGGGGGGGTGGTTACTGAGTTTTTAGGTCGTTTGGACTTGGTGACTTCTGCCACCACAGTGTTGGCTTTGGGCGGCGCCAGAGCCCATTTGGCTGTACTCATGTCAATTTTATACAAGGAGTCTAATCGCCTAGGGAACGCCGGCACAGCAGAAGGAGCCATGTCTACCACCTTCGCTAGTTTCAATAGGTAGGGTAGCACAGGGAGGGCAGAGGACGAGACCACATTTTGTTCCTCCGATGGGAACATCGGGTCCTCTACATGCTCGGGCGGTTTAGGGGCAGGAATATCTAAAGCCCTTATCATCCTTTCTACCAAGGCTGCGAACTTATTAAAATCAGCAGGCAAAACAACAGAAGCATCCTCACCCCCCAAGTTTTGAGCCACCTCAGGCGGTTCCGACCCGGAGTCACTGTCCCTTGGTTCATTTTCGTCCTGGCCCGAAGTCCCGGGTAGGGCAACTGGAGCTGCCCTCAAAGGAGTCGCAGCAGCAATGTCCAGTTCAGCTGGGTGAGTGGCGGCCAAATTAGCCTGGGCCATAGCAGTAGGGGAGCTGCATAAGATCAGGTCAGCACCCCTTGCGGCATCCACCCGTGCCTCAGGGTCGAGTGACTGGTAGCCTGTGGTTGGTAGTCTATTAGCAGCTGAGCCAGCATTCCCCCTCGGGGTCGAGGCAGGGCCCGATGGAGTGGCTTGCGGAGGTTGGGCCTGCGCAGGCGAAGAGCCTTCTCCAAGGCCATTCCCTCCTTGCCCCGGTCCCGGAAGGGGAGGGGGAGGAGGAGCTGCTGCCATTGAAAAGGGGACCGGAGCCGGCACAAAGATGAGCTGGCCCGACGGGGCCATTTGCCAAAAGCCCTGCGGGGCCGCCGGCCTCGGCTGAAAACCTCTCCGGGATCGATGGGAACGCCTCCGGCATCTGGGGGAGGGAGAAGATGAGGAGGAGGACGAAGATGAAGAGGAGGAGGAGGAGGAGCACCTGGACCGCCTGCCGCTCCTCGGGGAGGCTCGGTATCGTCGGCGTCGAGAGCCTCTGCTCCTCCGCGAAGGAGATCTCGAGCGCCTGGGGCGCTTGCTGGAGCGACGGGACTCCCGGCCATCCCGCTGCTGGTCCCGGGAGGCATCCGTCACCGAGGAGCCGGTTGGCAACGGCATCTGAGCTGAGTAATCAGCTGGTCCCTCTGCAGCGGCTTGGGGGAGCTCCGGGACCGGCGGCCTCAGGGAAGGAGTCCCCAAGCTCGCCTCAGCAGCGAGAGGAGGCGGGCCATTGAAGATGCCTCCGAAAGCGCTGCTGGAGGAAGGCGCCGCTTCCAGGGGAGGAGTTGTGGGCGGAGCCACCGAGGACGGCCTCTCCTCTCTCAGCGCCGTCTCCCCGCCTCCCTCGGTCCCGGAGGGAGACAAAATAGGCATCACAGGAGTCAGCAGAGTCTCCGGCAACAGGCTCTCCGGCCTCGAGAGAGGCGTTAGGATGGGAGTAGCATCCGCTTGCTCCATATGCAAGGTAGGTGCAGCCAACGGGCAGCCCGACTGTTCACGCTGCTCCACCATTACAGGGGGAGGAGCTGAGGTGGCAGAGGAAGAAGTGGCGCTTCCCGCCCTTTTCGGAGCCGCTTTTTTGCCCAACACTGGCCGGCGGCCATCTTGTGCGGCCTTGTCTTTTGGCTTTTTAGCCTTTTTCTTGGCCAGATCTCCGGCCCGATCTAGGAAGGGCAAAACCGTCACCGCCGTGGGTGTCTGCTGCGCCGATGGCGCGGGCGGGAGCAGGGCCCTCTCGTAGAGGGCGGCCTTAAGTCGAAGTTCACGGCTCTTCCTGGTCTGCGGCGTGAAAGCCATGCAGACCGAGCAAGCTTGAGTGAGGTGGCCCTCTCCCAGGCAAGTTAAGCACAACGAGTGCCCATCCGTGTTAGGATACAAGTTGGGGCATTTGGAGCACCGCTTAAATGAGGTGGTCGCCATTACTACTTAGCGGGAGCCCACGAGTAAGCCCCAAGAGAGCCAGTTAACAGTCCGGGTCAATCGCTAGAAAACAGGGTCCAAATCACAAACCGATCTCTTAGTTCAAAGCAGTCCAGTTCAGAAATCCAGTAAATCCAACACGTTATAGAGAAGCTCGCACGGAGAAGAAGGTTCTCGGGCTGCCAACAATAGCGCGGAAAAGAGAACTGCTGGCTAGCCCCGCCCACGGGCTACTTATACTCGGGGAGAGGGTGGGCGGGTCTAGCTGGGGTCTAAATTGTTATTTTACTTTCTAGAAGGTTCCGAAGGCTGTACCACGCATGTGTGTGAATACCAAATGTACGATTCACAGTGACTACGACAGGAAAATTATATTAATTTAGGCATTAGTAGGTTAAATGTTTTTGAATATTTACATAAAACTGTAATTCAAGATAAGACTGTCCAACTCTGATTAAACCATTATTCTAACCTTCTTCAATGTAAATATGCTTACATGTCCTCCAATAATAATAAATAGAGTAAAATAATAATAAAAATAGAGTAAAATAATAAATGTAACAATAACAATAATAAATACAGTAAAATAATAAATGTAATATCAACAATAATAAAATAATAAATGTAATAATAATAATAACAACAACAACAAATTAAAATAATAAATAACATTGACTCGAGTATAAGCCAGGGGAGACTTTTTCAGCCTAAAAAAAGGACTGAAAAACTAGGCTTATACTCGAGTATATACAGTATATAATAACATTTCAACAGTTGGAAGAGACCCCCAAGGGCCATCCAGACCAACCCACTTTTCTGCCTTCATGTGGGAAAAGCATCATCAACAGAAGCCCATCCAGCCTCACAAATATTAGCGGGTTCATGGAGAAATAGGACAATAGAATAATAGAATCCCAGCATTGGAAGAGACCCCCAAAGGCCATCCAGTCCAACCCTCTTCTGCCTTTGTGCAGGAACAGCCCCATCAAAGGACTCCCAACAGATGCCCATCCGGTCTCTGTTGGGGGTGGCCACTTGTCAGGAGTGCTTTGATTGTGCTTTGCAGGTTCAAGGAGAAATAGGGTTTGAGTATCAAAGCAATTCTATAGTTGAAAGAGGCTCCCAAGGGCCTTCCAGTCCAACTCCCTTCATGCAGGAAAAGCACAATTAAAGCTCTCCTGACAGATGGCTACGTATGAGGCTGGATGGCCATCTGTCAAGGGAGGCCTCCAAAGGAGCCTCCATCTCTTGGCTTAAACTAATCATATTTCCAGACTTCGCCGTCTTGTAATGCAGAACGGAGAGGCCTTACCCGGCTATATGTCCCATGCCCTTTACTCAGCTTCTCTCCTGCGAGGAGGAGGCCTTGGTCGGAGGCTGCAGCTTCAAAGTCCTCAATTTCCTGGGATTCTGGGTGAGAGGGCTTCTCTTTCAAGTCGGCGTCTGGGGGGCTTCCTTCTTCCAAGACGACGGCAGATTCTGCAAAGAGACGGAAATGGCAAGGCTGAAAAACATGGGAAGATACTGGAAAAGTAGGGCCTCTCATCCACAGACATTCCAGTCTTTTCCTAAAGCAAGTGGGATGAACTAGCCTTTCCCATTCAAAAATCAAGAACACTTGGCTTTTGCCCATTTGTGCTTTTACCTTTGTTCTTTTATATCAGCCCCGAGATGATATATCATATTGTGTTAGCCGCACTTTGGGTCTCTTTTTATTTATTTATTTATTTATTTATTTATTTATTTATTTATTTATTATTTACTGCATTTGTTGACCGCCGTTCTCAGCCCTAGGGCGACTCACGGCGGTGTACAACATATAAAAACAGTTTACAATAGGCAATATCACAACAAAATCAACATAACTATCAAAAATACAATTACACTAAATCATCCGCGCCGTCTCATCGTAGAATCATAAACCAAACTCGTTATCCATATTCCGTTCCGATCATCATTGCCAATTGTTGTAGCACTTAGTCAAACGCCTTCTCAAATAACCATGTCTTTAGGCTCTTGCGGAATGCCATAAGGGAGGGCGCCTGTCTGATATCTACAGGGAGGGCGTTCCACAGCCGGGGGGCCACCACTGAGAAGGCCCTATCTCTCGTCCCCGCCAGACGTGCCTGTGAGGCAGGCGGGATCGAGAGAAGGGCCTCCCCAGACGATCTCAAGGCCCTCGTGGGCTCATAGGCCGAGATGCGGTCAGAAAGGTATTTTGGGCCGGAACCGTTTAGGGCTTTGTAGGCCAACACCAGCACCTTGAATTGGGCCCGGTAGCAGATCGGCAGCCAGTGGAGCTGGAACAACAAGGGCGTTGTGTGCTCCCTGCGTCCCGCTCCTGTTAGTAACATGGCTGCCGCGCGCTGGACTAGCTGAAGCTTCCGGGCCGTTTTCAAGGGCAGCCCCACGTAGGCTTTTTATGTTAGCCACAATTTGGATCTCTTTTTTGAGAGATAAAGCTGGATTGAAATAATAATAATAACAACAACCACAGCAGCAGCATTCTCCTTTCCTACTTCACTGGCCAAAGGTCAAGAACTTTACTTTTGCCCTTTTGTATTAGCCACACTTTGGGTCTCTTTTTAGAGATATAAAGCTGGATTGAAATAATAATAATAATTACCACCCCAAAGGGAAACCTTTACCTTTACCCTTTGAGTCTCTATTTCAAGAGGGAAAGCATGCTAGAAATAACAACAAAACAACAACTGTATTCTCCTTTCTTATTTCACTGGCCAAAGGTCAAAAACACTTTTTCCTTTCTGTGTTGTTAAAGGAGGGCTCCTAAATCACATTTGTTTCTTTATATCAACCTCAAGGCTTTTTTGTGTCAGGAGCAACCTGAGAAACTCCAAATCACTCCTGGTGTGAGAGAATTGGCCATCTGCAAGAACATTGCCCACAGGGGACGCCCAGATGTTTTACCATCCTGTGGAAGGCTTCTCTCATGTTCCTGCATGGGAAGCTGGAGCTGACAGATGGGAGCTCACCCTGCTCCCCAGATTCGAACCGCCGACCTTTCAGTCAGCAGACCTGCTGGCAAAAGGGTTTAGCCCATTGCAGCACTAGGGGCTCCATATCAAAACACAGAATTCATTTGTTTTATATACATTCAACCCTGTATATAAAACAGGGTTGAATGTATATAAAACATAAATGAATTCTGCGTTTTGATATGGACTCCATCCTCAAGATACTTCATTAAGAACACATAAGAAAATAGAGGTACGCCAAAATCTGGGGGACAGGGACCCCAAATGATTCGAGTCCCAAGCATTTATCCCAAACAAAGGATACCCTGAACCGGTGCTTGGCTGCTGTGACGGACTGGATGAGGGACAACAGATTGAAACTAAATCCAGACAAGACAGAGGTACAATTGGTCAGTCGTAAGGCCGAACAGGGTATAGGGTTACAGCCTGTGCTGGACGGGGTTACACTCCCCCTGAAGGCGCAGGTTCGCAGTCTGGGAGTTCTCCTAGATTCATCGCTGAGCCTGGAGCCCCAGGTTTCAGCAGTGATCAGGGGAGCTTTCGCACAATTAAAACTTGTGCGCCAGCTGCGCCCGTACCTTGGGAAGTCTGACTTGGCCACGCTTTGGTTACATCCCGTTTAGACTACTGCAATGCTCTCTACGTGGGGTTGCCTCTGAAGACTGCCCGGAACCTGCAGCTAGTCTGACGCTCGGCAGTCAGACTACTAACGGGCGCTGGGTACGGGGAGCACACCACTCCGCTGTTACACCAGCTCCACTGACTGCCAATTAGCTTCCGAGCACAATTCAAAGTGCTGGTGTTAACCTATAGAGCCCTAAACGACTCCGGCCCTGTTTACCTTTCCAAACGTATTCTCCCCTATGAACCAACAAGATTATTAAGATCGTCTGGAGAGGCCCTGCTCTCGGTCCCACCGGCCTCGCAAGCGCATCTGGTGGGAACGAGGGACTTCTTGGTGGTGGCCCCTCAGCTCTGGAACTCTCTCCCACTGGAGATCAGAACCGCCCCTTCTATCCTGACATTTAGGAAACAGGTGAAGACTTGGTTATGGAGACAGGCATTCGACGAGTGAGCCAACACCCTGAGATATGGATGGAGGATGATGAGCAACGATTTTAATGTGACGACTGACCATTATAGTTTTTGATTGTAATTGCTGTTTTAATGTTTTACTGTAATATGTATTATGATGTTTTATTGATTGTATGTGATATTATGGTTGGAAACCGGTCTGAGTCCCTCAAGAGAGGTGAGAAGGTCGGTATACAAAACTTTCAAATAAATAAATAAATAAATACTCTCAACCTGTCCAATTTTTTCATCGCAAGCACATCCATCGTCAGCCTCTTATAGGACTCTCTTAGGGATTCTGCCATTTTGAGACTCTTTCCAAAGGACCAAATGAAACCGAAGACAGACAGAAAAGCAGGGAAAGGTGTATGGGAGCAGGGTGGGTTTTTTTCTATTCCCGCCCCAATTCCTTGTCCTAAAACCAAAGGAAAGAGAAAGGCAAACCCCCCCTCTTACAGAAAGGCACGTATACCTGCCCAGGAAATGCTCCTGTACAACTTTTCTTGAGAACTGGCCAGGTACACAGAAGAGAAAGAAGCCACTGTGGAGGGAGAAAAGAAAAACCAAGGGAAGGAGAGAGAAAGAGAAAGACTATGCGGAAAGCAAAAGAATAAATAATAATAGGAACAAAGAACAATGGAACAGGATTCAATGCATCACGATGGAATATAATAGGGAAAAGGGAAAGGTGGGAAGCTGGAAGGAAGGCCTAGAGAAGGATTGGCATCAGAGATCCTTAGAGAGGGGTTCAAAAATGGCGGTGTTTCCATCCAAAGCACTCCCACTTTCCTGCACCCTTAACTCCAGTGTAGATTGAGGGTTGGAGGTAAGGCATTTTGAAAGATGCAACTCAAAATGGGCTTAAAGGACATGTGTCAAACTCAAGGCCCACTGGTTGAATCTGGCCCCTCATGTGGCCTTCTTCCATCCATAAAATCATAGATTCATAGAATCCTAGAGTTGCAAGAGACCTCGTGGTCCATCCAGTCCAACCCCATTCTGCCAAGAAGCAGGAAAATCGCATGCAACGGACAGCCATTCAGCCTCTGCTTAAAAGCCTCCAAAGAAGAAGCCTTAACCACACTCCAGGGCAGAGAGTTCCACTGTTGAACAGCTCTCACAGTCAGGAAGTTCTTCCTAATGTTCAGGTGGAATCTCCTTTCCTGTAGTTTGAAGCCACTGTTCAGCGTTCTAGTCTCCAGGGCAACAGAAAACAAGCTTCCTCCCTCCTCCCTATGACTTCCTCTCACATACTTATACATGGCTATCATGTCTCCTCTCAGCCTTTTCATCTGCAGGCTAAACATGCCCAGCTCTTTAGGCCACTCCTCATAGGGTTTGTTCTCCACACCCTTGATCCTTTGAGACTTCCCTTCACATATTGATACATGGCCCTCGTCATGTCTCCTCTCAGCCTTCCCTTCTGGACTACAATTCCTATATTCCTCCTTATTAGACATCAAGGCTAGAGCTTATAGGAGTTGGGATACAGGACTATCTGGACGACCGCAGTTTGTTCTCTTCAGTCAAGAAAGTAGAGTTGGGATTGAGAGACAAGGTTTATGGGTATGATGCTCAACTTTAAAACATCCTTTGCTCTTTTTCCAACCTCAGAGCTACAAATGCCATTGGGCTATAATTCCCATTATCCCCAGATAACACTCCTCGACAACATTTTTATTCCTGGGTTATAAATGTCATTTCCAAAATGGTTCCATCATAAAAAAATGGAAAAGGTTTATTAAACTGTCTAACTTTTTTTTTGTGGAACATCCTGCAGTACATTGTGCTATAGTTTTTTTAAATAAATATCTCACTGACTCTCAACCAATTCAGCCACAAAATTGAATTTTCTGGAGTAGAACAACTACTTTCAAAGTAAGGACCGCACAATTAAACAGGAAATAATATTTTCAAATCAGGAACAGATTTTTTTCCCCAAATTTGTAACACAGTGTTATTAAACAGAATGGGAGTTGTCGTTTGACAACATCAGGAGATCCAAACTGTATAAAAACTAAAGAGCACCAACCACTTTGTGTGTATGTATGTCTGTGTGTGTGTGTGTGTGTATATGGGCCCACAGATTCTCTGGCCATGGACCTTTGAAACCATATGTCATTCCGTTAAGACATTCCCGGTGTAGTCCTTCAGTAGATTGGGAGCGACATATGGGCACGAAACTGGAAAGTTTTTATTTATTAGCATACAATAAAGGCAATTGCTCTGGTGTGTAGGAAAGGGTAGATCAAGCCTAGACATCGGAGGATTTGTGTGTGTGTTTTTTTTAATGACTCTGCGTGCATTTAGTGTGCGATCCCTACACAGAGAGTAGCATTCTTTAATCCGAACAATAACCCTATGTGCCTGCAAAAGCTTCTGTGTGTCTTAAGAAAATCCATTCACAATAAAGCATATTTCTACAGCAGGCATGGGCAAACTTCAGCCCTCCAGGTGTTTTGGACTTTAACTCCCACAATTCCTAACAGCAGGTAGGCTGTTAGGAATCGTGTGAGTTGAAGTCCCAAACACCTGGAGGGCCAAAGTTTGCCCATGCCTGCTCTACAGCAACACAGCCAATGCAGAAGGAACCTTACAAGCGAGGTACAGCTGCTTTCCCCAAGACTGGATTGCTGCCTCTCAGTCATGCTCCCTTCCCAATGACACACTTGCACAGGTGCGAAGGGGCTCCGCTGGGCCTCACCTGTGTTGGAGCGCTGCAGGAGGGAGGGCTTGGCTGTCCCAGTAGGGAGGCTGGAGGAAGGCACCGAAAGTGACTTGTAGAGGGCCGTCTCCCGGTGCTCCTTGAGCCGCTCAGCCGCCATGAGGGCGTTGGAGAGCTCCTGCAGAGGCATGTTGTTTATGTCTGAGGAAAAGGGGCTCAGCGGGTTCTCCAAGCTCATCAGCCAACTGGTGTTCCCTGCAAAGGAGAGAGGATCAGGTGAAACGCTCTGCATTGGTTCCACTGGAAGCATGCCTTTTACTCAATGAGTAATACAGACAACTCCAGGAGCCACGAAGATAGCTGAAAAAGGGCACAGCATCAAAAACATGGCTCCAAAGCTGGTGTGCTCTAGGCATGATAGTAACATAAAGAAGCCACTCACCTAAAGACCACTCCTAGTTTGAAATATATGCATCTTTCAATGTTGAATAAATTTTATTATTACAGTCACAAACCAAGAGCGTAAAACTTCAAAACATTAAAAACAGAGTTTTTAAAAAAAGTGTTAACATTAAGAACAGAAATTCATAACACTAAAATCAGAAAGTCCGTACTATGGAGTTGATCTACACAGCTTCAGGTGTGAGGCTTATAAAATCTATGGGTGTGGATAACAAAATGAGTAAGTTAAGACTTGATCCACTAAAATCATCCACAAACTGCTTCTTTATTTTTATAGCTGCTGCCCAAACCTTAGACACTCTATAAGTGATATATAGACCCCTGTTCTCTATAAGATGCTTTAGATAAAAGGCCACTTGTAGTTTGAAAAATATTTGTTTTTCAATGTTGAGCAGCACAAAAAGTACTATTTAATTGTGTGTGTCTTTTTCATTTTTGTATTCGCTTTGTTTTAAACTGGTTGTTAGCTGCATGGTTGTTAGGTGCCTTGAGACCCCACCCACAAGGGGAAAGGCTGGATATTAAATCAATATTTTAAAAAATCTAATTGTGACTTCCAGAAGAGACAATTATAGAATCTCAGAATCCTTTGGACTGTACTACATACATGTATCATAAACATGCTCCCATCTCGAATTTGCTTTCTAATAGGGTCCTCTCAATAAGGCTGTATAGGTAAGGTCTTAAAAAGGAGCAAACACTTCTGTAGCATTGTTAAGTGTGAAAGTAAATTTGCTTAACAGTGAGACCAAATTTGCTTAACAGTGAGACATTTTATGACTGGCACATTTCAAGATAGGCTCCCCTGAACATTAATCTTTCGGTCCTTATATCAGTTGCAAATTAAAATTCCCTAAGGGCCAGCCAGTCCAACCCCCTCCTGAGAGAGATGGGGGCGGGATATAAATAAAGTTATTATTATTAGATGGCCATCCAGCCTCTGTTTAAAAAACCTCCAAAGAAGGAGCCTCCACCAGACTTCTTATGGTCAGGAAGTCCCGACTTTATTTATTTATTTATTTATTTCCTACTAGCTGTGCCCTGCCACGCGTTGCTGTGGCCTATAGTAAATGTTTTCAAAGTAGAGGTTGATATCTGGACTATTATGATAGAGTGGTCGCCTACCTATTCCTTCCCCCTTTTTCTCCCCCTTTCTCTCCTTTCTTCCTTCTCTACCTCTTTCTTTCTTTCCTTCTTTCACTACTTGGTTTCATCCTTCTCTCTTTCCTTCATTCCCTCCCCCTTTCTTCCTTTGCCTTTCTTCCCTCCCTGTTTGCTTCCTTCTTTCTCTTTTTATTTCCTTTTATTTCACCACCATCATAACAATAACAATAATGCAATGCATTGCCTCTGGGACCTGACACCTCTCCCATTCCCCCAGGGTCTAATAGGAATAATAGCATAATAATAATAGAAATAACAACCTTTACCCGCCACGTGTTGCTGTGGCCAACCTTCCCTCTTTCTCTCCTTCTTTCCCTCCTTCCTTCCTTCCTTCCTTCCCTCCCATCTTTCCTTCTCCTCTTCCTTCTCTATCTCTTTCCTTCCTTCCCCCTTTTTCTTTCTCTTCTGGTCTCTTTTCTTCCTTCTCTCTTTCCTTCTTTCCTTCCCTTCCTCTTTCTCTACATCTTCGCCCTTCCTTCACTCCCTCTTTCCTTCCTTCATTCCCTTTTCTTTCCTTCTCTCCTTCCTTCCTTCCCCCTTTTTCTTTCCCTCCCTCTGTCTCTCCTTTCTTCCTTCTCTACCTCTTTCCTTCCTTCCCCCTTTTTCTTTCTCTTCTGCTGTCTCTCTTTTCTTTCCTTCCATCTTTCCTTTTCTTTCCTTTTCTTCTTCCTTCTTTCTCTAACTTTCCTTCCTTCCCCCTTTTTCTTTACCTCCCTTTCTCTTTCTTCCTTCTTTCCTTCCTGTCTTTCCTGGATTTTGACAGGGCGGGAAGGGGCGGGGTGGGGTTTGGAGGTGACGTGAAGTAAAAGGAGGTAAGATTGGGGCAGGCGAGTGATGGAGCATGAGGTTGTGTGTGTGTGTGTGTGCGGGGAGTGGGGTTGCGTGTGTGTGCGGCGGCGGGGGAGTGATGGAGCGTGGGGTTGCGTGTGTGTGTGCGGCGGCGGGGGGAATGATGGAGCGTGGGGTTGCGTGTGTGTGTGCGGCGGCGGGGGGAGTGATGGCGTGGGGTTGCGTGTGTGTGTGCGGCGGCGGGGGAGTGATGGAGCGTGGGGTTGCGTGTGTGTGTGCGGCGGGGGGGAGTGATGGAGCGTGGGGTTGTGTGTGTGCGTGCGGCAGGGGGTGTGTGTGTGCGGGAAGCGGCGCGGCGGGGCTTGGAGTGGGCATGGCTTCCGCAGAGGGAACGTTGGCCGGAAGGCTGTGTGCGCGCGCCAGGGAACTTGCGGCTGGGCGCCAATGCGCATGCTCAGTTGTTTTGCCGTTTTGTGAGTGTGTTGTTGTGTTGTTTTTCATTTTGAGTAGATATGTTTGTACCTTGTGGGTTGTGTTATGGGCATGGGAATTTTGGTTAAGTTTCGTTGGGGTTTTTTAGAGTTTTGCTGTCCCGTTGGACTCGCCTAACAGATTTATATATATAGATATTTATACCCCACCCTTCTACCCCAAAGGGGGACTCATTATGCCTTTGATTATGCCTTTCCTGCATGGCAGGGGGTTGGACTAGATGGCCCATGTGGTCCCTTCCAACTCTATTGTTCTATGATTCTGAATGTTCAGTTGGAATCTCCTTGGGAGAAGAAAACAAGCCTGATTCCCTCTTCCTTAGGAGTTCCTTTCAAATATTTAAACAGGGCACTCTTTCAAACACAAACCTTTTCATTTGGACTGTTAGGAGATGCTGAAGGGCAAAAAAAGGACCCTCAGGGGGTTTCAGGGTTACCCCACCCATTCTATAACCATGCCAGCATCATACTGGGTTACCAAAAAAAAAGAACTCTCTATGCTTATATACATGCTAACCATGTTTCCATCCCTTATGGTCCCCCTCTCGAGATCCCCCTTATTGCCTACCAGTTGGCCTCCGCACCAGGATTTCGGCCCAGCCTTGAGTCAGTAGCGGAACGTAGGCGGCCAGGTTGGCCTTCTCCTTCTGTGGAGCCCCAGGAGCAGCCTTCTCGGCTCGGGGAGCCAGGGGAGCCTGAGACCCCTGAGGCATGGGGTTGGATGGGAAATGGGAGGAGGAACTATCCAAGGCGCCGACCCGTAAAGCATGGCCACCTTGGAAGCAAAGGGAGAGAAAAATAGCTATCAGTGGAGCCAAGAGAGAGACTGCAGTGATTCAGAAAGGAGCCAGCATGGTTTACACAGTCTTCCTTCTAGACTGCAATTCTCAGAATGGGGGAATGATGGGACTGGCAATCCAAATAGCGCTCTTTCTGCACATTTTGTAAGTTCTTGTCTGCAGCATTGGGGGGGGGGGGGYGACCAGAGTGAGATGTTTGTGTTTGTTCCTTCAAGGTAACTGTTGTCTTATGGCAACAACATGAATTTGAGTCTCCTTGTGGAGAAAAAAGTGGGGTATAAACATAAACATAATAATAATAATAATAATAATAATAATAATAATAATTCAAGTCCAGACTTACAAAGTTTTGGAACCCAATACACCAGACATCACAATTGTGGAAAAGAAAAAAGTTTGGATTATTGATGTCGCCATACCAGGTGACAGCCAAATTGACGAAAAACAACAGGAATCAACAGGAAAAACTCAGCTGTTATCAGGACCTCAAAATTAAACTGCAAAGGCTCTGGCATAAACCAGTACAGGTGGTCCCAGTGGTCATTGGCGCACTGGGTGCCATGCCAAAAGATCTCAGCCGGTATTTGGAAACAATAAACATTGACAAAATCACGATCTGTCAACTGTAAAAGGCCACCTTATTTGGATCTGTGCGCATCATTCCAAAATACATCACACAGTCCTAGACACTTGGGAAGTGTTCGACTTGTGATTTTGTGATATGAAATCCAGCATATAGATCTCGTGTGACATACTGTGTTTTTGTGTCAGTAAAATAATTATAATTATTTCTTACATAAGGAATCCTCAGAGGTGGTTTTGCCAGTTCCTTCTTCTGAAATGTTGCCTACAGAACTTGGCATCCATTTGTGATCTTCCATGCAAACACAAATCAGGGCTGACTCTATTTAGTTTCCAAGATCAAACAGGATTTGGTCCCTCCAGGGCATTTAGGCCCTAATGTATTTTAAACCATTGCCAATAATCTCAGTGGTCCTAACTTTAAGAGCAAAACTCTCAGCCAAATATTATTTAATTCAGTTTTTAGCAACAAAGGATGCAAAAGGACCCCCAGCTCAATGTACGAAGTGAGGAAAATCCCAAGAACAAATTTCCAAAGGAGGGACAAGGCTCAAATCTCCCTCACACAGAGAGAGAGATGGCTCCTTACCAGACATGGATCTGACTCTGTTGCGGGTTCGGACCACCTGTGGACCAGCCTGGGACTGGAGTTTGGCCGGGGCCTCTTTGGTTTGTCTGACTTGCAGGGGATGTTCTGAACTGCTAAAAAAAGAATATATATACATATGTATATTAATTTCTGGTTCTTTACTTTCACAGGGGTTCTATGCCCCTAACCGCAGCCTTGCAAAGGATGAGAAATAAGACAAAACTTACCTTGACTCTGTGCTGCTCTGCAGCTCCCCGGAATCGAGACCCAGAAGCGACCGGGTTCCTGTCCCAACACTGGTTGTGATGGTCACCAGTTTGTTGCCCACCAGCCAGGTTTTGGTTCTTCCTCCGGCCAAGAGAAACTCTCCCACAGGAGACCTATAAAAATTGGCCAAGCAGAGACCTAAACATTAGGGAGAACTTCCTGAGCTGTTCCAACAGTGGGACTCTCTGCTTCAGAGTCCGGAGGTTCCTTCTTTAGAGGCCTTTAAGCAGAGTCCGGGTGTTCGGGATGTTTATGTGTTTTAATTATGCTGTAAACTGCCCAGAACCATGAAGAGAGGCGGGTAAGAAATAAAATTGTTATTATATTATTCTAATAATATTACCAACCTTTTGGGCACAGCAGTGAAGTTGGAAAAGACATATCGGGCCATCATGTCGAGGCAGGTCTCAGTCAGCTCCAAATGGAGATTCTTAAGGTTGTCATCTGCTTGGGCCACAGAGTTCTCATCCGCCGACCCCAGGCTGGCACTGGTGATGGATGTCTGGATCCGGCTGCAATAAATAAAGGATGCAGTTGGGACATAAGGCAAAAATAAATGCATAAGGCATCTAATAATAACAAAAGCATGCAACAGGCTGGGATAGGGATGCTAATGGGTGAGGCTGGGATGCAGGGAGACTAGTGGGTTTTATGGACATCCAATTCTGCTGGACTTTGCCACAGACATTCTGTAAAACTGACAAGACAGAACCCATCCTGGATTCCCAAAGACAGAAGTAACTGTTTGGCTGGAAAGCAAATAATAAAGAATAACCTTTGTATATTAATACAGACACCTGACTTCTCAAGAGCCAAAAAACGTGTCCACAAAAAATGAGACCTATAGAAGCTGAACTGGTTTATGGGTCACTTCCACAGTCCTTTAACTCACTTTCAGATCAGACACCTAGAAACTACAATGGCTGATAAAGGGATTAAGGGGTATATCTGTGTGTGTGTGTACACACACACAGTAGAATCTCACTTATCCAACCTTTGCTCATCCAACATTCTGTATTATCCATTGAAGTTTGTCTCCTGCCCGGATCCATAGCTGTTTCAATACATCGCGATGTTTTTGTGCTAAATTTGTAAATACAGTCATTACTAATAAGTTCCTTAATCCCTCCTTATTATCCAACATTTTGACTTATCCAACATTCTGCCGCCCCGTTTATGTTGGTAAGTGCGACTCTACTGTATATAGCTTTGGATAGCATAGGGAAGGACTAACACTCCTGTCGTGTTTCCTTTGCTGACTGTGCCCCTGTTCAGAAGATTTCACCTCCCTTCCTTTCCCAGTGAGAATGGGATATTGAGAAATTTGGTTTGTTGTGGAAACAAGGATTGATGGTAAAGCTTCAATGGAGACTGCTTTTCCCCATGGGAAGGGAAATCCACTCTTCCAAGAGTGGATTTCACTACCGTGGGGTAGATTTTTCTCACTTCCTGTTGTGTCTCCCCCATTCTTAACTTGTTTATAAGAGTTGTTTATAAGTCAGGTGTTTGTAACTTGGGGACTGTGCTGCACACACACAAAACCCGTCAATGGTCTTGTCTTATAGGAGAACCTATGGAAGACATGTCCTAACGTTTTCAGACTGGGCTCAGGCCTGATTCACCATCTAGCCCAGGATGATTATACTAGAAATTGGTTCAATCTTAACTCTAAAAAAAAAGCCTCTTCTATTGGCCTCTCTTCCTCCCTCTTATCTCATTTGGGTTGTGACATGGCACTGAAATCTATTAAACAAAGACTGTGTGACATTGTCTTCTGTGAGCTGCGTTCTCACTCATGTTTCTTGTTCCCCAAGTGCCCTGAGTATAAACTATGCTGGGCCTCTCCAAACAAATTATCTTAAGAACTAAGCACCCCCAGTGGTGAAATGGGTTAAACCCTTGTGCCAGTAGGACTGCTGACCGAAAGGTCGGCGGTACGAATCCGGGGAGTGGGGTGAGCTCCAGCTTCTCATGCAGGGACATGGGAGAAGCCTTCCAAAGGAAGGTAAAACATTTGGGTGTCCCCTCAGCAACATCCTTGCAGAAGCCAATTCTCTCACACCAGAAGCTACTTCCAGTTTTTCAAGTCGCTCCTGACATGAAAAAAAAAAATCTTAAGAACTTTACTGTGGCCAAATATTGCTGCCTATTCTCCAAGGCAAGATGCAATGTGTTCCCATGTGAAGTTCTGCGAGGTAGATTTGTGGGAGTCCCATATAATGCAAGACTTTGCCCACGTAATAACCAGGATGTTGAATGTATGTATCACATCTTGGCTACATAATAATATGTAGCCAAGCAGGCTCAGCTACATATTATTAACCCACTACTGAGCAACCTACCCAACAGATCAGTCCAATTCCATGTCAAGTTTTACTAGATGACAATTTCCTCCAGGTGACCTTGGCTGTTGCCACATTTCTCTCTGAGGTAGCCAGGATAAGTCAACTTCCTGTATTAAGACTCAGGTTTAAACTTGCCTTGTATATATTTGCAGTGTTTTTACCCTTGTTCATATGGATTTGGAATTGCACTCGTCCTGCTTTTAAGTAGTCTTAGCAGTTTATGAATCTGCTGTGCACTTTTTACCACTGAACAAATTGGGTCTTTGGACAGTACTAAAGTTTGATTGATTGATGTCCTATATAGCGGGGGTCCCCAAACTAAGGCTTGTGGGCCGAATGCGGCCCTCCAAGGTCATTTATCTGGACCCTGCCCTAAACTTTAGACGTAGGTTTGCCCTAAGTCTGAAATTACTTGAAGGCTCACAACAATAATCCTAATTAACTTGACTATTTCATCATCCAAAAGTAGACCCACACTTCCCATTGAAAGATGGGTAAGTTTATGTTGGGGAAAATTGTTCTTCATTTTAAATACTAATTTGTCTTCCATTGATTTTTTTTTTTTTGCATTATAGATAAGATATGTGCAGTGTGTAAAGGAATCCATTCATTTTTTCCCCAAACTCTAGTTCGCCCCCCCCCCAACAGCCTGAGGAACTGTGAACCGCCCCCCGCCCCATTTAAAAAGTTTGAAGACCCCTGTCCTATAGGATATGACTTTTTAAAACAAAGCATGCAAGAGACCCACTTGATGAAGCGACTGCGTTCTGTGGGCTTATGGGTTTGGGAGGTTCCTATGGGTGACATGCAGGGGATCCCGGCATGCAAGACTCCAGTCCCTCCTCCGCCCCCAGCCCCCAAGGGCCAGAGAAGCCCTTCATTCTCCCCGTATGGCTACCTGTGGGCCGCATGGTCAGAGACGCTGATGCTGCGTGACCGGAAGGCCTCGGCCGGCGAGGGCTCTTTCAGCTCTTTCACAGGAGGAGAGTGATTCAAGCTCTGCCTGGCATTTTTGGCTACTTTAAAACTACTAAAGGCGAAGCAGCACCCAAGACCCCGCCAGGCAAAGAGGGCACAAGTTGTGTATTTTTGGGTTGTTGTTGTTTTTTTTGTATTATTATTATTATTATTATTTTAAACGGCAGCGGAAAGAAACCATTGGAAGGCCACCAAAGTCCCAGCAGGCGGAGGAAGGAAAACAAAGCCGAAAGAAAAGGTGCCGAAAGGAAAAAGGGAGGGAAAAAAAGAGGAGGGGAAGGGGAGTGTTAAAATTAAATAAGCAGAACTCAAAAAAGCATAAACATTTCGCAAACAAAAAGCCAACGGGGGGAACAGCCAATGCCTCCCCCACAATTTGGCCCCGATCAATTAAAAAAAAAAAAGCACACAAATTAACACAAAAGCCGACTGATCACATTGGTTGGAATACTACAGAACAAGGGAAAGGTTTGTTGTTATTTTGGGTACAAAAAGAGATGGAAAAGCACATACAGTCAGCCCTTCACATTCGGGTTGGGATAGCGAGGCCTTCCAGCACAACCCTATGGTCAATTTCCATTGGAAGCTAGCTATAGAACCGCACTGGAGGAGCTAGAGGTTCCAAGTGAGAATATTTTTAATCAAATCTGTGAATAATCCGCAAAAGCCAAAACCGCAAATATGGAGGGATGACTAATGACATTTGAATATCCAAATGGTCTAGGACCAATAGTATTCCAAATCAGTGAAATTACAAACGCCAAGAGCAAAGTGCAGGGGACAGAATCACAACAGACAAGAAAATGGGGAGGGAAAAAACACATGAAACTGGAGATGTATAGGATCCAGTTTATAACACACAGTTGTTAAGAGCACAGGGAAGAATCCTGCAAATCTCTGGATGGCATCGGACTTCAGGTCCCATCAGTCCTGACTGATGATGGGACATGCTTGGAGTCGCAATGCGGTAACGCCCAAGCAGTCAACTGACGGCTGTTCTTTTTGGAACATCTTCCAAAATGTTTCTTTCTTTAAATTTAGCCTGGCTTGGTGCTCTAGTAGAGAGACAGATCAACACTTTTCATGGCTCCTGCTTTGCCATTCCAGGCCAAGAGATGGCAGACTATAGATGCATCCACACTGTGGAATAAACCCAGTTTGACACTACTTTAACTGCTACTAAATCCTAGAAGATGCATTTCAGCGAGGCACCAGGAAGGCTAACGACCTTATAAAATTACAACTCCAAGGTTTCCGTAGCATTTAACCATATCAGTTAAAGGGGTGCCAAACCGCATCCATTTCCTAGTGTAGATGCACCCTAAGGCTGTTCTACTCTTCAGCAAAGCCTGATGAAAGAGCATGGAGGTTTACTTGAGCGGGATCGGACTGCTGACTTCATTAATATGGAAGTTTGAATCAATGGGGAATCAATTCTTCCTTTCTGCAATTGGGATCCACTTACCTCTTGGGCCTTTCATTCAGGCTGGTGCTTCGTGCCCGGAAGCTGTCCTTCTCAGGAGTGTCATCGAAGGAGAGGAGTACGTTCGACCGCAAGCCCTACCAAATCGAGGAAGGCAAAAGAGGGTATGCATCAAATGCAATCCTACAAATCCAAATCCGGCTTTCCTCAGATCTTCTGGGCTATAAAAAACCTCAGGCCTCGTCAGCATAGAATCGCAACAATTGGAAGAGACCCCAGGGGCCACGCACTCCATTCCCCTTCTGCCTTCATGCAGGAAAAGAACAATCCAAGCACTCCCAACAAATGGCCATCCAGCCTTAAAGACATCAGCAGGTTCACGGAGAAAAAAAAAGCTATAGAATCATAGGATCCAAGAGTTGGATGAGACCTCTAAAGGTCATCCAGTCCAAACCCCTTATGACAGACAGAAAAAGGACAATTAAAGTTCTCCAGATGACCATCCAAACCCCTAAACATGGTTTAGGGGTTCATGGAGAAGCAGGTTCATGGAGAAGCAGGGCTATAAAATCATAGGGTCCTAGAGTTGGAAGCAAGCACTAAAGGTCATCCAGTCCATTCCCCTTCTGTCTTTGTGCAAGAAAAGCACAATCCAAGCCCTCCCAACAGATGGGCATCCAGCCTTACAGACTTCACCAGGTTCATGGAGAAAAAAGCTAAAGAATCATAGGATCCAAGAGTTGGATGAGACCTCTAAAGGTAATCCATTTCATTCCCCTTCTGCCTTCATGCAGGAAAAGCACAATCCAAGCTCTCCTGACAGATGGGCATCGAGCATACAGACTTCACGGAGAAACAGGATGATGGAGAAAAAAGTCTATAGAATCATATGATCCTACCACTGGAAGGAAGCTCTCAAGGCCATCCAGTCCAACCCCATTTTTCCAGGCAGGAAAAGCACAATCTGATCCCTCCTGACAGATGGCCATCCAGCCCCTGCTTAAAAGTTTTCAAAGAAGGAGCTTCCACTAGACTCCAAGACAGAGAGACTTGGCCATGAAGTTCTTCCTAAGGTTCTGGTGGATAGCAGTTGTGCTTCCTCCCATCTTTATTTCATATGACACAAAAAAAGAGCTCACCTTGGTAATGTAAGGAACGAAGTCTTTCCGGAAAGGGAGCCGGCACTTGATGAACCACATGGCAATGACATGGTGCGCCAGGCAGACAATGTACTGGTTAAACCTGAGAAAGGGTTCAAGGGGAGAGGCATCAATGGAAGCATTGCACAAATTAGATGTGAAGTGAAACCTGGACTCAATGTGCTAAGGATGTTAGACAATCAGCTCGAGAGGAAATGTGGAAGCATTACTATATCTGAGTATGGCAGTGAGGATCCTCTATGCTCAAATTGTTTTAACTATGGTTTTGTACACTATGTATAATTTTTGTATAGGCATCGAATTGTGTCTTTTGTAAGCCACCCTGAGTCCCCCCTTGGGGGTTGAGAAGGGCGGGGTAAAAGTACCCGAAATGAATAAAAATAAATAAAGATGGAAAGAATCAATACGATTGGGGCTGAGGGAAATGCCTGAACTGGCAGAAACCAACAGACTCAGTGTTGATAAAGGAGAATTCAAGAAAGACTGGGGCATTCATTATAATCCTTTAGCCAAGATTGAGACAAATCTCTATAATAGGTATTTGAATTAGAAGAGTGTCACCTTATGGCGAAAAGGATGTATTAATGGTTTTTTTTCTGGTGGAAAACAGAAAATAATGCTATCAGACCAAGAATGTAAAGCCCTCAGAATAGGTACTTTAGATTTGTATATAGTCAATGTTTAGTGGTTTAGTAATAGTGTTTCTTATACTAAGAAAATGGATTTCTACTATCTTTGTGTTTTGTCTTATGGTTTGTATTCTTGCTGGTGTTGATTTTGTGTTAGTTTTTCTGAATACAAAGTTATCAACTATGTTTTAGGATTTCCAAATGTTGGACTATAAGATTCTGGGGGACCCCACTCAGCCATGGCAACCTACAATTGGGCAAGCCGTACTCTCTCAGCCTTAGAGGAAGGGAAAGGCAAGTCCCCTCTGGACAAGTGTTGCCAAGAAACCTTCCGGATGGTGTCGCCGCATGTCACAACTGACTTGAAGGTGCATAACAACAACCACAAATGCTTGAAAACGAATCCTGTGTAATCCAGGCACGTAACTTACAAAACAACCCTTGAGTTTCTATCTGTCAATAGAAAGGATGGCCCTTTCTGCACTTACTTGGAGGGGTTTGTGTAGGGCAGGGAGATAGCAAAGACACTGGCATACTGCTCTGCGGCAAAATTCCTGTAGAGATGGGGCAGCCGGGCCAATGCTGGGGTGTTTCAATAGACAGCATTGGAGGAGAGAGAAGAGAAAGAGCAAAGTCAGCTGCTGAGTGGGGCTGGTTCAACTTCTGCCCAAATCAGGACAGGGAGACTGCTATCGGGAGGATCATAGAGTTGGAAGAGGCCTCGTGGGCCACCCAGTCCAACCCCCTGCTAAGAAGCAGGAAAATCATATTCTGAGTTTGAATTATTTGCTTCCACAAAGCAAGCCACAGTCCCATTCCACTACACTTTGGGCCCTTCCACACAGCCATATAACCCAGAATATCAGTGCAGAAAATCCCACAATATCTGCTTTGAACTGGGTTATCTGAGTCCACACTGCCATATAGTTCAGTTCAAAGCAGATATTGTGGGATTTTCTGCCTTGATATTCTGGGATATAGGGCTGTGTAGAAGGGCCCTGTGTAACAAAAATCTGTTCCGGGTTTGAAAGTGTTGTTTCCTGTTTAATTCTGCGGTCCTTACTCTGAAAGTAGTTGTCATACTTCAGAAACTTCATTTTGTGGCTGCCACAAACTATGTTGAATTCGTTGAGACTTGATGGGATATTTATTGAAAAAACTATAGCAAAATGTGCTGCAAGATGTCCCACAAAAACAAAGTTTTGGCAGTTTAATAAACTCAATCCATATTTTTATGATGGAACCAATTAGGAAATGTCATTTATAACCTAATCAGTAAGATAAAAAAGCCAATATCCAGAGGAAAACCCAGCTAGTTCCACACTTTGGGATCTCAGATTAGGGACCTCTCTAGTCCCTAAGGTGGGATCTACACTGTTCTGTATCCCAGAATCTGATCCCGGATTATCTGCTTTGAATGGGATTATATGACTCTACACTGCCAAATAATCTGGGATAAGCAGATAATCTAGGATCAGATCTTAGGATATAAGGTAGAAAGGGCCCAAGATGGCAGAACACTTGCAGAATCTCTCCAAAGAAGACTATTATTATTATCATCATCATCATCATCATCATCATCATCATCATCATCATCATTCTGTTTATGTTTATTGATATCCCATTTATTCTCTCTACTAGGAGAGTAGCTGACATGAAAAATATCATTACAATTGAAAATCTACATATATGCAAACATTGAAACAGATTGAAATATCACTGGTATTAAAAAATTCAGTTAAAATCCATAAAAAAAAACATATTCAAAACTAAAAACCACAGCTGCGTTGTATCACAAGCTCAGTGCTCTCAGGGTTGGGATGAACTTTGTGTGTATGCTGATGAACTGCCACTCTTATTGTCCCACAACACTGGGAGGAAATGATGGAGACTGGAGTCCAATGGCTCCAACCCTGCTTTTCATTGCACCTAAAACTCCCACTGTATTTGTGACAGAGGGGAGGAGGAAGTCGCAGCCACTCACTCGAAAGGAACTCCAGAAGGGGGATGGCCATGTTGGCCGTGGCCGAGATGTGGGTCAGCTTGACAATGAGGACTGGTAGGGCCTTGATGATGATATCCGGCATCTCCACGCTGCAGATAGACAGCGCCACAACGCACTGGTTGGCGCAGCGGTAGATCAGCCCATGCTCCAGGCAGTACACCATCTCCCTCTGAGCAAAGACAAAGCAATCAAAACATGGACAATTAATAGCAGGCAAAGTGAGGTCCTGGGGGCTGCATGCAACCTCCCAAATGCTGTTTTTAGGGAATCTGGCCCTCCAGCATTTGAAAGGGGGGCTGCTCTTTCCTGGGAGGTTGTAATCTTGCCAACCAAAAGGTTGACAGTTCAAAACCTGGGTCAGGGTGAGCTCCTGGTCTTTAGCCCAGCTTCTGCCTACCTAGTAGTTTCGAAAACAGCAATGTGAGTAGATAAATAGGTACCGCTTATGTGGGGAGTTATTTAAGCACCTATAAGAAAATGCCAGAAAAAAATACCAGTGATTTGATCAAGGAGGAAGTTTACAAACAAAGCTCTTTGGCAAGGAAAGTGGAATGACAGAATCCCTCGTTGCTGGAACCGAGCACAGCCTCCAAGATGCCAAAGATGGAAGACTCTATATATACACCTCTGTCTATGTACAGTTGTCTGTCCTGTCAGTGTATAATGGCATTGAAGGTTTGCCGTGTATGTGTTTTATGATCCGCTCTGAGTCCCCTTTGGGGTGAGAAGGGCAGAAATAAATACTGTAAATAAATAATAATAATTGTGTTGGGACCAGGAAACATAAAGTGAAATTCGCAAAGAATAATAAGTTAAAGCAGGGGTTCTCAAACTTTTTCAGCTGTAGAGCCTTTTTTGAAGCAAAAATTTCTTGTGGAGCCCCAAGAAATGTTTATATATTATATTATATATTATAGATAATGTATATATATCAGGCATGGGCCAGGCCAGTGGCAGATGGATGGAGAGTGCTTGTGTGAACTAATTCACACAGCGCTTAAAAATACAATATTTAAAATGAAGAACAATTTTAACCAACATAAACTTAACAGTATTTCAGTGGAAGACCCCAGAGGCCATATCCAACCCAAGCCTCTTTTTCCATGCAGGAAAAACACAATCAAAGCACCTCCAACAGATGGTCATTCAACCTTAGTAGTCATAATAATAATAATAATAATAATAATAATAATAATAATAGCAGAAATCGCAGAGGAGTTGGGATGCCCGCAGAGCCCCTGAGCACTTCTTACAGAGCCCCAAGGGCTCCCTGGAGCACAGTTTGAGAACCACTGGATTAAAGAAAGGGTTAAAAGGGAGCAAGAAGGAGAAAGAGTGAAGGAATTTGGAAAAGGATTATGTTCCTAAGAGTTGTTAGGACAAGACATCTGGTTAAGAGGTAGAGAAAGATCGGGCTAACCTGACAGGGATGGGAGGGAGGAAGATGCACAGGAAATGTTTCCAAAACAAAGGATGTTTATGAACAGAAAGAGACACAGAGATGCTGAGTAGAAGGATAAGCTGAGAGGGGAAAATAACAGGCAAGAAAGAAGAGGGAAAAGGACATTTTGATTTCATGTGTGCATATGTGCATGTTTGCATCCATTTGAGATTATAACACCCCTGATTCAGAAACAATCTAATGGGGCACTCATTTGAGGATTCCAAAACCACCCCTTAGCTCTTCTCAAGGATATACTATTGTATTTTTGTCTCCTTGTTTCTATTTTGATTGGAAAATAAAATTTAAAAAACTGCAGATATCTGGGCACTTGAAAGAGGTCCCAAGCCCACCTCCCATACAGACCTTATGTACTTCATTTTGCAAGCCTGGGTTGATTCTGCAAACTGCAGATCCCCTTCAACCCCCCTGCATGCTATACCTGCTTGGTTTTGTCCAGGTAGCTGTGGTAAGAGATCAAAGCGGTCAGGACCGGGACCACAGCCAGATGGAGGTCATTTCGGGAAAGCCCTTCTGGAATTCCCCTCAGGCGCTCAGTCATCTTTTTGTCCGTGAGCTGACAGAAGACACAGTGCGGTTATTGGTAGAATTATTATTATACAACCCAAACTTAATCATTGATCAAAATTGAATATGAAAAGTCATCCCCCTCCATTTTATGGATCTGAGTATACTACTTAACACAATTTTTGCTTCCTGGGTTATAAATTACAGGAAAGGGGATTCCACCTGAACATTAGGAAGAACTTCCTGACTGTACAAGTTGTTCAACAGTGGTACTCTCTGCCTCGGAGTGCGGTGCAAACTCCTTCCTTGGCAACTCCTAAACAGAGGCTGGATGACCATCTGTCAGGGATACTTTGATTGTGCTTTTCCTGCACAGCAGGGGAATGGACTAGATGGCCCAAGTGGTTTCTTTCAACTCTATTATTCTATGATTTTATAAAATGCCATTTCCTAATTGGTTCTATCATAAAAACATGGAAAAAGCTTATTAAACTGCAAAAACTTTATCTAACTTGAGAATTAGGAATTACAGCATGTAACACTTTTTTTGTTACTTGGTTATAGTTGTCATTTTCTAACAGGTTCTTTCCTAAAAACATGGAAAAGGTGCGTTAAACTGCCAAAACTTTGTTTTTGCGGGACATCCTGCAGCAAATTTTGCTCGAGTTTTTCAGTGAATATCCCATCAAGTCTTGACCAATACAAAATACTTTGTGACAGCCACAAAAATGAAGTTTCTGGAGCAGAACAACTACTTTCAATGTAAGGACCACACAATTAAACAGGAAATAACACTTTCAAACCAGGAATGGGACACATTTTAAATTTTGTTTTGTAGTGCTATTCACACATTGGACAGAATGTTCTCTCTAGGAATCTCTATGCTTTCCAGTGCAATCTATAGTCAACTTCCAGCAGGAACAAAAATAGAATTTACTTCATTATTTGCATGTTTTCCCATTAATGGGGTTTTCCTATTCCCTTAGCCCCAGTAAATATGGAGTGTTAGTCACAAAAAGACAAAGATTTGGAAGGATAGATAGGAAGGGATCAGATGAAAGACTCTCAGATATAAAAATATAGCATTGAATAACAAATTCAGGCACATCAATGCCATAGTACGGGAACGAGAGACAGGGCCTTTTCTGTGGTGGCCCCTCGGCTGTGGAACGCCCTTCCCATGGAGGTAAGATCAGCTCCCTTGCTAATGGTGTTCCGTAGAAGATTAAAAACTTGGATGTTCGAACAGGCCTTTGGTTAATCAGTGCAATGAATGTGACGATCACAGGAATTGAAATATGGACGACGAATTTTGGATCACGACTCTAGTTATGAGATGCATTGGGTTCTTGCTGTTGTGTAATATTGTATACTGTGCTTTTTTGTTTTGAATTGTATATTGTTGACTGTTTTTATCCTGTTGTAAACCGCGTTGAGTCGCCGGTTAGGCTGAGAAACGGCGGTATACAAGTAAAGTAAATAAATAAAATAAATAAATAGTAGAATCATAGAGTTGGAAGAGACCTCTTGGGCCATCCAGTCCAACCTCATTCAGCTAAGAAGCAGGAAAATTGCATTCAAAGCACCCCTGACAGAGTGCCATCCAGTCTCTGTTTCAAAGCCTCCAAAGAAGGAGTTTCCACCACACTCTGGGGCAGAGAGTTCCACTGCTGAACAGCTCTCACAGTGAGGAGGTTCCTCTTAATATTCAGGTAGAATCTCCTTTCCTGTAGTTTGAAGCCAGAGCAGCAGAAAACAAGCGTGCCTCCCTATGACTTCTCTTCACATCTTGTTCCATAGCCCTCTTCATGTCTCCTAAACATGCCCAGCTCTTTAAACAGCTCCTCATAGGGCTTGCTCTCCAGATCCTTGATCCTTTTAGTCACCCTCCTCTACACATTCCAGCTTGTCAACAGTATTTCTGGCTTCCATATGTGGAAACAAAAGTCAGAGGGTGCTATGATTTGAGCTATACAAAAAGGTTTTTAATTGGTTTAGAATGCTTATTTTTAATACTCTGAAAATTTAATTCAATTTCAATGTCTGTATATTATTTACATTTTTAATTGTATGGGTTTTATTGTGAGACACTTTAGAGAGATAAAGTGGATGATAATATGGCTCATCTATACCAATGGACCCAAACTGGTCCAGGATGAGGAACTAAACGTGTCGGAACACATGAATGTATCACCTATAGTTCACAGGCATGTCGCATGAAAAATGTTCCACCATGCCGAACAACCCCGAAAGAGCATCTAGTCCAACTCCATTCAGCCAAGCAGGAAGGCACAGTCAAAGCCCTCCCAACAGATGGCCATTCGGCCTCTGTTTAAATAAACCCCCCAAGAGGTTTAATATTACAGATGTAGGATGTTAGTGCTATTCAAGCATAGGTACTCCTACAACTTTTATCATTTGGACAATTTGTTGATTGAGTTGCTGTTATCACTAAAATGGATTGGTTTCTAATTAAAGAAAGAAAATCCGTTGATCATGATGTCTGTGATGAACCCCATAGAGCCACAAGAATCAGAGAATCAAGACATAAGAAGTGTAAAGGGACAAAATTCAAACCTTGTTTACACAGTAGAGATTATATCAATTTTTTACATATGCTATATATAATATAGTATATATACTGTATGAAACTCTTAAAAGGGGTTGGTTTAATCTCTGATTTGTTAGCCAAATGGAATGACCATGTCACGAAATAATGCATGTCTGAAAAGCGTGGCACCAACACGAAAAGTTTGAAAAGCTCTGAACAAACGCCCCATCACTTTTTCACCCATGTTCCAGCATTACTTTCAATTTTAATTTTTACATTTGGCCTTCCCATAGTTTTTAATCGTGTGGTCTTATTGTTAATGTTGCATTATTGTATTGTCCATGTTTTATTTTTAATTGCTTGTATTGTTGTTATTACTGTTTGTATTGTTGTATTTGGGCTTGGCCTCATGTAAGCCGCACCGAGTCCCTTGGGGAGATGGTAGCGGGGTACAAATAAAGTGTTGTTGTTGTTGTTGTTGTTGTTATTATTATTATTATTATTAAGAGGGATGGGTGGACTCTTACCATATTACAGAGGGCTGAAGACAGCTGGTCGATGTTGCAAGGTGAGGTCAAGAACAGGACCTTGTACTGCAGAGACCAGGGCAACTTGTTCAGCACCAGCTTCAGGACTTTCCAGTCTGTCTCCTAGAGAGAAAGAGGAAAATGCATGAAAGATCAGTGCAGAAAGAGATGGATCTGAGCTACTGACCACATGCTTTGTGGCGAATCAGAGCACAGCCCCTAGGCTATTTTCTTGGGACTTTGGGGTCAAAAATAATTGAGTCTAGAGGATGGGTGACCCTCTGTCAGGAGTGGTTTGATGGTATCTTCCTGCCTGGCAGAAGGGGGTTGGACTGGATGGCCCTTGGGGGTCCCTACGAACTGTAATGGAATATAGACTGCTTGGGAGTGTAGCCACATTTCTCAAGAGATTATTATACACAGGCTGGGTGGCTATTTGTTGGGAGGGTTCGGCTTCTGTTTTCCTGTCTGGGGTCAGACTACGTCATCTTTGGAAGTCCCTTCCAACTCTGTGATTCTACAGTATGAAAAAGAACCTAGTGATCTACTACCAGTAATAATAAATTATATGCCTGGTTCCTAGTGAGTAACAATTATTTTTTAGTTCCTATTTTCCTGAATTTATTTTCACGTATGTTTTAAAAATGAATAGTTTCAAAGCATTCTTTTCTATTTGTTGCTGTGTTACACTTTAGCCCAGGCATGGGCAAATTTTGGCTTTCCAGGTGTTTTGGACTTCAACCCCCACAATTCCTAATGGCCTACTGGTGTACAAAGACAATAAAAGGAGAGAGTAAAAACTCAGCCCCCATTGTTTTTCCAAAGCTTTTAAATAAACTGAATAGGGGTGCTGCTAACAGCACTGGATCCCAAACATGTCTGGCATTAAGATCTCTCCAGCCCCTTAAATCAGTGTTTCTCAACCTTCCTAATGCCACGACCCCTTAATACAGTTCCTCATGTTGTGGTGACTCCCAAATATAAAATTATTTTCATTGCTACTTCATAACTGTAATTTTGCTACTATTCTGAATCAAAATGTAAATATCTGATATGAAGGGTGTATTTTCATTCACTGGACCAAATTTGGCACAAATACCCGAAACACCCACATTTGAATATTAGTGGGGTGGGGGGTTGATTTTGCCATTTGTGAGTTGTAGTTGCAGGGATTTATAGTTCATCTACAATCAAAGAGCATTCTGAACTCCACCAATGATGGAATTGAACCAAACTTGGCACACAGAACTCCAGTGACCCACAGAAAATACAGGAAGGGTTTGGTGGACATTGACCTTGAGTTTGGGAGTTATAGTTCACCTACATCCAGAGAGCACTGTGGACTCGAACAATGATGGATCTGGACCAAAGTTGGCACAGATACTCAAAATGTGAACACTGGTGGAGTTTGGGGGGAATAGACCTCAACATTTGGGAGCTGTGGTTGCTGGAATTTATAGTTCATATACAATCAAAGAGCATTCTGTACCCCACCAATGAAAGAATTGGGTCAAACTTTCTACACAGAATCCCCATGTCCATCAGAAAATACTGTGCTTCCTGAGGGTCTTTGGCGACCCGTCTGACATCTCCTCCCGACCCCTCCAGGGGTCCCAACCCCCAGGTCAAAAAATACTGCCTTAGAGCCAATTCCAACCATTTTGGGTCCCTCACTCACCTGCTTTAAACACTGCAGGAGGACCCCAAAAAGCAGCGAATACGGCAAGTGCCCAGTGCGGACGGCAGGGCTCTGAGGGGGAAGGCTGGGGCTCCCTGAAGGAGGTGAAAGTGGGCCGGTGGGTTTCTTCTCAGGCTCCCTGTGGCACAGAAAGAGGGGAGGGAGGCATCAATGAGGACCAGCAGTGCTATTTCCAGGGAGAGAACAAAGAAGAGGGCTACTTTTAAGTAAAGAGGCCTTTGAGGCCAAGTTCTGGAGAGAGGCAGGGTGTCTTGGAACATACACAAAGTCGCAGAGACAGTAAGGGCTGAACCTGACGGGGCCGTCCTTGGAGGCCAAGCCCAGGCGGTGGAGGGAGTCGGCCTGAAGCGAGAGCAGGAAGTCAAACACCTGGAACACAATTAAAAGAGAGGGGCATTAAAGGAAAGGCTACTCCCTCAGGGCCTCTTCTTTGGAGGCTTTTAAGTAGAGGCTGGATGGTCATCTGTCAGGAGTGCTCTGACTGTGCTTTTCCTGCTTGAAGGCAGAAGGGTGTTGGACTGGAGGACCTTTTGGGGTCTCTTCCAACTTGAGGATTCAATAATGATTATGATGATGGCATCTCTATAGATTTTTAAGCAGAGGCTGGATGGCCATCTATTAGGAATGCTTTTCCTGCCTGGCAGAAGGGAGGACCCTTTGAAGTCTCTTCCAATTCTAGGATTCAATAGTAATAATGATGATGATGGTGGTGATTATGATGGCATTTCCTTCTTTGTAGGCTGGACAGCCATCTGTTGGGAGTGCTTTGATTGTGCCATTGCAGCTTGGATTGGATGGCCCTTGGGGTCTCTTTCCAATTCTAAGTTTCAATAATTATAATGATGATGGTATTTCCTTCTATCTAGATAATTAAGCAGAGGCTCGATGGCCATTTGTTGGGCGTGCTTTATGGTTTCCCTGCCTGGCAGAAGGGGGTTGGATCTGGAGGGCCCTTTGAGGTCTCTTCCAATTCTAGGATTCTATGGAAGTCTTTAAGCAGATGCTGGATAACCATCTGTCAGGAGGGATTGGACTGTGTTTTTCCTGCATAAAGGCAAGAGGAGGCTGCCCTGGAGAGCCCTTCTTCTGACGCTATGCTTCTCGGTCTTCTTTTCTAGGACCTTGGAAGAATTTGAGGCTCTCATGTCCAGAGAGTTAGAAGAGTGGTCCAGTCTGACCCCCTTCTGCTCTATAAGGTAAAGGTTTCCCCTGACATTAAGTTGAGTCGTGTCCAACTCTGGTGGGTGGTGCTCATCTCCATTTCTAAGCCAAAGAGCCAGCGTTGTCCGTAGACACCTCCAAGGTCATGACTGCATAGAGCATCTTTACCTTCCAGCAGAAGCAGTGCTTATTGATCTATTCACAGTTTATTTATTTATTTATTTACTTCATTTGTATACCGCCATTCTCAGCCCTAAGGTGACTCATAGCGGTTTACAACAAGCAAAAACAAGGCGAACAATCAAGGCAGTTGCATGTTTTCAAACTGATAGGTTGGCAGAAGCTGGGGCTAACAGCAGAAGCTCATCCCACTCCCTGGATTTGAACTGTCAACCTTTTGAACAGCAAGTTCAGCAGCTTTTGTTCCTTCATCCATGCCATTCTGCTTTAATTGTATGACTAATTCTTCAAATTATGCTCATTTTCTGCATTTTTGCCTGTTGCTTTATCCATGAATCCAATTGTAGTACATTATACCAAGATATTCCATACTGTCTTTTCCCGAGGCAGAGCCGGGAAAGGGTTCTTTACCTGCAGCCGGATGCTGGCGGCAACCGGGAGGCTGTACTTGTGTTTATAGTGGAGCTGGATGTGGTGGACCAGCATCTCGTAAACACGGGTGGCGTGGCTGGCAGGGAGGCTGTACAGCTTGGTCTGGGAGGAAGAAGAGAAAAGCCAGGAACATGTCAGGGAAGGCAAATGCCCTTTCTTTCCGTTGGCTTCTTTGAAAGCACCAGCAGATTGGGGCAAATTCTGAACGTGTTTCAAGAAAAAAAATGATGTTTGGAGACATGGCTACACCGTTTGTCAAGAGGAGATTAAGAGACTCAACCTTCAGGTGGCAACAGGGGCATCCTGTAAAAATGGATGACAAGAAAACTATGACTTTGAAAGACTTTGGATAGAACATAAAAGCCTGTGAAAAGGTTGAGATGGATAAATTAACTATATAACTAAGTAAAGGTTTTCCCTGACATTAAGTCTAGTCATGTCCAACTCTGAGGGGTGGTGCTCATCTCAATTTCTAAGCCAAAGAGCCGGCGTTGTCTGTAGATGCCTCCAAGGTCATGTGGCCAGCATGACTGCATAGAGCGCCATTACTTTCCTGCTTAAGTGGAACCTATTGATCTACTCATATTTGCATGTTTTTTAACTGCTAGGTTGGCAGAAGCTGGGGCTAACAGTGACAGCTCACCCTGCTCCCCAGATTCGAACCACCAACCTTTCGCTCAGCAAGTTATGCAGTTCAGTGGTTTAACCCACTGCACCATCACATATAAGTTTTTCAAGATGAGTGAGATTTCAGGACTTTCAGATTTTAGGACTGAAAACGGGACTCACCTGGAGAATGACCAGCAGGCCCAGGACGGCTGTCTTCACATCCTCCAAAGAAGCCGAATAAGAGAGAAGGTCCCTTTCCTCCAGCTCCGGAGGAGGAAGTAGGGAATGGGAAGCCACCTCGGAGAAAAGAGAGGAAATGAGCTGAAGCCATTGCTGCCAGAGGCAGAGGCAAATGGTAGAGAACTATTGTGTATAATGGTCCCCTTCCATTCTGCAATGAGTACAGCATCAAAATAAATACATAAACCCATCAGCCGCCTCACCTTCTCGATGATATCCAGCAAGCTATTGAAATGATGGGTGTTGCAACCCTCAGCCAGGTCCACCAGAAGCTGTGTCGCCAGTTTCCGAACTTGGTGGTCCTTGTCGTCCGGGATGTGGGCCAACTGGGAGATGACCACGAGGTTAATCAGCTCCTCCTGCAAAGAGACCAAGGCTTGCGTCAGAAAGGAAGAGGAGGAAGGCTTTGGCGATTTTGCTGTAAGGAGAGAATGGCATGTAAGTCAAAGGGAGTCCCACCTCGTAAAACTGGCGGTTGACGCTCAGGACGAAAGAAAGGACGTGCAAAACCTTGATGCGGATGGCGCTCCGGCTTTCGTTTCTAGGCGGAAAGAGAGGACGACCACCATTAAAAGGAAGACATTCGATTCATTTATTATTTATTTATTTACTGTATTTATATACTGCTTTTCTCACCCCTGAAGGGACTCAAAGTTGTTTACAACCAATAATGACAAAATTCCTAAATCTAAACAACATATAACTAAGCATAAATCCAATAGAACAATTATTATTAATAATAATAACAATAACTTTATTTTTATACCCCACCTCCATCTCCCCGAAGGGACTCAGGGAGGCTTACAGAGGGACAAGCCCAAGGATTACAAATAAATCAGACACAGTAAAAAAAAAAAATCAATAACAACAAATAATAAAAACATTAAAATCAATTAACATCATAAAAACAAATATCCTGGCTGGCTAATTTGAAACTGGGTTTGGGCTCAAAGTAAGTGCAATGATTCCTTGGGAGAGCCCAGGGAAAGTGCAATAGTCAGAGGGCTGGGTTGTCAGGGTAATGCCCTTGGCCATTAAAGTGTCCTAAGTACAGGAAAGGGGTCAACTAAAGTGCCTGAGCTTAGATAATTCTCAAGTGAACCACCTAGTCAAAGGCACAACGGAACCTTAAGATAAGAGGACATTTAAACATGAAAACATAAAAACTAAAAGCACCTAATAAAAACATTAAAATCACATGATCCAAACTCATGATCCAAATTTCCTTTTTTACTATTGCGGCGTTTCTATTCCAATTGATAACAACACTATTACAGGGTTTTCTGGGCAAGATTTTTTTTTCAGATGAGGCCAAAAACATGGCAAGGTGAAAGCAATGTCTGATTATAGCACATTGCTATTCCTTCTCACCAAGTAGCTCTTATGAGGGGCCACACTGCCAGCTGAACTGTGGTTACCTGCAACAGTAGATACAACCAAACGCCATTCCATTCCCTGACTTCCGGTCCCAGCACACCATAAAATTCAGCTGGAGGACCTAGAGGAATCCCCTCTAGAAATTACTTGGACCTATAAAATTCCTAGGAAACCATTTCCCCCTGGGAACGATTAAATGAAGCCAAGGATATGGGGTTGTAGTTAACAAAGGAGTAACTCTGGTTGATGTAATCCATGGAGTTGGATGCTATTGGCTATGAAACGGAAGCCAAAAAAGCCTGGATCCTACCTGAAAAACCTTTCCATCAAGACTTGCAGATTCTGAATCCATCCGTCCTTTGCCGGGTGGATGGACTGTGCTCGGTACGTAATCAAGTTCAGGACAGAGGATTCCTTCAAGAACAAAAGGAAAATACCATGCTTGAAAAAAGAAGGAAGCAAAGTTTAACATAAAAGGAAGGCCAGTTAACATAAGAAACAGAAACAAGTAAGGATCTGTGAGTCCCCTTTGGGGAGATAAAGCGGGGTATAAATAAATTATTTATGTATTATTTATTTATTTATTTATTTACTTCATTTATACCCCGCTTTCCTCACCCCGCAGGAGACTAAAGGCAGCTTGCAGACACCGGCAAAATTCAATGCTGCATATGAGCATAATAATAAAAACATACCCCATCCAACTATGAAATAGTTAAAACACATGAGCAAATAAAACACATAGAAAAAGAAAACAGATTACAAAATAAAAAGTGCTTGATTCCATTAATCCATAATCCTTGTCTAGACTGTGTCGAAATCCGTAATGTCTCCAAACGCCTGCCAAATGTCTCCAAAAGCCAGGTCTTTCATTTTTTTCTGAAGACCAGAAGGGATGGGGCTGCTCTAACGTCGGAGGAAGTTTCATAGCCGAGGGGCCGCCACTGAGAAGGCCCTGTCTCTCGTGCCCACCAATCGCACTTGTGAAGAGGGTGGGACGGAGAGCAGAGCATCCCCAACAGATCTTACAGCTCTAGTGGGCTCGTAAGGGGAGATGCATTCAGACAGATAAGTTGGACCAGAACTAATAATAATAATAATAATAATCTGCTGATAGGACCCCCTATCTATGGGCTCCTAGAATTATTATTCATATCCTTTTATCCACCATGGCCACCCATATCATCAGTGTAAAATGTATAATTCTTGTAAGAATGGCTCTCATACTGTGACTTAATATAGCGACTGAAATCTTTTGCATGGTAGCATATGGTTGGTAAAACTCATAGAATAGTAGTTGGAAGGAACTCCAAGGACCATCCAATCCAACCACTTAAAATACAGATAGATAGATAGATAGATAGATAGATAGATAATCATAGAATCGTAGAGTTGGAGGGGACCTCAGGAGCCATTCAGTTCAATATTTTAAGAGAGAGAGAGAGATGATAAAATCAAAGACTCATAGAGTTGAAAAATGTAAATGTATTATGTTATGTCTTGTCTATTTAAGCTATTTTTGATTTGCTATTTGTACCTTTGGCATTGAATGTTTGCCGGTATGTTTTACTTTGCTGTAAGCCACCCTGAGACCCACCCAACAGATGGCCATCCAGTTCTGCTTAAAAACCTCCAAAGGAGCCTCCCCTGGACTCCAAAGCAGACAGTTCCACTGTTGAACAATTCTTTTTATGGTAAGGCAGTTCTTCCTAATAATGTTTAGATGGAATCTGCTTTCTTGTCATTTGAACCCAATGCTCCCCTGAGTCCAACTCTCTAGGTAACAAGAAATTTCTCAGACTCTCTTACTGGTCTTTCATTGGCACATCTCTCCACCAATTCAAAGTATCTCTCCTGCGATCCATGGAAGTCGTTCTGGTCACACAGCTCCTCCACGGTGGTCAGCAAGTCGTGGACGATGGACTTCAATTCCTGGCTTTCCAGGGTCTGGAAGACAGAAGATGACTTGCAGACTCAGAAGGATCTTTCAATTCTTGCAAATAGTTCCACCATCTTTTGGGTTTACCTGCAGCTGCTGCAGCAACTGCTCCATGATGTCCAAGAGGATGTCCCAAGTGACGGCTTGGAGGCCCTTTCCATATTTCTTGATGAGCCGCGTGATGGAAAGAACTATTTCATAAGACACAACGGCGTTGGGACACGTCATGGCCTGGAACGGGGAAAAACATGAGAAGTGCGGTATTTCTGCCATTATTGGGACCAAAAGAGCTGTTTTCTAAATCCGCTGGACTTGGGGCAGGGAATCCGGGAGAGATGTCCAGCGAGGTAATGGTTTGTTGTTTTTTTCGTGTCAGGAGCGACTTGAGAAACTGCAAGTCGCTTCTGGTGTGAGAGAATTGGCCGACTGCAATTGCCCAGGGGACACCTGGATACTTGATGTTTTATCATCCTTGAGGGAGGCTTCTCCAATGTCCCCGCATGGGGAGCTGGAGCTGACAGAGGGAGCTCAACCCACTCTCCCCAGATTCGAACCGCTGACCTGTCTGTCAGCAGTCCTGCTGCCACAAGGGTTTAATCCATTGCACTACCAGGGACAATGGTGCAAGAAATTAAACAATTAAGTTCTGTAAAACAGGGCTAACTTAAGCAAACTCAGTTTAGATACTTCAAATGCAGAAGAAAGGATGAGAGCAAGAGAACAGCTTCCTATGAGTAAATATGGTTTCTGCACTCCTATAAATTACAATAGGATATTCAGGGAATTGGAAACACAAGGACAACAAGGTTGAAATTATATTATGCTGGGTGGAAATCATGATACTGGCAAACTAGCAACCTGGCAAGGATAACTTTAATCAAGGATAACTATTACAGCTTCAAAAAGGCCTCTCCCGGACCCAGATTGACCCGGAGGACATTTCTGAGGAATTCCGAAGCATTCTGTTTTGTCTGATGAGGCTGCATTCAGCCCACAATTCGCTTGAAGGGTCTTCTGGAGTTCGGATGTACCTTCAGGAAAGAAGGGAGTACCGATGTGGCAGAGTTTTTGAGGGACTGCAGCCGGTGGGCCCCCCATAAGGCCATCCCCACGAAGAAGACGGCCCCTCGAAGCAAGACGGCGTCCTCCATGTGGGTCCTGGAAACAAGGTAGAGAGCGGGGAGGTGGGCTTCAGTACCCTTTCCAATCAAAACCCAACTTCCCATAAACTCCATACCATGTATACCACCTCTCTCATAATTTGTATAAATAAAAATGTAATGTTCGTTTGCGGGATTAACATAACTCAAAAGCCACTGGATGAATTGACACCAAATGTGGACACAATACACCTATCAGGCCAACAAGTGACCATCACTCATAAAAACACTGGAAAACACAGCAGAAGAGACTTAAAAAGCCAAAAACCAAAAAATACATTACAACACATGCGCTAAAACACACACACACACATATATACACAAACACAAATATATACACACACAGAAAACACATATACACAGACTGGGCCACAGCAATGCGTGGCAGGGGACGGCCAGTAGTATCATAGAATAATAAGAGTTGGAAGAGACCGCATAGGCCATTCAGTCCAACCCACTGCCATGCAGGAAAATCGCAATAAAAGTATCCCCAACAGATGGGCTCGGCCTCATGTAAGCCGCACCGAGTCCCTTGGGGAGATGGTAGCGGGGTATAAATAAAGTGTTATTATTATTATTATTAGATGGCCATCCAGCCATCAGGAAGTTCTTCCTAATGTTCACGTGGAATCGTCTTTCCAGTCATTTGAACCCACTGCTCCAAGTCCTAGTTTACAGGGCAGCAGAAAACAAACCTGCTCCCTTTTCTTTATGACATCCTCTCAGATATTTATACATGGCTCCTCTCATGTCTCCTCTCACCCTTCTCTTCTGAAGGCAAAACAGACACAGCTCTTTCAAGCTGCTTCTCCTCATCAGTCCATCATCCAGCAAAGGATCCTTGGCTCCAAAGGGATTCATGATACTCTTATGGTACTACAGTAAAAGCCCATGCTCTCTGTCCTCCAGTCAAGAAGATATTTGCCCCACAAATTGTGCAACTCACCTGTCCTCCATGATCCGGCACATGTTGTAGATGGCACTATGCCCCAAGTGAGTTCCCAACAGGTTCCGCATGAGCTGAAAAAGTAACAGCAAAAGGTTGTCTTGTTAAATGTTAAGATCCTTGGACACAAAGAAAACTTTCCTCGCAGTAAGAAAGACACAATTATGCTAATTAAACGCTTCAAGAGTAGCACTCAATGAATGGACGCATAAATTTCATAGACTCATAGAGTTGGAAGGGATTTCGTGGGCCATCCAGTCTAACCCCCTGCCAAGAAAGTGACTTTCTTGTGACATTCAAAGCATCTCCGACAGATACTCTTCCAGCCTCTGTTTAAAAGCCTCCACAGAAGGAGCCTCCACCACTCTCCAGGGCAGAGAGTTCCACTGCTAAACAGCTCTCCTTAGAAAGTTAGGAAGTTCTATGCTACAGTTGTACCCCATCTCGAACTGCAAGGAGAGGTGGACAATACTACTCACCTCTGAGGATGCTTGCCATAGATGCAGGCGAAACATCAGGAGAAATGCCTCTAGAACATGGCCATATAGCCCGAAAAAACCCACAAGAACTGAATACTACTATTACTATTACTAGTAAAAATATTTTTATTTTTAATCTATATATTTTTTTTCCTAGCAATATACGTATTATCAGCCATTGTATAAAAACAATAATGTCTTTCAGACTTCTATCATTATATATATCAATTTAAACCAGTTTCCCCTTACCTGTCCCATTCAAAAATAATCAAAATTAGGAATAAATGGTTATAAAACAGACTTCCCACCTCAAAGACACAAAGTGAAAAAATTGTTAAAATCCTGTCAATCTATCATTTTAGACAGTTTCCACTTTATTATAATTTTGATTTTTTTATTATTTTATTACTATTTACTATTATCATTATAAACCATTTAGCAGTCTTACTGCATGGTTGGTTCCTGCATCTCTTTGATGATTCTCCTTAAGACATCTGTATCCCAGATTTGAATGATATCAACAGCAGCCACTGCATTTTGAATTGCATCCTACTGCTACTATAAGTCAATTCTGTGGCTGTGTTTCGTTTAGGTTTCATTCATATATCTCTCTGTGTGTGGTTTTTTCTATGTAATTTAGCAATTTATTGTATTTTTATGTTCATTTGTTTTTTTAATTTGTTGTACCCTGACTCGAGCTATCAGGAGACAGGGATAATTAATAAAAAATATTATTGTTGTTGTTGTTGTTGCATGATCAAGCTTTTGGGATAATAGGAGAAAACGCCTGGACAATGAGAGAACTTTTATTTTCTACATGTTTGTCTCTGAGATCCTCACTTTAAAATATCCTCATATCAGACAGTACAGAGATAAGTGCTGCCAGACAGAGCAGGAAGCAACGAGGTGGCCTGAGCTGGATAATAAACAGGTTTATATAGTGGCTGTATATATTTCTGAACTTTCTTGTTAGGGCCTTGCTTTGCAAGCTGCGTCTTGCTTTGATTCCTGGCCTCCCAGCAATGCAACCCACCTTCCAGCACGGCTCACAGAGTTCCTTCACATTGATGGTCCAACACAAAGTGACAATAAAGGCAGGAAGAGTTTCGGAAGGCAGGCGGTTATAACACACCACGGCATCCAGGACCTGAAGTGAGACCTTGGAAGAAGAAATGGAGCAAGAGGTTGGGAAAGAGGTGCCATTGCCTTGAAATAATAAGACTCTGCGGTTTTCACTGCCATCATCATTTCAGAGGCCCACACAGAAGTGATTCCCAAGAGTATTATTACACTATGTAACACAATTTTTGTTCCTGGGGTATAAATGTCATTTCCTAATTGGTTCTATCATAAACACGGAAAAGGTTTATTACATTAAAAACTTTCCTTTTCCAGGAGAGACATCCTGCAGCACATTTGGCTATAGTTTTTCAATGAATATCTCATAATAATAATAATAATAATAATAATAATAATAATAATCTTTATTTATACCCCACCACCATCTCCCCAAGGGGACTCGGAGCGGCTTACATGAGGCCAAGCCCAACAACACATCAGTAAAATAAAAAACAATAAGCAAAAACAATACAATTAATATAACTCACATATAAACAGTAACACACAAGGATTTAAAAAACCTCTGGCTGGACCAAACGTAATAGTTTTAAATTTAAAAAATAAACGCTGGGCATGAACAGAGGTAGGATGTATCTGCTAGGAGGGTTTTAAAAGAAATGAAGGGAGAGCAACCCAACGAGTAGTTAAAGTGTTTCTGAGGACATTTTGCTGGGGATTACTTCCTTATTCAGGGAAGGCACACTGGAACAGCCATGTTTTCAGGCTCCTCCTAAAGACTGCCAATGTGGGGGATTGCCCGATATCCTTAAAAAGTGAGTTCCAGAGTTGGGGGGCCATCACAGAGAAGGCCCGCTCCCTCGTCCCCACCAATCGCACCTGCGAAGGGGGCGGGAGCGAGAGCAGGGCCTCTCCAGATGATCAAAGAGATCGCGTGGATTTGTACACAGAAATGCGGTTACGCAGGTAGGCGGGTCCCAAACCGTTCAGGGCTTTGTAGGTAAGAACCGGCACCTTGAATTGGGACCGGAAAATGAACGGCAGCCAATGGAGCTCCTTAAACAGGGGGGTTGACCACTCCCTGTAAGTTGCTCCACTTAGTAGCCTGGCTGCCGCCCATTGGACCAATTGAAATTCCTGGGCCATCTTCAAGGGCAGCCCCATGTAGAGTCCATTATAGTAATCCAATCTGGAGGTGAGTCTCAACCACTTCAACATACCATATATGCTCAAGTGTAAGCTGAGTTTTTCAGCCCCCTTTTTAATCTGAAAAAGCCCCCCCCCCCCGGCTTATACTCGAGTGAGGGTCCTGATGGGTTTTGAGTCTCCTTTGTGGAGAGAAAAAGCAGGATATAAATAAACATAATAATAATTACTCCAAAGCCAATTGTCCTGCTGGCAGGGATCCAGCCAAGTGTAAAGATCCATAAAAACCATGTAATCACTTACTTCAATATCAACAGCAGAGGACGTCTGGATACATAAAAAGCAAATTGTGCTGCAGGAAAGAAAAAGATGATTTAGAAGTCCTTCTTTAATTTCAACTTGCTCTCTTGCCCAGGATTTCTAAATTTATGAGTTTGGGTGAGCAGTGAAGAAGCACCAAATAGGCATGTTCTGACTGAAAAAAATCCATTTAAAAACATTTGATCCATGTGGGGACACTTTGCCTTCACAGATTTAAGCCATAAACAGGATTTCTTTAAACTAGGGGAAGATTTACAGCTTAGACGTACCGGACCATGGTGGCAATATAGTCATCTAAGTAGCAGCTGTTGAACTTCACCAAGTTGACCAGCACCAGAAGGAATTCAGATGTCAGGCCAACTTGCATCCACTGGAGGACAAATTCGGCTGAGAAACAAAGGGAAATACACAAATCTCCATGTGAAATAGCTGGGGAAACACCCGGTTTTCCTAACTCCAGAAGTTAAATAAGTATTTCTGTTTTTGCCTGCCTCATCAAGTAATTGCATGCTCTCCAAGACCTGACTTGTTTCCCTCAATCCATAAGGAGAGGTGGGTAAGAAATAAAAATTATTATTATTATTATTATTATTATTATTACTATTATTAGGAGCCCTGGTGGTGCAATGGGTTAAGCCCTTGTGCCAGCAGGACTGCTGACCAAAAGGCCGGTGGTTCGAATCCAGGGAGCAGGATGAGCTTCCATCTGTCAGCTCCAGCTTCTTATGTGGGGATATGAGAGAAGCCCCCCATAGGATGGTAAAACATCCGGGCGTCCCCTGGGCAACGTCCTTGCAGACAGCCAATTCTCTCACATCAGAAGTGACTAGCAATTTCTCAAGTTGCTCCTGACACGGAAAAAAAAATCAAGTAATTCATCAGCCACGCCTTTACAATGCGCAACAAAATTTCAAGCATTATGAAGATAAATACATATCACACTAGATAAAAAAACATTATATCCTCAATAGATCTATATTACATACTTTTAGTAGCTTGATATCATTTTAATCATCATGGCTCCATACCATTAAATACTGGGATTTGTAGTTTGATGCCATATAATCCAGATAATTGAAGCAAATAATCCACATTATCTATTTTGAACTGGATTATATGAGTCTACACTAAAACAGGCAATCTGGATTTTATATGGCAGTGTAGAAAGGGCCAGACTTGAATGAGGTGCAGGACCTTTGTTGACATGATGATGATGATGATGATGATGATTGTTATCATTAGGATCATTATAAAAGCCGATGGGTAAATTATCAGGTGAGATATAAAGGCTGGAGCAGACATCCACTAGCATTAAAACTAACATTTTGAACATCTTTTACTATCAAATTCACAATTCTCTTCTCAAGGTATATTCTGCCCTTCTTAAATGGAAAATATGTAGTAGAGATTCTAACCCAGATCCATAACAGCATACCTATGTATCGAATTTTGCAATGTAATCACCTCTGCTTTCTACACTTGCAATGCTCACCATAGTTAAAACCTTCTAATGTTGTTTTTTTTTTCTTATGTGGGCAGTGAAGAAAATATATATTCTTCCAGGTTTGCATTGGGTGTTTTTTGTCTGTTAATTGTACTATTGTTTTTTTTTCCTTCGACTCGTTTTTCTTTCTTGTATTTTATGTTATTGCTGTAATCCGCCTTGAGGGCACTTGTGCTCAAAGGCAGTATGTAAATGTCTTTATAAATAAATGCTTAAATAAATTTTAAAAATTAAAATATAACAATTAACCACTTAGCATACCTAGTTCTTCCTCCAGGTAGGTTATGTATCTCCCATTATCTGTCAGAGCCTTGAAGACTTCAAGCCGTTCGTGCAGATCTTCATTCGAAGGGTAATCTTTGATCACTTTAAAGAAGTGAGCGCGAAGAATCCCCAGCCTCTCACCCTGAAAGAGGGAAAGAATGGGCTCTTTAATTCTTGTGGCTACTGATGTTTTTGAAAAGGCCCGCTTCTTTCACTCACTCCTGCTTGGCTTCTCTAGCTTGTGGGAAAGGGGGAACAAACTAGGAATGATCTGAATCATGAATCCCAGCTTGTCTTTCTTATATTTTTTAGAATTATAGAGTTGGAAAGACCCTCTGAGGCCATCCAATCCAACCCTCTTCTGCCTGGAAGAAATACACAATTAAATCTCTCCAACAGATGGTCATCCAGTCTCTTAGACATTAGGTTCTTGGGGTAATAGAGCTACAGTATCAAAGATGCCTACAGTTGGAAGGGACCCCAAGGACCATCCAGTCCAACCCCTTCTTCCAAGGAGGAAAAGCACAATCAAAGCACCCCTGACAGATGGCCATCAGTCTCAGCTTAAAAGCTTTCAAAGACAGAGCCTTCATCAGTCTTCTAAACAGAGAGTTCCACTGCTGAACAGCTCCTCTTACGGTCAGGAAGTTATTCCAATCATTTAGGTGGAACCTCCCTTCCTAATAATTTTTATTCAGAAAAACTAACAAAAATCTACAGACATTAAAAAAAACAAAGATTCAAACATAAGGCAAAATACAAAGACAGCACAAATCCATTTTTCTAATACAACCGCCCCCCCCCCCCCACTACTACAACCACTAAAAATGGTCGACATACAAATCCAAAGCACTTAAGTCTAAGGGCTTCACAGTCTCTGTCTGATAGGTTATTTCTCAAGTTTCCAGAAGAACCATGAATACATCTTCTTCTGAGAAGATGACACTCTTCCAATTCAACTAACCCATAATAAAGATTTGACCCTATCTTACTCCTAACAAGCCAGAATCAAAAGCCAAAAGGCAAACCCTGGCCTATGATTAGCACTCGTTTTGCTCACAATAAGCCAACGTGCTCTGTTTGTTCATGGTGATCCAGAACTCTCTGCCATTCGAGTTTACCATGCCATACCAACCAACTCATTCTGATTCCCTCAGGTGTGCCCCGAGCCTCACCTGTCCTTGAATAATTGCCTTCAGCAGATAAAGCACGGCATGTCTGGCCTCAGGTGGCCGGTCTGGCTGCAGCATATCCGCAATGGCCTTCCAGATTGCTTCCACCGCATGCTGAAAGCACACAACACTTCCATGTTAGCCACCCAGAACTGTTCATTGTGGACCAATATCAACAACAACAATACGAATGATAATAATGTTTATATATCACCCGCCTCTCCTTTTGATTTGAGGCGGGGCACAAAATAGTTAAATTCATCTATAAAATTGCATATTAAAACATAGTTACAATGCAATCATAAAAGCATTAATTAAAACATAAAATACCCGAGACAAAAGTTAAAACACAATCAACATAGAAAGTGATTTAAATGTTTTAATATAGTCTTTTCTGCTTTCCACAGTTTCAGGTTTTCAGTTGAAGTCTTGAAATATATTTCTTTATTTCTTTATCCGATTTCTCGTTGACCCACCCTTCGGGCTTCAAGCAAATCTACCATTTGCCATTTTATTATTTTCTAGTTGAATAGCTTAAAGCTATTAAGCTATTCGGAATATTTATTGGAATATATTTCCCATGGAATTGGGGGTGTACCATATTCCATAGTTGCTTCCCTCTTAGGATCTACCTAGTCTTAGTTCCTATTAGTGTTGCTTCTTCTTTCCTCATAAAGTCATTTAATTACAGTTCTTAATTCTGCAGCAGGTTCATTGGAAGGATCAAGTAAAAATACATCAAAGGACAATAACATGTTCTAAAAGTTACGGTGGAGACCATTGCCTCGAATAATATTACAAACTCTCTCTTGTATTAGAAGAGAAAATAGAAGATCCCTGAAAAAACAAATCCCAACCTCCCTATGATCCAAATCCAAAACCCTCTCTCACCATGTTCAAATTATGCCCATAATTGCTGTGTTGATACGATAAAGTGGCATTGAGAGGAGCATACACTAAAGTAGGTCCAAATTATCTATATATATTTTCACCCAAAACCCTGCACACTCACCTCTTCAAATTTTTTAGTTTTTGCTACTTCACAGATTTGGCCAATAGTTTTAATTCGGTTGTTCAAGCCACATTCTGGGCTCAGTTCCTGCAAAGAGAGGAGACAGGTGAGATACAGACTGGCGAGTATTTCGCCTCCAATGTCCATCTGAATCTGCCTCAAACTGAAAGGAGAGGCAGCTAATAAATAAATTATAGTATTATCATTATCATCCACAAATTAGTGCGCAGAAACCAGTGAGAATGGCCATGATAAACAACTGCCAGGATCAGAGCTGCTACATATTTCCTTTTCCCCAACAATCACATACAAACCTCCCTTTCATTCACACATTAGTGAGGAATCCAGTTAAGCCATGTTTAACATAATCAATGATTGCACGAATTGCGTAATAAAGCCTTCTCTTGCTGGAATAAAAATAAATTTTAAAAACATGCCAAATTTCTTGGAATGAAAAAACTGGCAGACACAGAGTGAAAGGTCTGTAGACTAGTCTTTATCTTTGTTAGCCTTGTTTGAGTAAGCATGTTAAGTGTGTATGTCTCTTGTGTTGGTGTGCTTTATTTTTTGTATGTGTGTGTATATATATATATATATAGTGAAGTTTTTATATTACTTAGAAAGTAGATGTTTTATTTCTAATACAAATGAATAACGTTAGAATGTGTTTGCTGTGGTAGCACCGCAGTTGTGGTAGCACAATGGGTTAAACCACTAGCTGCAAGAAAACTTCTGACCGGAGGGCTGGCAGTTAGAAGCTGCAAGTTGGGGTAAGCTCCCGCTTTTAGCCCTAGCTTCTGCCAACCTAGCAGTTCAAAAGCATGCAATGCAAGTAGATCAATAGGCACCGCATTGGTGGGAAGGTAAAGGGGCACCCCATGCAGTCAATGCCAGCAACATGATTGGAAATGTCTACAGACAACAGGCTCCTCAGCATGGAGAAATGGAATAAGAGCACCTCCCCATGGCCAGAGTTGAACACCACCTCCAGATGTCAGAGATGGAAGGGGAAGGCCTTTACTTTTGTCTGTGTATTGTATGTCGTTGTTGTTCACTGTGTAAAAGGCATTGAATGTTTGCCTTATATGTGTATACTGTAATCTGCTCTGAGTCCCTCTGGGAAGATAAAGCAGAATATAAATAAAGTGTATTATTATTGTTGTTGTTTGCTCACTTTATTATAGTTGATTATGGCTTTTCTTTTTTATCAATAAAACTTCATAGCAAAAAAAAATATGCCAAATAAAAATTCATTGCTACAATACTGTGAATTGTTTGGGTGACAACAGACTTAATGCAGAGACCAACCCCAGAGTTTAAGTTAAGAAAATTCCTCTTTCAGAAGGCTGCTTTTACATTCAGTTGCCATTTTGTCTTGTTTTTGAGGAGAGGCAAATAATGTCAGAACACAGAGCAAAAGGATATGACTGTCTCTAAATCAAAGACAGTTCACCAAGAATGAAAAAAGATTTAAAATCATTCTTTGTTCCCATTCACAGGTTAAGTTGTTTTCAAATAACACTATGTTACGAATTTTGAAAAAAAAAATCTGTTCCTGGTTTGAAAGTGTTATTTACTGTTTCATTGTGTGGTACTTACTTTGAAAGTAGTTGTTATGCTCCAGAAACTTTGTTTTTGTGGCTGCCAGAAACTTTATTGAATTGGTTGAGAATTGATGGGATAGTCACTGAAAAACTAGAGCAAAATGTGCTGCAAGGTGTCTCGCAAAAACAAAGTTTTTGCAGTTTAGTAAACTTTTCCCCTGTTTTTATGATAGAAATAGTTAGGAAATGATATTTATAACCTAGGAACAAAAATCGTGTTCATAGTGCAATTCCTGTTTCTCAGCCAACCCAGCGTTACCTTGAGTATCTCTGCCGTGATGATGAATTCAGTCTGCTTCCCTTCCGACGACTTTGAATTGGGCCTGGACTGCCCCAGGCCTAAAAGGCTCTTAAACTTCTCCTTCAGACCCGGGTCCTTACTCTGAGGCTTGGCCATCCTTCACTGAGAGCATCGAGGAAACTGGACAGATGAATAATCAAAATAAAGTGGCATCAAGAATAATTTAGTTAATAAACCTCATTATAATAACCAAATACCATGAAATGAACGACCACCAAAGTGAAACATTCCTTGTTAGAAGTACTCATCTGCCGAACAGTACCATAATTATTATGACAGGCAGTCTCCAAGTTACGAATGAGATATGTTCTGTATGTTTGTTTTTAAATTGAATTTGTATATAAGTCAGAACAGGTAATTTTTAAAGTGTAACTTCAACCATATATATGCAATCTTTGGATAGCATTGGGGAAGGTTAACACCCCTGTGATGTTTCCTTTGCTGCCTGTGCCCCTGTTCAGAAGATTTCACTCACTTTCTGTCCTCGTGATAATTGGATTAAAAAAAATGGCTTGTTGTGGAAACAAGGATTGGTGATAGAGCTTCAGCGTAGATCCCTTTTCCTTGTGATAATAGCTCTTCCAGGAGTGAATTTCCCTTTCTTCTGAGGGAGAGATTTCTCTCACTTCCTGTTTATTTATTTGTTGTATTTATATCTCACCTTTCTCACCCTGAAGCCATAGCAACAGACAATAAAAATAAACATATACATTAAAACAAAAAAATTAAAAAGCAATATAAATATTAAAACGCTTTATGAAAATCACGCAATCCAAAGACATAGTCAAAAGCCGTTGTGGTTGTCATTGCACATAATTCCACTTCACTTATTGAAATGCACTATTGGCCAAAGGCTTGGTCCCAGAGCCATGTTTTTACTTTCTTTCTGAAGGTCAGGAGGGAGGGGTCTGCTCTAATATTGCTGTGGAGGGAATTCCATAGCAAAGGGGCCATCACTGAGAATGCCCTGTTCCTCGTCCCCACCAGTTGTGCCTGCAAAGGAGGTGGGACCAAGAGTAGGGCCTCCTCTGATGATCTTAATATCCGAGATGGTTCATATTCAGACAGATAAGTTGGGTCAGAACCATTTAGGGCTTTATAGGTTAAGCCAGCACTCTGAATTGTGCTCGGTAGTAGACAGGCAGCCAGTGGATCTGATGTTAACAGGGGAGTTGTATGCTCCATTTAAGCCACTCCGGTGAAAAATCTGGCTGCCGCCTGTTAGATCACTTAAAGCTTCCGAACAGTCTTCAAAGGCAACCCCATGTAGAGTGCATTGCAGTTGTCTCGGCCCTGTTCTTAATTATGACTCATTTGTAAGTTGGATGTTTGTAACTCGTGGACTGCCTATATTAATATTAGTACAATTACAACAATAACAATAACACATTTTATTTCTTATCCATCTCTCTCCAAAGCGCAAAGAAAGTATAAACACACACATTGCTATAAATAATCAAAAATGTGTGGGTTTCTGGAGGAGATTTAATGCATTTTAACATTTCATGGTTTTAATGACACCACAGATGAACTGGGTTTTTGAATGTTTATATTACATTTTAGTGTATTTATGTTGTTTCAATGTATGTGAACTTCTAGTAAGTTATAATATTGGTGATACAAGAGATCTAATTGAAACTTATTGACTTTACAAACTGTATAATGATATGTTGTAGAAGGCTTTCATGACCAGAATCACTGGGGGTGATTCTGGTCATGAAAGTCTTTCTGTCGGGGGTGCTTTGAATGCAATTTTCCTGCTTCTTGGCAGGGGGTTGGACTGGATGGCCCATGAGGTCTCTTCCAACTCTATGATTCTGTTGGAAACTAGGCAAGTGGGGTTTATATATCTGTGGAATGTCTAGGGTGGGAGAAAGAACTATTTTCTGTTTGAGGCAAATATGAATGTTGATAATTGTCAACCTTGGTTAGCATTGAATGGTCTTGCAGTTTCAACACACAGCAACCCTGTATAATGATACTTATATTTCTGAAAAATTGTATATACCCTAAGGCAATGTATATTCACACACACATAGATAATAGTGCTTTTAATTGTAATACATACGTTTTTAATTGCAAATAGATATATGTGCATCGTAACTATACACACACATATAGTTAAAAGACAGACATATAGGTTACAATTAAAAACACAACAGATAAAATATGAAACATTTAAAATACAATACAATATACAACACAATCTAGATTCTGCCTGATCCAAGCTGCTTTTGTGCTGTTGTTGCTGTTGTTGTATAACATTAAGCCATTTATAACTTATGGAAACTCTAAGGCAAAGCTATCATTATGATTTCTTAGCAGAATTTCTTCAGAAGGGGCTGCTTTTTGTATATATAAATATATTTAGATATTTTTACTTATTTTTATCCTGCCTTTCTCCCAATATATACAGCTAACAGTAAATATAAAAGCATACCAATTAAAAAGGAAAAAATAGCTCTGAAACCATTTGTGACATTAAAACAATTAAATGTTAAAATATTCAAATACACTAAAACGTGCACTTCCTTCTGAAACAAACATATTCCACCTTTTCCCAAAAGGCAGCATCCAAAATCATTTTTAATTTTAAAAAATTAATATAAAAATAGAAAACCAAATAAATTTATTATTATTAATATTCCACTTTCCTCTCTAAAAAGTAGACTCACAGCATTGAAAACAATACAATTTTAAATTAAAAACCTACAACATAGAAATGTCAAAATAGAATTGTTCAAAAATCCTAAAACATCAAAACCCATTTTAACTACAACAGTCTCCCAAAAGCAGCTTTCAAAATCATTAAAAATACACAGTAAGATGGAAAGCAATGAAATCTATTTGTTGTTGAAGACTTTCATGGCCGGAATCACTGGGTTGCTGTGAGTTTTCTGGGCTGTATGGCCATGTTCCAGAAGCATTCTCTCTAACGTTTCACCCACATCTATGGCTGGCATTCTCAGAGGTTGTGAGGTCTGTTAGAAACCAGGTGAGGTTTATATACCTGTGGAATAATGTCCAGGGTGGGAGAAAGAACTCTTGTCTGTTGGAGGCAAGTGTGAATGTTGCAGTTGGCCACATGATTGCAAATGCTAACAAGGTGGCCAATTGCAACATTCCCACTTGCCTCAAACAGACCAGAGTTCTTTCTTCCACCCTGAGCATTCCACAGATATATAAACCCCACTTGCCTAGTGATTAGCACTGAATGGCCTTGCAGCTTCAAAGCCTGGCTGCTTCCTGCCTGGGGGAATCCTTTGTTGGGAGGTATTAACTGATCCTGATTGATTCTTGTCTGGAATTCCCGTTTTTTTTAGTGTTGCTTTTTATTTTCTGTCCTGACTTTAGAGTATTTTAAAATGCAGGCCAGTTAACACCTCCCAACAAAAAAATCCCCCCAGGCAGGAAGCAGCCAGGCTTTGAAGCTGCAAGGCTATTTCATGCTAATCAAGGTAGCCAAATGCAACATTCACACCTGCCTCAAGCAGACAAGAGTTCTTTCTCCCACCATGGATATTATTGCACAGATATATAAACCCCACTTTCCTAGTTTCCAACAACCTCTGAGGATGCCTGCCATAGATGTGGGCGAAAGGTCAGGAGAGAATGCTTCTGGAACATGGCCAGACAGGCCAGAAAACTCACTGCAATCCAAGATATAAACAGCTTTAGGGAATCCATGGCTCCCAAAAAGAGGCCCTCCTCCCATTAACCCTCCCTTGATTACCGATAATTAACCCCCCTCCCCTAATTACCGGCTCCCGCAGCTGCTCCCTCCTCTTTCTGGCTCCCAAACTGGGTCCCGCCCCCTCCAGGCGGAAACCCGACACCACTTCCGGTTTTCACCCTAAGGGGGAAAGAGATTCCTATGGAGGCCCGCGAAGGACTTTCTTGCCCGCTTCGAAGTCCCGGACGCACATGCGCACTGACAGGAGAGTCTGCTCCTTGCTGCTGCTAAGCAAAGCAAAAGGTGAAGAAACAGTAGGGGAATAGAAGCGAATGGGTGCCATGGCTGCTTTAAGCCTGAAGCTTTTATTGCACTTTGCATCCCTTCTTTCTGACCGTTTTAAATGGCTCAACTTCCCAGAATCTCCCTTTGCTGTTGCTGGGAGATGTAGTCCTCCAAAAGGGCTCTGTTTTCCATTCCTTTGCATGGCTTTCATTGCATTCCCAGTGCAATCTGCTAGTTTTCATTTTAACCTAATGTCGGGGTTGAGCTAGGTACTTTGTTTGGACTTCAAATCCCAGCAGCTGCAAACTTATGCAATGTAAGGGGAAGTTACAGCAATTGCAGGCTAACTCTGGGTGCATCTGCACTGTCCGATTACTGCAGTTCGATACCATTTTTAATTGCTTTGTCTCAATGTGCTGCAATCCTGAGATTTGTAGTTCAGTGGCGCACCAAACTCCAAAAAGACCTTGTCAAATTACAACTCAATTTCCACGCATTGAGACAAAGCAATTAGACTGGCTTTTTATTGTATTAATGTAATGTTTTAACTGTTTATAATGATTGTTACTATGTATTTTATTGTGTTGAATTGTAGGCATCAAACGTATGCTGGTTGGAAGCCGCCCTGAGTCCCCCTTAGGGGGTTGAGAAGGGCAGGGTAGAAGTACCTGAAATAAATAAATAAATAAAGTGGTATCAACTGCAGTAATTCGACAATGTAGACAGCCAGAGTTAGCCCGCAATTGACGTAACTTCCCATAACATTGCATAAGTCTGCAGCTGCTGGGATTTGAAGTCCAAACACAGTGCTTAAACATGGTATCAAACTATTAATAATACTATAATGTTAGATATACATCCTACAGCTCCTGGGAGACCATAGAATTGAGCCGGGGCAGTTAAAGTGACATCAAACTGTATTAATTTGGCAGTGTAGATAGTTTGCAACTGTGCTATACCAGTACTAACTGTGTTATACCAGTAATAACTGTTATACCAGTACTAACTGTCTTATACCAGTTGTAACTGTGCTATACCTGCCCTTGTCAAACTAGAACTCCCAGGATGGCTCTCATGAGTACATGGCAACTCCAAGTGGTGCGAAAATTGCATTAATATGACAATATAGATGAGACTAATTTTCCAAGTTCCTTTTCCTTCCAGCATCCGGTGAAATCCTGGCCCAAAAGAGGAGCAAAGTCTGCATTGCCTATGACTCTGCTGGAGAAAATGACATCAAGGAGGCAACCAAAAGAAAGAGATGGGAGCCCCGGAATTGGGAGCAGCACCTGAGCAATATCCGAGAAATGAGGAAGGCGAAGGATGCTCCAGTGGACCAGATGGGAGCCGGGAAATGCTATGATGCCGATGCTCCTCCAGAGGTGAGGCTGGTGCATCCACACTGTGGAATTTAACACAGTTTGGCGCCGTTTCCAACTGCTGTGACTCAAGACTATGAAATTCCTGGAAGGTCTTGAGCCTTCTCTGCCTAAAGGTGCTTCCATGCTGTAGAACAAATTCACTTTTAACTGCTATAATTCAATAGTAGTTGTTGTTTTTTTTAAAAAAAATTATTGAAGGTTAAGCATAAAATAAAAAAGGAGATTTAGAGAAAGTACATTTAAAGTGGGAGAACATTCAATTCAAAGAAAAATTATAAAATTGATATGAAAAAGCATATTCAATTCAAAGAAAACTTAGAGAATTGATATGAAAAGTAGTTGTTTTGACCCTCTTTGGGCTCCTCTGCCCAACAGTGGCAAACTATAATTCCCAGGATCCTGCAGCACTGAGCCCTGTCAATTCAAGTGATGTCAAACTGCATACTAGATCTAGATTTTGTGCCATGCTGTTGTTCAACCCCCAAAGGCTGCTTTATATTCAATTATAGGTGGCTTTATAATATGATCTAATGATTGCAGGAATACTTCAACTTCCAGGATTCGCTAGCATTGAGCCATGGCAGTAAAAGTGGTATCAAACTGCATTCATTCTTCAATGTGGATGGATTAAGAATGAGTCTATGCTGTCAAATGAATGCAGCTTGACTCCTCTTATGATCCTGGGAGTCGTAGTTTGGCACTCTTTGGCAGGAAAGGCTAAGGAACTTGCCGAATTACCACTCCCATGTCTCCATAGCATTGAAGTCATGGCAGTCAGTGGCGTCAAACTGCATTCATTCCACAGTGCAGATGTACCCATGGTTTGCTCAGGGACTTTCCTAGGTATTGAAACCGGCGTCCTTCCCATTGGGTTCAATGGCGTCAGCTGTCCACTTCCATTCATCCCTCATTCTAGGTCATGCGCTACCAGGTCCTTCTGTCGCTGATGCTCTCCAGCCAAACCAAGGACCAGGTCACTTCAGCCGCCATGATGCGCCTCCGGGAACATGGCCTCACAGTGGACAACGTTCTGAAGACCAATGATGCAACTTTGGGTCAGCTAATCTATCCGGTGGGGTTTTGGAAGGTGAGAGGTTGGATTGGTTTGCTAGTGGGAGAAGGCAATGGTCAAGCAGGGGCTTCAAGGAGAACATATAGCAGGTAAAGGGTGATTCTACACTAAAGAACGAATGCAAGTTTCTATTATTATTATTACTACTACTACTACTACTACTACGGTTAGTCCAGATGGAGAGTTGGAGGTAATGGTCAAACAAGGGTTTAAGGAGAAAATATGGCTTACAGGTATGGCAAGATTCTATGCTGCATTACAAATATAAATAACAAATAAGCACATGGAGTTATAAAACAGATAAAAATAAATAAATACAATTAAAAGATTAAAAACTGAAAACATAATGGCTAGACACGTAGTCATTGTTAGTGCTGCATTCCATGTTGCACTATTCCTCAAATGCCTGGTGCCATAGCCAGGTCTTCAGCTTTTTTCCTGAATGTGAGGAGGGAGGGGACTAGTCTAATGTCACTGGAGAGGGAGTTGCATAGTCGAGGGGCCACCACTGAGAAGGCCCTGTTTCTCGTCCCCACCAATCGTGCCTGCGAGGGGGATGGGATGGAGAGCAGGGCCTCCCCGGCTGATCTTAATGCTCTAACTGGTCCATGGCAGGAGATACGTTCAGATAGGTAAGTTGGGCCAGAACTGTTTAGGGCTTTATAGCCTGGAGCCAGCACTTCGAATTGGGCTCAGTAGCAGAATGGCAGCCAGTTGAGTTGGCTCAACAGAGGGGTTGTGTGCTCCCTGTACACCGCTCTGGTGAGCAACCTGGCTGCCACCCGTTGGACTTTATGAAGCTTCCAAACAGTCTTCAAAGGTAACCCCATGTAGAACACATTGCAGTAGTCTATTCGAGATGTGCCGAGAGTATGGACTACCGTGGCAAGTTTTAATTGTGCAAAAGCTTTCCTGGCTACTGCCGAGACCTGGTGTTCCAGGCTTAGTGATGAATCCAGGAGAACTCCCAAGTTCCGAACCTTTGTCTTCAGGGGGAGTGTAACCCTGTCCAGCACAGGCTGTAACCCTATGCCCTGTTCGGCCTTTCGACTGACCGGGAGTACCTCTGTCTTGTCTGGATTGATCGCCCTCATCCAGATATAGCCATCAAAGGGTGTATCTAAACTGTAGAATTCATCAGGTTGTTGTTATTATTATTATTAAACTATGTAACAAAATTTGATTTTTTTTTCTGTTCTTGGTTTGAAAGTATTATTTCTTGTTTAATTGTGTGGTACTTACTTTGAAAGTAGTTGCTATACTCCAGAAACTTTGTTTTTGTGGCTGCCACAAACTGCATTGAATTGGTTGAGAGTCGATGAGATAGTCATTTAAAAACTAGAGCCAAATGTGTTACAGGAGGTCCCTCCCGCAAAAACAAAGTTTTTGCAGTTTAACACATTTTTCCATGCTTTTATAATAGCACAAATTAGAAAATGACATTTATAATCCAGGATCATGTTACATAGTGTTAGTATATTTCTGGGCGATTTATTTATTTATTTATTTATTTATTTATTATTGCTGTTGTGTGCAAAATGGCTTTGTTTTCCCCAAAGTAGAACATATTTCATTATCTCTCTTCCCCTCTAATCGCAGCGCAAGGTGAAGTACATCAAGGACACCACTGCCATTCTGAAGCGCGACTATGACAGCGACATCCCCAAGACAGTCGGAGAGCTGGTCAAGCTGCCGGGAGTCGGCCCCAAGATGGCCCATTTGGTGATGGACATTGCTTGGCAGGACGTCTCTGGAATCGGTACTTTGGGGACGTTACTCCTCCCAACTTCTGTAAGGCAGCCCTTGGGTGTGGAGACAGGCTAAATGGCAATAAATAGGAGGTTTAAATGTTTAAATGTTTGTACGCAATGAGTTGTCCGTAGGCAGAAGGTGGCGCCATGCTCCCGTTCTCCTCCTTTGGTTCAACCTCCCACTTTCTCATTTAGAGGGTTTTTCTGTTTTCCAATACAATTTCCAATTTCTAATTTAAGATATATTAAAATGGAGATTGTAAAGAGATAGGAAATCCCAAAGAGTTTCGGAGCCTCCTTGGGTTATTTTAACAATAAGAAGAAAAGGAGAAGAGGGGGAAGAAGAGGAAGAGAAAGGTGAAGGAAGAGAAGAAAAAGAAGAGGAATATAAATTAAGTTTTATTATAAGATGATGAAGAGAAAGAGAAAGAGGAGGAAGAGGTATTTATATACATTTTAATATGAGTTGCAAAGAGACACACACTAAATTGTTGTTGTTGTTGTTATAAATTATCCACCTCTCCTTTTATATCTCATATTAAAATGTATATAATTACCAGGTTGGGAGCGGAAGTCTTTAAATATGTATTCAAAGTTGGGAGTCTTACAAACTCTTGAGCCCTCTCTGCCACAATGCGCCTTGCCAAATTACAACTCCTAGTGGTGTCAATCTGCATGAATTCTACAGTGTATATACACATGTATAGAGCCTGGGGTCATTTCCCCCACCAAACACCCATTTAATAGATAATTCTGTAAGCACATAGCAAAAGCACATGTTTCCTGTGTGCATAGGTTGAGATGGTTCTCAAACTTTAGAGTGATTTATTTATTTATCGTGTCATCCGCAACCAGAACATTGTATTACATTTCTAACAGAACAAACAAACAGACAGACAGATAAAAAAAAACCGACAAATTTTGCGAACTTGGTAGCTGATTAAATGTCCTTTGACCAGTATCTGGCCACTTGGAGTGCCTCTGGTGTTGTCGCAAGAAGGTCCTCCATCGTGCATGTGGCAGGGCTCAGGTTGCATTGCAGCAGGTGGTCAGTGGTTTGCTCTTCTCCACACTCGCATGTCGTGGATTCCACTTTGTAGCCCCATTTCTTAAGATTGGCTCTGCATCTCGTGGTGCCAGAGCGCAGTCTGTTCAGCGCCTTCCAAGTCGCCCAGTCTTCTGTGTGCCCAGGAGGGAGTCTCTCATCTGGTATCACCCACGGATTGAGGTTCTGGGTTTGAGCCTGCCACTTTTGGACTCTCGCTTGCTGAGGTGTTCCAGCGAGTGTCTCTGTAGATCTAAGAAAACTATTTCTTGATTTAAGTCGTTGACATGCTGGCTGATACCCAAACAAGGGATGAGCTGGAGATGTCTCTGCCTTGGTCCTTTCACTATTGGCTGCAACTTCCCGGCGGATGTCAGGTGGTGCAATACCGGCTAAGCAGTGTAATTTCTCCAGTGGTGTAGGGCGCAGACACCCTGTGATAATGCGGCATGTCCCATTAAGAGCCACATCCACTGTTTTAGTTTTTAGGGTGATGGGGACATATAATAATAGTAATAGTAGTAATAGTAATATTTTCCCAACCAACCAATATCAATGAAGATCAAATTATTATTATTGTTATTATTAACAATAATAGTACTCATATTTCCCAAACAGTATAGATGTGGAGCATATAATAACAATAAATTGATGATTGTGTTGTTGTTGTTGTTGATGATGATATAATAATATCTTCCAAACCAAACAATATAGATGAGGGGCATATAATAACAACAACAACAATAACATCTTCTCAACCAACATAGCAGTGTACCTTTTTCTCCATCCTAAATCCCCCTTTCTGTAGGTGTGGACACACATGTGCATCGGATTTGCAACCGATTGAAGTGGACCAAGAATGAAACCAAGCTCCCTGAGGAAACAAGGCAAGCCCTGGAAGAATGGCTGCCCAGGTAATCCCAATGGAGTTTGTACATAGAATTATAGTTCGAAGGGATGTCAAAAGGCCATCTAGTTCAACCCCTTTCTCCAGGAAAACACCACTCAAGGCCTCCCAACAGATGGCCATTTGGCCTCTGCTTAAAGACCTCCAAAGGAGGGGGCTCCCAGGCAGCATATTTCTTTGCCAAACAGTTCTACCCATCATGAAGTTCTTCCTAATTATTAAGTGGAATCTCTTTTCCTGCCATTTGAATCCATCCTGGCATTGAGCCATAGATAAATATATAGCACTAGCTGTGCCCTGCCACGCGTTGCTGTGGCCTATAGTAAAACTTATCAAAGTTGAGGTAGATATCTGGACTATTATGAAAGAGAGGTACCTACCTATTCCTTCCCCCTTTTCCTCCCCCTTTCTTCCTTCTCTACCTCTTTCTTTCTTTCCTTCTTTCACTACTTGGTTTCATCCTTCCCTCTTTCCTTCATTCCCTCCCCCTTTCTTCCCTCCCTGTTTGCTTCCTTCTTTCACTTTTTATTTCCTTTTATTTCACCACCATCATAACAATAACAATAATGCAATGCATTGCCTCTGGGACCTGACACCTCTCCCATTCCCCCAGGGTCTCATAGGAATAATAGCATAATAATAATAGTAATAACAACCTTTATCCGCCACGCGTTGCTGTGGCCAACCTTCCTTCTTTCTCTCCTTCTTTCCCTTCTTCCTTCCTTCCTTCCTTCCCTCCCATCTTTCCTTCTCTCCTTTCTTCCTTCCCCCTTTTTCTTTCTCTTCTGGTCTCTTTTCTTCCTTCTCTCTTTCCTTCTTTCCTTCCCTCCCTCTTTCTCTACATCTTCGCCCTTCCTTCACTCCCTCTTTCCTTCCTTCATTCCCTTTTTTCTTTCCTTCCTTCCTTCCTTCCTTCCCTTTTTTCTTTCTCTTCTGGTCTCTTTTCTTCCTTCTCTCTTTCCTTCTTTCCTTCCCTCCCTCTTTATCTACATCTTCCCCCTTCCTTCACTCCCTCTTTCCTTTCTTTCCTTCTCTCCTTCCTTCTTTCCCCCTTTTTCTTTCCCTCCCTCTGTCTCTCATTTCTTCCTTCTCTACCTCTTTCCTTCCTTCCCCCCTTTTCTTTCTCTTCTGCTGTCTCTCTTTTCTTTCCTTCCATCTTTCCTTTTCTTTCCTTTTCTTTTCCTTCTTTCTCTCACTTTCCTTCCTTCCCCCTTTTTCTTTACCTCCCTTTCTCTTCTTCCTTCTTTCCTTCCTTCCTGTCTTTCCTGGATTTTGACAGGGCGGGGAGGGGCGGGGGGGGGTTGGAGGTGGCGTGAAGTAAAAGGAGGTAAGATTGGGGCGGGGGGAGTGGGGGTTGCGTGTGTGTGTACGGCGGCGGGGAGTGATGGAGCGTGGGGTTGCGTTTGTGTGTGTGTCGGCGGGGGGAGTGATGGAGCGTGGGGTTGCATGTGTGTGTGCGGCGGCGGGGGGGGATGGGGGTGTGTGTGTGTGCGGGCGGGGGGAGTGATGGAGCGTGGGGTCGCGCGTGTGTGTGCGGCGGCGGGGGGAGTGATGGAGCGTGGGGTTGCGTGTGTGTGTGTGGCGGCGGGGGAGTGGGGTTGCGTGTGTGTGTGCGGCGGCAGGGGGAGTGATGGAGCGTGGGGTTGCGTGTGTGTGTGCGGCGGGGGGAGTGATGGAGCGTGGGGTTGCGTGTGTGTGTGCGGCGGCGGGGGGAGTGATGGAGCGTGGGGTTGCGTGTGTGTGTGTGGCGGCGGGGGAAGTGGGGTTGTGTGTGTGTGTGCGGCGGCGCAGGGAGTGATGGAGCGGTTGCGTGTGTGTGTGCGGCGGGGGGAGTGATGGAGCGTGGGGTTGCGTGTGTGTGGTGGCGGCGGGGGGAGTGATGGAGCGTGGGGTTGTGTGTGCGTGCGGCAGGGGGTGTGTGTGCGGGAAGCGGCGCGGCGGGGCTTGGAGTGGGCATGGCTTCCGCAGAGGGAACGTTGGCTGGAAGGCTGTGTGCGCGCGCCAGGGAACTTGCGGCTGGGCGCCAATGCGCATGCTCAGTTGTTTTGCCGTTTTGTGAGTGTGTTGTTGTGTTGTTTTTCATTTTGAGTAGATATGTTTGTACCTTGTGGATTGTGTTATGAGCATGGGAAATTTGGTTAAGTTTCGTTGGGGGTTTTTTGAGTTTTGTTGTTTTGCCGTTTTGTGAGTGTGTTGTTGTGTTGTTTTTCATTTTGAGTAGATATGTTTGTACCTTGTGGGTTGTGTTATGGGCATGGGAATTTTGGTTAAGTTTCGTTGGGGGGTTGTGGAGTTTTGCTGTCCTGTTGAACCAACCTAACAGATTTATATATATAGATGGTATATAGCATATATGTCTGTCTATCTATCTACTTATATGGCACATAGCATAGTATTGGGCCATAGATAAATATACAGCAAAGCATATAGCATATCTATCTATATTTATGGCATATGCTAGCATAGCATTAAGCCATAGATAAATATATAGCACGGCATATAGCATATATGTGTATCTCTCTCCTTCCCCCCCCCCCTCTCTCTATATGGTTTCTAGCATAGCATTGAGCCATAGATAGCATGGCATCTAGCAGACATGTATATCTATCTGTCTATATGGCATATAGCATAGCACTGAGCCATAGATAGATAGGCATAAAGCCTATCTCTCCCTCGTGTGTGTGTGTGTGTATGGTATATGATATATAGCATAGCATTGAGCCATAGAAAAATATATAGCATGGCATATAGCATATCTATCAATCTATCTATCTATATACCAAATAGCATTGCATTGAGCTATAGATAAATCTATATCATTGCATATAGCATATATGTCTGTCTGTCTATCTATCTATCTGTAGGGCATATAGCATAACATTGAGCCATTGATAAATTTATAGTAGGGCATATAGCATATCTGTCTATTTATCTATATACCAAATAGCATAGCACTGAGCCATAAATAAATCAATAGCATTGCATATAGCATATATGTCTGTCTGTCTATCTGTAGCATAGCATTAAGCCATAGATAAATATATAGCATGGCATATAGCATATCTATAATGTATGAATTCTTTATTGGCCCCATAGGGAACTCTGGAGTGAGATCAACTGGCTGCTGGTTGGGTTTGGCCAGCAAACCTGCCTTCCCATTGCCCCCCGCTGCAGCCAGTGCCTCAACAAGGACATCTGCCCAGCTTCCAAGAAACGCTGAAGACGCAAAAGAGGAAAAGGTGATTCCATGAAGGTGTATTTCGACTTTCCTTTGGTCTTGAATCAGAGGGGATGGAATCGTATAGCCTTCCAGATACGGTTGGACTGCAATTCCCAATGCTCCTCCCTGGCCGGGGATGATGGAAGTTGCAGTCAAAGGCCATATGGTTTTTATGGCTGGTTTAATTCCAATTGTTTGGCCTGTGTAGACAAGACTAGTTGGTTCCCAAGCCTTGCCCTTCTGGCTGCGGATTCTGAGAGATGGAGTCTAAAAGGGGAACAAGGTTAGGGAACCATTGGACTAGAAGCATTCAATCCATGACACTAAATAGGTTTTCTTAGGTTGGATCTGGACCAAAATATGGCGAGGGAGAGGCAGAACAAGGGCATCTATTCCTCTGAGCATGTTATGGGAAACTCCTTGGTGATGAATCGGATCTGCTATTATATCAGGGATTTCTGCTGGCTCATTTTGACATTTTTAATTATCCTCTTTTTATTTTCTTCTTTATTAAAGGTTCAGGATGGCTTTCTGGGTGGCTACCATATGCATACTTTCCTCCCTTCCTAGGAAATGTTTGCAGATCCTGGAATTCCCCATTTAAGCACTAATAAGTTAGTTGCTAGGCAGGAATAATTGCCTGGTAACAGCAATGAATAGGGGGACACTCAAAGGTATGATCCTTGAGTCAGGAAAGGAAAGATGGTGGTTGCAAAACAAATGGAACTTGTAGTCCTCTCTTATCGCTCTGTTGAAGCCTTTGGAAAACTGCAATGAAAAGGAATGAAAAGGAATTTTGGAAAATAGATGGTTTAAAAGCAGGAAGTCTTAAACCAAAAGCAGAAATTATTCTTTCTTTTCTAGTCCTGTTGGATTGCAATTCCCAGCAGTGAGGAGTGATGGACTTTGCAATCCTCAAATCATTCCCAGACATTGGAGAGAACCCTAAATAAATCCCACCTTAAAGGAATCATCTATTTTTCTATAATAATATTTTGCCATGCCTTACCAGTCATCTTGGATCGCAACTCCCAGCAGCCCGAAATGGTGAGGAATAATGGGTGTCACAGTCCCAATACCATTAAGCATTTGAAAGAATGGCATTCACCTTACACTGTTTTTTCCTATAATAAACATTATGTTCTTTGTTAAACATGGTGTCCGCAAGTATGTGTTATGTTCAGGGCTGCGTCTACACTGTGGAATTAATGCAGTTTGACGCCGCTTTGGTGAAACTACTTCTCACAGGATCCCATTTGAGCCATGGCAGTTAAAAAGTGATGTCAAACTGCATTCATTCTGCAATGTAGATGTATCGGAGCCAAGGAGAAAATTGCAGGATTATCAATACAGCAAACACCAGGAACGCCCAACGTCTCTCTGTACATGGTAAACCTATTTTTTTATTACTGACATTTTAGTATACATTTATTTATTTTTACACAATGCAATTAACAGCTCTGATAACTTTGTAATAAGTTTCTAAGAAGTGCAGAAACGGAGGGTTAACTGTGCTTAGCATTAAAACGTGCTTTTTAAATCAGGAGGGGAAATAAATCATTCAGTGGAAAAAGACGGACAAGGGATCGTTATATTTGTTATTATTTGCCGGCGAGTTTTCCACAGGTATTTCGATCCTCAAAGCCATGCTTTCAACCCACCAAAAAGCTTCTGTGTTACTCTGAGCGCTTCCACGCTGTTGAATTGAGGCAGTTCGACAGCACTTTTAACTGCCATGGCTCAGTGCAATCTTGGGAGCTGTCCATAGTGCCAAAGTATGTCTCCCAGGATCCCATAGCATTAGGCAGTTAAAGTGGTGCTAAACTGGATCAATTCTACAGTGTAGACCAGGCATGGGCAAACTTGGGCCCTCCAGGTGTTTTGGACTTCAACTCCCACAATTCCTAACAGCCGGTAGGAACCCTTCCAGCATTGTATGTCGTAACATTTCAGCAAAATACTCTTCCAAAAGTCTTTCCAAAGTAAGGATATTTTTTTTGCTCAATCTCGTTGCAACACATAAGAAATATGGTGTTCATCTAAGGCACCGTATTCAACTGGGTCATTTACAAAATATACACATGCATCTCTTTGCCCTTAAAAATATTGCTTTCCTTTTCATTTTTTTAACAACCCGACATACATTGTCCATTCGGGCTCCATATCAGGACTGCAAACACTTGCTTTGAGATATATCTGCCTGGTTAATTCGCCATCTACACTGGCGAATTAACGCAGTTTGGTACTGCTTTAACAGCCGTGACTCAATGCTATGGAATCCTGGGAACTGTATTTTTACAATGTCCTGAGCCTATGGAATACTACCATTGAGTTACAGGAGTTAAAGTGGTGCCAAACGGCATTATTTCTCCAGTGTAGGTGCACTGAACAGAGCCATACAATTGGAGGAAAAGCCTCCAAATGTTTTTTACCATTTTGCATATCTTCCCACTGATAACTCTAGCAATTCTGCAACTTTTGCAAACTAAAGGTGCATATGCACTGTAGAATTAATGCAGTTTGGCCCCACTTTAAGTGCAGTTTTTTTAATGCTATAGAATCCAAGGGGTTTCACCTTCTCTGCTTCAAGAGTGCAAACCACAGCTCCCAGGATGCAGTAGATTTGAGCCATGGCACTTAAAGTGATATCAAACTGAATTATTTCCATGGTGTAGATGCCTCCTGAGATAAATAAAAGGCAAAATGCAAGGGGAAATATTCTGCTTTCTCATAGAAAGGACTGCACATGGATGACATCATGTTTTTCCCCTCCTTTAAGGGAGATGATAATAATAATCCAGAATTCGATCCAGTGAGAAAATTTACAAATCATGGAATGGTTAAATCAGCCTATTGATGAGGATGTTCACACTGTAGCCCATAGCAATATAAGGAAATATAGATATATAGATATTGATATGCTCTTGTTTGTGATATAAAAAAAATATTGAGAATGCCTAAAAGAAAAAGGAAGAGAGGAAGAAACGCAGTCAGTAATACAAAAAAAATGGCCCTGTAAATAATATATTCTAAATATTATGCATTAAGTGATCCCAAAATGAGAAGGAAATTAAACTATTTCTGCCTTCCTTCCTTCCTTCCTTCCTTCCTTCCTTCCTACCTACCTACCTACCTACCTACCTACCTACCTACCTTCTTTCATCTTTAGTATTGGAAAGGGTGAATTCTTTCTTTCTCTCTTTCTTTCTCTTTGTATGACCACTTTTAGTTCCATAGAAGAAGCCTGGAAAAAATAACATCTGCCTTGTATGAAGCAATGCAAACCTACAACAAGAAGGAGAGTTCTTTCTTTCTTTCTTTCTTTCTTTCTTTCTTTCTTTCTTTCTTTCTTTTTCCTCATTATTTCATTCGTTTGTTCTTTTTCTTCGTATTTCCACATTTTAGTTCCATTAGAGAAGCCTGGAAAAAAGTAAAAATCTGCCTGGTACAAATCAATGCAAACCTATCTGACCCAGGGGAGCTGTCTTTTCTTTCCTTTCCTTTCTTTTGTATGACCGCTTTTAGTTCCATAAGAGAAGCCTGGAGAAATGAAATATCTGCCTGCTACGAAGCAATGCAAACCTACAAGAACGAGGGGAATTAATTCTTTCTTTTGTTCCTTTTTTCTTTCTATTTTTCATTCCTTCATTTGGTCTTTCTTTCTCTTTCTGCTTCCATTAAGAGAAGCCTGGAAAAAATAAATATCTGCCTGCTATGAAGCAATGCAAATCTATGAGGAGGAGGGGAGTTTGTTCTTTCTTTTGCTTCTTTCTTTCTATCCTTCGTTCCTTCTTTCTCTTTGCGTTTCTATAAGAGAAGCCTGGAGAAATTAAATATCTGCCTGGTGCAAAGCAAGGCAAACCTATGAGAAGGAGCGAAGTTCATTCTTTCTTTTGCTCCTTCTTTCTTTCTGTCCTTCTTTCTTTCTCTTTGTGTTTCCATAAGAGAAGCATGAAGAAATGAAATATCTGCCTGCTATGAAGCAATGCAAACCTACAAGAAAGGGGAGGAGGGGGCAATGAGTCCTGGAGGTGGGTCTGGGCATGATCCGAACCCGTCGCCAGCGTCCCATGGTGGAAGGAAGGGAGGCCAAGAGCGAAGCTCAGAAGTTGCTGAAGATCTCCCTCTTCTTGTTCCAGTCCATCTGTGGGGCCCGCTTGTTGACCCGCTTGGCCCGGACCTTCTCTTTGGCCTCAGCAGCCGTTGGGCTCAAGCTCAAGCCGCTCTCCTCGAAGGGGTCCCTCTTTCGGGGCTGGAAAGAGAGGCAAGCATTAGGATTGAGGGGACTTCAAAGGCCATCCAGTCCAACCCCTTTCTTCCAAGCAGGAAGACACAATCAAAGCACCTCTCAACATATGGCCACCCAGTCTCATAGTCATTGCAAGGTTCATGGAGTAATAGAGCTATAGAATCCTAGAGATGGAAGGGACCCCCAAAAGCCATTCAGTCCAACCCCCTTCTGCCAGACAGGAAGACCTAATCCAGGCACCTCCAGCTGATGGCCAGCTAACCTCATAGACCTTAAAAGATTCATGGAGAAATAGGACTACAGAATCCTAGAATTGGAAGGGACACCTAGAGGCCATCCAATCCAACCTCTTTTTTCCAAGCAGGAAGACGCAATCGAAGCATCCCTCAACATATGTCCAGCTAACCTCATAGACATTGAAAGTTTAATAAAGAAACAGGGTTAAATAGGATTATAGAATTGGAAAGGACCACCAAAGGCCATCCAGTCCAACCTCCTTCTGCCAGGAAGGAAGACACAATCCAAGCGTTCCCAACTGATGGCCATCCAGCCTCTGAATCATAGAGTTGGAAGGGACCTCCAAAGGCCATCCAGTCCAACCACTTTCAGCCAGGCAGCAAGGCACAATCCAAGCGTTCCCAATCAGTGGCCATCTAACCTCATGGACATTACAAGTTTCATAGAGAAAGAGGGCTATAAAACCCTAAAGTTGGAAAGGACCCCCAAAGGCCATCCAGTCCAATCATCTTCTGCCAGGATGGATGACACAATTAAAGGCCTCCTGAGAGATGGCCATCCAGACATTAGAAGATGCATGGAGAAATAAGGCAATGGAATAATAGAATCCTAGAGTCAGGAGAGACCCCCAAAGGCCATCTAGCCCAACCCCTTTCTACCCGCCATCGCTCAGGCCATTCACTGCAATGCAAACACCAATTTTCTTCCTTCCTTCCACCATTGTCCCTCCGCATTTGTGGTTTTGGCATTTGCAGAATGGATTACAAATGTTCTCTACTCTGCAGAATGAATGCAGTTTGACACCACTTTAACTGCCAGGGCTCAGTGCTATTGAATCTTGGGATCTGTAGTTTTGCAAGATGCTTGCCCTTCTCAGGTTGCTTTGAGTCTCATTCAGGACAGATAAAGTGGGGTATCAATAAACATTATTATTATTATTATTATTATTCTCTGTCCAAGTGTTCTGGGGCCTCCCCAAACTATGTCTCCCAGGTCTCCATTGCATTGAGCCATGCAAGTGGTCTGAAGCTGCATTAATTCAGCGGCGTAGATACACCCCTCAAGTCCCTATATCAGGATTCAGGCAGGAAATAAATAAAGCGGATAAAGGGTTTAAATAAAGCACGCATCTTCACAATCTTCAGCAGGAGAGATCATATGATTGCAAGGCATGCATTTGTTATGGTGCTACAAGGAAGCTTGAATTTATGGAAAGAATCCATGCAAAGACTACTGTCGCCCATGAAGACTGATTTAATTTTTTCCATCAAGGCACGTTTAATATATTTGAGATCAAGGAACCAAGGAAAATTCTGTTTCCTGTACAAAACAACCACATTGCAGATGCTGCACACAAAGAGCCCCCAAATTGCAAACAGGCTGCAAAAATGGTGCATTTTCCCAACGCTTTCTTGCAGCAGGAAGGAAACACTCAAAGTGACTCATTGTTTCCTTTGGGAAGCAACGTAATAAGGAACTGCATCTGTATTGGAAACGGGACCCAAAAGTGGTGTTTGCACGAATGAACATTCGGACAGCGACAGCTGTTTCCAAAATCCAAGCGGAGCCAAGAGGAACATTCTTGCCTTTTCTGCCTCCCGGCTGCGGAAGGAATGCAGCTTTTGCAAAAGCAAGGAGCCCCTTGAAAAGTCAAACCTCTCCTCCTTGTTCCTTGCAAAGATTGTTCTAAATCAAACCAGTATTGCACAACATTGATTTGGCTCATTTTTCCCCTTTATAAAAGAAGGTTGGGGACCAGAGGAAATAATAAGTTGCGCATATATTTGCAGTGCAATGAAACTTACTGCTTCTTTCCCTTTTCACAAATATATAGATGTAGATGTCGATGTATTTGTCATGCAAAGCAACTTATTATTTTCTTCCCTTTTCACATACATATGTATATGTACATGTGTGTGTGTGTATCATGCAATGCAACTTATTTCCTTCCCCTTCTGCATATATAGATATAGATATTTGCCATGCTATCTATCTATCTATCTATCTATCTATCTATCTACACACACACACATACATACACACACATGCTAGCTTAGGTACCCAGCATTGCCTGGATTATTTGAAAAAGTCGATTTTTTACTTGTCCAAAATGCATAAGGTTGTGGGTGAACTACAACTCACATCATACCAGATTAACCTGGAAAACTCCAACAATTTTGGGTAAGTTTGCTCTAGATGTATCATCGGTGGATTCGGTGTGCTCTTTGGTTGTATGGTTAACTATAACTCCCACTATGGTGAGTCAGTCCCTCAAACCCCTCCAGTAGGTTGAGTTAGTCATGGAGGTTCTGTGTGCCAAGTTTGGTCCAGGTCTATCATCGGTGGAGGTCACAGTTTCTCTGGTTGTGGGTAAACTACAACTCCCAGAAAGGAAGGTCAGTACCCCCCCCCCCCCAAGCTCCTCCAGTAATCAAATTACAGCATATCAGGCATGTATGCCAAGTTTGGTCCAGATCCATCAGTGTTTGGGTTCACAGTGCTCTCTGGATGTAGGGGAACTATAACTCCCCCAAATCAAGGTGAATTTCCCCCCAAGACTTCCAATATTTTTGGGTAGTCATGTGGGTTCTGTGTGCCAAATTAGTTCCAGGTCCATCGTTGGTGGAGTTCAGAGTGCCTTTAGATTACAGGCGAACTATACATCCCAGTACTTACAAGTCCTATAAATCATGGTGAATTCTCCCCAAACTTCTCTAGTATGTTCAGTTGCTGATTAATCCCTATGTTTGCTGTGTGGCATAGTAAGAATAGGAAAGGGTTAAGGGAGAGGCAGTGGGCATGGTCATGCAAATTCCACACCAATGGAGAGAGTAATAAACACTGGGATGCCTGTGGTGAAGGAAACACATAAAATCTAGGATGAAATGGTCCCTGTATGAAAGACTTCACTTGGGTGGTGGGCAGTATGGTGTTTGTGGAGGACATTGGCAGGACTGTCGAAGGCTTTCATGGCCGGAATCACTAGGTTCTTGTGGGTTTTTTCGGGCTATAGGGCCATGTTCTAGAGGCATTTCTTCTCTAGAACATGGCCCTATAGCCCAAAAAAACCTACAAGAACCTATTGACAGGACTCTTGGACATGTTTATGGTGCTCACTATAACCTGCAATGTCATTGGAGGGAGGGACATTGGTGTCTCCTGAGTAGTGGGAATTATAGCTATTCATGGAAGGTTGAGCCTGTCTGTGAAGGGGACACCACAGCCACACACATGCATACATAATTTCACTGTTATTATACATATAGATGTATATGTATTTGTAAATCTGTGTGTGTATGTATATATATTTACCATGCAATGCAACTTATTCTTTCCTTCCCATTTTGCATATATGGCAGGAAATCATACATAGATACACACATACATATACACATTTCATTCCCTTTCCACATACATATGCATACATATATATTCAGTGCAATCAAACACACACACCAACATAGTAAAAATAATCATAATAATACTACAACTTATTTACCTCCATATATTTACACACAAATTCTTTTTTTCTGTTTCTCATTTGAATGCAATTAAGCTCTTAAAATATTTCATCATGACTGGGTTTGGGAAAAAGAGAGTGGGCTGGCAATTGGCCCTCTTTCTCTGTGTATTTGAACAGGAATATGTTTGCCTTCGCTTCAAAATCTCCGCCTTTCCCTCTGCTTTTTATCTAGGCTGTCCTTCGAAGGGCTCTCCAAAGCATAAAATAATACAAAGGCCCTGACTACCCCAAAGGGAGGAAAGAAGGCGGGAGGCGGAAGACGTTTGCACCATTTGCAGATTGTTTTGGAAACGGGACAGGCAAAAAGACCCAGATGTTGCAAAGGGAAAGAAAGAACAGATGCAAAGGAAAATCTCCTGGAATAGAAGGAGTAGAAAAGGAGCAAGAGAAGCTCAAGAAAAAGGGCAAGAAGAGAGTTTTCTTGCAAGGTTTGTCAAGAAAGAGGCTGAGAGAGTGTGATTTGACCAAAGACAAGCAATTATTCAAACACAGATGAAAAATAATACATTACTTACTGGCTGATGGAAAGCAAGATGAAAGCCATCTTGGGAAACTATAGTTCCCAGGATCGCATAGCAATGATCCCTGGCAGTTGAAGTGGTGACAAACTGCATTCATTCTACAGCGTAGATGCTCATAGATGAAGGCAGATGCAGCACCTTGGAGAGCTCCCTTAAAGTATGGAGCAAAACTCATAATAATAAAGGCAGGAAAGAGAGGGGGTGCATCTATATTGCAGGATTAATTGCAGTTTGATACCACTTTAATAACTGTGGCTCAATGCATTGGAATCCTGGGAGTTGCAGTTTCCACTCTTGGGCAGAGAGGGCTCAAGACCTTGAAAAACTACCCCGGGATTCCATTGCACTGAGCCTTGACAATCAAAGTGGTTTCAAACTGCACTCATTCTCCAGTGCAGAAAGATCCACAGACAGAAGGATCAAAGAGGATTTTCTGAGCAAGAAGAGAAATGGACAGATCTCAGAAAAAGTCAAATTTTCCAGCCGAGAAGTAAGAGAGGTAAGGAAAATGCAAAGCAGATTAGCAAGAGAAGGGGAAAAGACGAGAGAGAGACTGCTGGAATCAAGAAAAGGCCAAAGATGGAGGAAGACACAAAGAATCCAGGCGGGCACAGATGAATCAATGCAGGTCTATTATTTGTAATATCGGGAAATGAACCAGCCTTAAAAGAGAGCAACATTTGGGTTGAGAAGGCAATGCCGCTGGGTTTGTATTCAATTTCAAATGCATTTCTTTATTTTTACCTCCGTCTCCTTCTCAGGACTTTGGCAATCGCTGTGGGATGAAGACAAGGATCCTCCATTCAGCTGCGAAGGAAGGATGGGAAAGGGATGGATGTTTATTGCAAAAGTGCTGTTTTCAGATGATCCAAAAGGATGGAGGCAAACACAGCTTGGCTGGACAGTGATTGATCTATCTATATCGCTTCTATCTATCTATCCATTAATCCTTCATTTATCCATTCATCTATCCATCCATTTAACCATTCATTCATTCATCTATCCATTCACCCATCTATCCATTCACCCATCTATCCATCTCTTCCATCATTCACCCATTAATCTATCCATCCATACATCTATCCACCCATCCATTAATTTATCTATTCATCCATTCTTCTATCCATCCATCCATCTATCTATCCATCCAGCCATGTATCCATCCATCCATCCATCCAGCTTTCATTTATCCATCCATCCATCCAGCCTTCGTTTATCCATCCATCCATCCATTTATCTATCCCTGCATCCATCTATCCATTCATCCATCTCTTCCATCATTTATCCATCCATCCATCCATCCATCCATCTATCTATCTAACCAGCCATGTATCCATCCATTCAGCCTTAATTCATCCATCCATCCATTTATCTATCGTTGTATCCATCTATCCATCCATCCATCCATCCATCCATTCATACAATAATTTATCTATCTATCAATCTATTCATCCATCCATCCATCCATCCATGTCTTTATCCATCTATACATACATCAATCTATCCATCCATTTTTCCATTCATCCATCTATCCATCCTATCAATTCATCCATTCATCTATCTATCAATCACTTGCCTCAAATGCACTTAAGAAGTCCAGGAAAGTTTGATATTCTTTCAACGGAAAAGGGTGGAGAAATTGCCAATACAATTGCCATATCTGCAGGGAATATGTTTCCAAACTTTGCATGGATATGCAAAGACGTAGATAATAGTAAAGTCTGCTTTGGAAAGATGCAAGAGTTGAGGGCCAAAAGATTAGAACTGGTGGCCACATTTCACCCCCTAGTGTTTAAGCGAATGGTCTCAAAGCCTGCAGAGATACATTTGAAAACATGGGGACATCCCTCGCCATGTGGGATAGATGAAGTGGAACCTCCAGTAGTCTGGGCCTCTCTGATATATTCTGAAACTATATCTTTAAAATGCATGCCTTGGTGCATAATCTTGGCACACTGTCCCATCTGAGAGATTGTTCGATGCTCACCTGCGTTTGGGCAGATCCGTTGCTCACCGGCAAGGCAACGCCACCTGAAAACAAAGCACAAGGTCAGAAAGGAATCTGGACAATGCAGAGAAAGGGTGCATCTGCACTGCAGAGTGAATGCAGTTTGAGAGCACTTTAACCACCAGAGATTCCTGTTCAAGCTGTCCAGAAGCACAATTTGCACGGAGGTTCCAAAAGAGAATATTTCTCTAGGAATCTCTAGTGCTCTGTTGCCATTTTATGGGGGTAAAACAAAGGAAACAAATGCACAAGACTGCAGGCAATCCAGTAATAAAATAAAATAAAAAGAGCAGCATCTCAACCTTGGTTTTCTGTTCTCCTGAATAAGAAACCAAAGTGAAAGATACAAAAAGGTACTCATTTCATTTTTCTTATGTCTAGGGATGATGGGACCTGCAGTCTGTCTATATCTCAAACCTGGTGGCTCTTGACCTCCATTGCTCTGAATGGGAGCTCAAGGTGACAAATACAAAAAGCCACTCATTTATACTCCTTATGACTGGGGATGATGGGACCCGCAGTCTGACTATATCTGAAACCCGGTGGCTCTTGATCTCCATTGCTCTGAATGGGAGCTCAAGGTGACAAATACAAAAAGACACTCATTTATACTGTTTATGACAGGATGATGGGACCTGCAGTCTGACTATTTCTCAACCCCGGTGGCTCTTGATCTCCATTGCTCTGAATGGGAGCTCAAGGTAACAAATACAAAAAGCCACTCATCCATACTCCTTATGACTGGGGATGATGGGACCTGCAGTCCACCCTGATGGCACCTAATCCCCATTGCCCTGAATGGGAGCCCAAGGTGACAAATACAAAAAGGCACTAATTTCATACTCCTTATTCCTGGGGATGATGAGACCTGCAGTCCAACCTATATGAACAATTGTGGAGGATCTTTTGAGCTGTATGGCCATGTTCCAGCAGCATTCTCTCCTGAAGTTTCACCTGCATCTATGGCTGGCATCTTCAGAGGTCTGTTGGAGGTGAGGCAATTGGAGTATATATATATCTGTGGAATAATGTCCAGAGTGGGAGAAAGAACCCTTGTCTGTATGAAACAAGACCAAGAAGAAGCCACGAGAGTAAAGACAAAGATCCACCCAGAGGAAAAGTGTTCTTACCATACATCAAGGGAACCACTGACCGCATAGGGAAGCTGATGAAGAAACACAACCTACAAACAATCTACAAACCCACCAAGAAAATCCAACCAATGCTACATTCAGCAAAGGATAAAAGGGATCCTCTAACCACTGCAGGAGTCTACTGTATACAATGCAGCTGTGGACAAGTCTACATAGGGACCCCCAAATGCAGCAATGCCCAGGCACACAAAAGGCACTGCAAACTAATTCAACCAGAGAAGTCATAGAAACATTGAGTTGGAAGAGACCTCATGGGCCATCCGGTCCAGCCCCCTGCCAAGAAGCAGGAAAATCACATTAAAAGCACACCTAACAGATGACCATCCAGCCTCTGATAGAATCACAGAATCACAGAGTTGGAAGAGACCTCGTGGGCCAAGTCAGACATAGCAGAGCACTTAATGAACCAAACTAGACGCAGAATATTATTTGAGAACACAGAAATGCTGGGCTACTCTGACAACCACCATGTCGGACTACACAGAGAAGCCACTGAAATCCACAAGAAACACATGCCCCAAGGCAACAAAGGCCAGGCTACCTCTATGCAGATACCCTCACTGATTGACTTTGCAGCTGCAAGGCTATTTGAATACTAATTCAAGCTTGCTAACTGCAACATTCACACTTGCTTCAAACAGGCAAGGGTTTTTCTCCTACCCTGGACATTCTACAGATATATATACACGATATATATACAATCCACTTTATTCACTGAAGATGCCAGCCACAGGTGGAGGAGAAACGTTATGAGATAATGCTGCTGGAACATGGCCATACAGCCCTAAAAACTCAAAGCAACCCAGTGATTCTGGCCATGAAAGTTTTCGACAACACAGTTGTGGAGGTGCTCACCGCGGGCGTGTTCCTCCGTTGGGACCAGGCCCAGTGCCTTGAAATGCTCCTCTGTCTCCGGATCCACAACCAAAAGTCGGGCCTCACCGTCCTTGGACTTGATGTGTGATACCACCTCCGCATGCTTCAGGCCCTCCACGTTGATCCCGTTGACCTGTGGAAGGGAGAGGTGTCCACACAGTACAGTTATCACACTTTGGTACCACTTAACAGAGCCAATAGGGAATAAGGGTTGAGACGCCGGGTTCGAATTGCCATTGCTTGAGTCCCTATATCCCAGGCATGGGCAAACTTCGGCCCTCCAGGGCTGAAGTTTGCCCATGCCTTCCCTACATGATATATATACAGTATCAACAATAATATATATACAGTATCAACAATAATACAGTATCAACAATGCCATGCTCTTCTCTTGCTCTGCATGGATGTGCGTGCAGAGCTAGATGGAGATATATATATATATAGCAAATCTGTTTGGTTTGTCCTTGCAAACAAAGAAGTCCACAGAGTCCGGGGCCTGACTCTGCCGTGATCCGGCTATTTTCAAGGGGGACAAAGGGAGAATTTACGAGATGGAGCCAGCCCTGGCAGACAATCGCCTCCCTTTTGTCGGCCGGATAATGAAGAGGGGAGGATGGCTCCGTGGGTCTCCAGACCGGCACCAAAGATCAGCCCATGGATGCCTTTGGATGCACGCCTGTCTTTCTTTCCAGACTGTCTTTTTTCCCCAAAGGGACTCACGAGCCCTCCTCCAGAATGTCCCCATCGTTTGTGTGCCTTTGGAGATTCATATTAGGAAGCCAGTGGAGCCTAGAGATCTGAGTTGGAATTTCATGTCAATTTTTTTTAGCCAGGGAGTCCTTAAAGACTGGATGGATGGAGAGAGTGATAGATTGAATAGATGATAAACAGACAGACAGACAGATAGATCGATCAGTAAATATCTTAGATTGATAGACAAGTAGGTAAGCAAGCAGCTTGCATAGATGATAGGTAAGTAAATATGTAGCATCCATAGACAGAGCATCAATAGATAGACAGGAGAGAGAGAGAGATTGGTTGGGAGGGAGGTAGCTTTGATAGATAGTGATGATAATGATAGATAGATAGATAGATAGATAGATAGATAGATAGATAGATAGGAAGATAAGTACATATCTTTGATAGACAGACAAGTATAGCACCCTTAGACAGATAGAATCCATACATAGACAAGAGACAGACAGATAAACAGATTAGTAGGGAGTAAAGTAGCTTTGATACTTGGTAATTATAATGATAGACAGGTAGATTACAGATATCTTGAATAGTAGATTGATTGATACAGAAGAAAAGAAGTAGATAGCTTGGATCAACAAGCAGGTAAGTAGCTTAGATAGACAGATCAATAGATTGATGGAATCCATAGACAGCATCCATAGACGAGAGAGAGGATAGAAGAGAGGGAGGGAGGGAGTTTTGATAAATTGTGATGATAACGATTAGATGGATAGATATCTTGAATAGCAGAGAGATAGATAGCCAAGAAAATAAGAAGATAGCTTGGATAGACAGACAAGCAAGTAAGTAGCTCGGATAGATAGATAGAATCCATAGACAGATAGGTAGGTAGGTAGATAGAATAGAAGGGAGGAAGGGAGGTAGCTTTGATAAACGGTTATGATAAAGATAGATAGATAGATAGATAGATAGATAGATAGATAGATAGATAGATAGATATCTTGAATAGTAGATAGAAAGTGAAGAAGATAAGTAGATAGCTTGGATAGACAGAAAAGCAAGTAAGTAGCTTGGATAGACAGACAGACAAATAGATAGAGAGATGATAGATTAGTAGGGAGGGAGGTAACTGATTGATGGTGATGATAATGATCGATAGATAGATAGATAGATAGATAGATAGATAGATAGATAGATAGATGGATAGATACAGATTGCACCTCCTCCTACCAGCCCACATGGAGAGACCCTTCTCTCGGTCCCACCACCAACACAAGTAAGGTTGGTGGGAATGAAAGAGGGCCTTTTCAGTGGTGGCCCCTTGGCTCTGGAACTCCCTCCCCAAAGAGGTACGCTCAGCCCGCTCTTTATTGGCCTTCCACTCCCAGGTGAAAACCTTTTTATGGAAGCAGGCCTTCCCAGACAACACATAAAGAGTAGCTATCTCAGCCAGACAAGACTCACATGGCCAAAGACTTGGAACTGTGAGTCAGTAAATTGAATGTTTCAACTTGTTAGGACAACCTCAATGACTTGAGGCATGCTTATTTATATTTATGTAACTTGTGTTTTATGTAATGTGTGAATTTATGGTTTATATATTGGTTGGGTGGATTGATGGTTTTTTGTATTATGTAGTTGTCTTTTTATTTTTGTACATCGCTTTGAGTCCCATTTGTGGGAGAAAAGCAGGAGAAAAGTAAGAAGATAGATAGATAGATAGATAGAGAAGAAGATAAATTGATAGCTTAGATAGACAGACAAGCAGGTAAGTAGCTTGGATAGAGAGAGACAGAGAGAAAGATGATGATGATGATGATGATGATGATGATGATGATGATGATGATAGATAGGTTGGAATCCCCTAGATAGATAGATAGATAGATAGATAGATAGATAGATAGATAGATAGATAGATAGATGGACGGACGGACAGATGGATTGATAGATTATAGAAAGATTAGCAGGGAGGGAGGTTGCTTTGATAGATGGTGACAATGATAGATAGATATCTTCAATAGTAAATAGATAGATAGATAGATAAGTAGATAGCTTGGATAAACAGAAGCAGATAACTAGCTTGGATAGAGAGGGGGAGGAAGAAAAGTGGATAGCTGGGAAAGATAGAAGCAGTTAAGCAGCTTGGAGGGAGGGAGAGAGAGGGGGGAGAGGGGATAGATAGATAGATAGATAGATAGATAGATGGATGGATGGATGGATGGATGGATTTGAATCCCTAAGATAGAGATAGATGATAGATAGATAGATAGATTAGATAGATTAGACAGACTGACTGACTGACTGATAGATGATAGATTAGCAGGGAGGGAGGTAGCTTTGTTAGATGATGACAATTACATAGATATCTTCAATAGTAGATAGATAAATAAATAGATAGAGAAGAAGATAAGTAGATAGCTTGGATAAACAGAAGCAGATAACTAGCTTGGAGAGACAGAGAGAAGTGGATAGCTTGGAAAGATAGAAGCAGGTAAGCAGCTTGGCGAGAGAGAGAGAGACAGACAGACAGACAGCCAGCCAGCATTCTTAGATAGCATCCATAGATGATGGATGATCAGTGGGTAAGAAAGATAGGTAAAAGATAGATGTGCAGGTAGTCCACACTGATTGACAGGTAGGTAGGTAGGTAGGTAGGTAGGTAGGTAGGTAGGTACATAGACAGACACAGTTAAATAAGAAGGTGAACAAAGCGAAAGCATGGCCAGAGGTTCAGCAACCTGAAACCTTTGGCTCTTGGAATGGCCTCTGTTTCCTAGCAACGGACAGAAGGATGGACGCTTGGTGTCTGGAGGCTGGGTTCTTGCCTATTCCTCCTTTTTGCCTTCAAGCCTTCCCTGGGGAGGTCCATCTGGATCCAAGCCAAGACCTTTCGGCTGAGCGCTTTCACACTCCTGGATCCATCTCTCTATCTATTGATGTTCAATTGAGCATCAAAGATTTATGCCAGGCTCCCGGATCAGGTTTCCGAATTGCACCCGACGAGCCAGGAACTGTGCCAGGGCTTGCCGGATTAATAATAAATAATACGCTCGGATGCGCAGCCCCGTTGCACGGCTGGACTCAAGGTCCCCGTAAAGGGAGGAAGAGAAGCGGAGGGCACACATTGTGTTGCAACAGAAAAGGCAACAGGAGGCAACGATGGCCGCCCCTTTTGTGTGCCCTTTGTCTCCGAAACAATGGCAACAGCGGCAGGAACCTCCCATTATAGCACAATGCATGCATCTGCAGGATACACACAATCTTGGATAATAGCGAACTCTATTGAAATGAAGGCTTTCTGACCCAAAAATAGCATGGAGTTGCATTGGATGATCTAGAAAATGCTTAGAGAAGACATATATTGTCAGAGATGGATAAATAACACTGTGGATAATAGCACTATTGAAATGAAGGGCATCTATTGGTATTTGCTGGGGATTGCTTCCAAGACTCTTTTGGAAACCCATGCTTTCAAATGACATGGTAAAATAGTTGTATTGGTTTTATTGATTTTATTGATTTTATTGATATAATGCATGAACTAGTGTGAATTGTGAATTGATGTAATTTTGTGTCATGATTGTTCTGTGCTGCAGGCATCGAATTGTGCCTTTGCTTCTGTAAGCCGCCCTGAGTCCCCTTCGGGGTGAGAAGGGCAGGGTAAAAGAACCCCAAATAAAATAAATAAATAAATAAATAGTATCAATCATATAAAACAATAACATGTACTTTTTGGAAATGGAGGGCAATATTCGCAAACTACAGATGATGGAATCAATGGATACAGAATCCGAGGATACAGAGGGCAGTATCTGTGGATACAAAGGGCTGAGCATAACTTTTGGGGATCTCCTTTGCCTCTGTTCTCTGCAGAAGGGGCTGCTGAAACAGAATTATGGGGTTACCTCCACCAGTTTGTCCTGTGGCCGGAGTCCCGCCTTGAACGCCGGTGAGTCCGGATCCACCGACCGGATGAACTGCCCAGGCCTGGACTTCTCGCTGTGGAGGTTGAACCCGTAGCCATTGGGGCCCTTCCGGAGGAGGCAGAGCCGGGGACACAGGGCCTCCTTGGCTGCTCCATTCAGATCCTGAAGATCCCCAAAAAAAACACAGGAGAAGATAGGCATTGACACTTGACCAAAAGCTTAAATATCCTAACGGAGAAATATCCCGTCCCGTCTTCGAAGCTAAGCAGAGTCAGTCCTGGCTAGGGTTTGGATGAGAGACCATTGGTAATATTTCAGATTGAGGAACAGGCAAAAATCCACCTCTAAGTATTCCTTGCCTAAGAAAACCCAATGAAAAGGTGTGGGGTCGCCACAAGTCAACATGAAGGCACATACACATATATTGTATAAATACCCTAAAAGTACCAAATCGCATTTGATCTTGGAAGTTAAGCAGGTCAGCTGTGGTTGGGATTTGGGTAGGAGACCAACAAAGATCAGGTGTGACCGGGTGCGCTTAAAAGGAACTTGCAAAGCCACCTCTGAATATTCCTGGCTGGGGTATGCCCAATATACCATAAGTCAACCTGAAGGCCGAGCTCTGAGGATTACCTGGGAAAGAATCCCACTGGAGCATTGCAGCACACCTAAAAACCTGGGAGTTACCCTGGACCGTTCTCTCACCTACAAGAAGCACTGCCTGAATACCAAGCAAAACGTGGACACAATAAACAATATCATACGAAAGCTGACTGGAACAACCTGGGGATCACAACCAGATACAGTGAAGATATCTGCCCTTGCACTTTGCTGCTGAGTACGCATGCCCAGTGTGGAACACATCTCACCACGCTAAAACAGTGGATGTGGCTCTTAATGAGACATGCTGCACTATCACAGACTGTCTGCACCCTACACCACTGGAGAAATTACACTGTCTAGCCGGTATTGCACCACTTGACATCCACCGTGAAGTAGCAGCAATAATGAAAGAACCAAGGCAGTGACATCTCCGGCCCATCTCCTGTTCAGATATCAGCCACCTCGCCATGCCTTAAATCAAGAAATAGTTTTCTAAGATCTACAGAGATACTCGCAGGAACACCTCAGCAAGCGAGAGTCCAAAAGTGGCAGGCTCAAACCTAGCACCTTAATTAATGGCTGATACCAAATGAGGGACTCCCCCGGGCTCACAGAAGACTGGGCAACTTGGAAGGTGCAGAACTGACTGTGCTCTAGCACCATGAGATGCAGAGCAAACCTTAAGAAATGGGACTACAAAAGTCCACGACATGCGAGTGTGGAGAAGAGCAAACCACAGATCACTTATTACAATGCAGTCTGAGTCCTGCCATATGCACAATGGAGGACCTTCTTACAGCGACACCAGAGGCACTCCAAGTGGCCAGCTACTGGTAAAAGGACATTTAATAGAATGCCAAGTTTTTAAACTTTGTGTTTTCTCAAATACATTGGTTCGTTCCTGATACAATAAATAAATAAATAACTTGAAGGCACTGATATCCAATCATCCTTCCTTCCAAACTACCTAAACATCTGCCTACATATCTGTCTATCATATCTATCTATCTATCTATCTATCTATCTATCTATCTATCCATCTATCTATCTCACCATCTATTCAGCCCCCGGTGGTGTAGTGAGTTAAAGCCCTGTGCCAGCAGGACTGAAGACCAACAGGTCGCAGGTTCGAATCCGGGGAGAGGCGGATGAGCTCCCTCTATCAGCTCCAGCTCCTCATGCGGGGACATGAGAGAAATCTTCCACAAGGATGATAAAACAGCAAATCATCCAGGTGTCCCCTGGGCAACGTCCTTACAGACGGCCAATTCTCTCACAACAGGAGCAACTTACAGTTTCTCAGGTCGCTCCTGACACAACAAAAAACAAACAAACAAAAAACCATCTATTTAATTTATCATCATAAGCTATCCAAGCTCTGTATCATTACCATCCATCTATCTAACTGTTATCATCATCATCATCATCATCATCATCATCATCATCATCATCATCATCATCTATCAAAGCTATCTACCTACCTACATATCTTTCTGTCTTTCTATCTGTCACCACCATCATCTAGCAAACTATCTATCTATCTATCTATCTATCTATCTATCTATCTATCTATCTAACAATCTATCATCTATCCAATTTATCATCATAATCTATCCAAGCTATCTATCATTAACATCATCTATCGTATCTATTTTCTATCAGTCATCTATAAAAGCTATCTATCTACGTACCTACTTATCTATCTATCTGTCTGTCTATCATCACCATCATCTATCCAAATGACACTTCCCTCCTTCCTTCCTTCTTTCCTTTCTTTCTCTTTCTCAAGTGCTACTAAAACTTTCAGAGATGGGGGAAAGAGGTCTTTTTGCACTCTCACCCCCCAGATTCCCTTAGAATTGGGGATGATGGGAGCAGCAGTCCTAAAAGAAGAGTCTTCCCTAAGTCTAGAAGGAGTGCCAAGGAATCCCAAGGCTCTGTTTCGGAGGAAAGAATGGGCAAAACGTTTCTGAGCATTCCTTGCCTTGTAAAAAATGCCCGCAAAATTCATGGGGTTGCCTTAAGTCGACATACATCCATTGTAATGTTTTCTGTGTTTTGGTTTCTGGCACTCTCTCTCTTTCTAATAATATTAAGTATCACAATAAGAACAAATACAACCCAGAAATAGCTTTGAATGGAGGACTCTCCCACCCATTTCCAGGGCCAAACAGAGGCTAAGATATAAATACTCTCAATTAGAGGAAACACATTTGATAAAACTCCTCCCAGTTTGTTTCTATTCTTCCACTTAATTCTCATCTTGAATATTCTGCAAGGCTGGAAGGCATTTGAACTCTGATCCCTAGATTTGTGGGGCATTTGAATGCAAAATCATGGATTGAAGCATTCCTGAATCTCCTCTCCAAATCAGAACTGGGTGCAGGTCTATTAACCGCTGCTTATCCCAAAATCTAGGACCAAATTATTTCCATTCAGAACATGGAAAGTTACTTTTTGGAAGTTGTTTGATGGTCATGTTAAGCAAATGAGCGGCCAATGCAACAAGCAAAGGAATACTTAGCCAATCAAGCACTTGAAAGACTAATCAACCAGGTACACAAATCAGTATCCAGTTACCCAAACAAGGAAACACTTAAGCAATCAATCAATAAAACAACTAATCAACCAACTAATCAATTAGGTAATCAAATGAACTGTTAACAAACCAAACAAAGAACCACTTAATCACCGAAATTACTAACCAACCAACCAGGTAACCCAATGAGCTGCCAAACAAGGAAACACTTAACTGATTAACTATATAAATGACTAACAAAGCAACTAGGTAACCTAATGAGCTCCCAGCTAGGCAAACAAGGAAACACTTAACCGCCTCAATGACCAACCAAACAAATAAACAAATGAGTTGCTAATTAATCAAACAAGGAACCAATTAACCACCAAAAATGGCAAATGAACCAACCTGGTAACTCAATATGATGTTAATTAACCAAACAAGGAAGCACTTAACTAATTGACCACCTCAATGACTTAATGAATCGACAGCATAACCTAATGAACTGCTAACTAAACAAACGAGGAACCACTTAATCCCTCAATGACTAACCAACCATCCAGGTAACTAAGCACAATGCCAACTAACCAAGCAAGGAACCACTTCACCAATCAACCATCTCAATGATGATCCAACCAACCAACTAGGTAACCAAATGAGCTTCCACCCACCCAAACAAGGAACCACTTCACCAATCAACACTCTCAACAGCTGATTGATCAACCAACCAGGTAAATAAATGAACTGGCAACGCATACGGCTTGACCTGACTTGAACTGCTGTGGCTCAATGCTATGGATTCCTGGGAATTGTAGTTTGGTGAAGCACCTGCGCCCTTTGACAGAGAAGGCTACAGATCTTGTCAAACAACAGCTCCCAGGATCCCATAGCATTGATCCAGGACTACATTAGGTCTGCAATATAGATGTAGAGATAGGAAGGGCTTGGCTGCCATTGAAAGCAGGCCAGTGAATGTTGTCCAAAGTCTTTTCTGCCTCTTCCCTGTCCCTGATCTCTCCTATTAATCATATCTGAGAAGCTGTTCCAAAGATGTCTGGACGGGGAGCGCTGCCAAGGCTCTCTTGAGTAGAGCGATGGGGTTCACAGGCAATCATTTCATTTCATTTGGGAGAGATGGACCAGACGGGTGCCCACTCGCTTCACAGCCCATGCTGGAGGCAAGCCCAGGGAGGGAAAGCAGCCAGGCCAGTTTGGAGGCCCTGGCGGCATCTGCACTGCGGAATGGATGCAGCTTGACGCTGCTTTAGCTGCCACAGCTAAATGACAACGGGATCCTGGGAGTTGTAGTTTGGCAAAACACCTTCACTCTTGGGCAGAGAGGGCACAAGTGAAACTTCGCTTCCTGGGAGTCCATAGCCTTTAGCGATGGGAGTTCAACTGGTGCTAAGTTGCATTCTTTGTGTAGTGTAGATCCCCAAATTGAGGCCTACAGACTGTATGCAGCAACTCAAAGTCATTTACAAGGCCCATCGCTCTAATCTTTAGTTGGCCACCAACACCATTTGCACTTTGCCACTACCACCACCCTCTTCTTGCTCCTTAACTCTCCTTTCTGTTTCTTTCTCTTCCTTTATGGATTATTATTATTATTATTATTATTATTATGTATAGTTATACCTCATTTTTTCTCTCCACAAAGAGACTCCTCTCTACCATCTTCTTGCTTCTTCAATATCCTTTCCTTTCTTTTCCTCTCTCTATTTTACCCCAAAATGGGGGGGGGGGATCCATTCCACCCCATTCTTGCTCCCACCAAAACAGAGAAAGGAAGGAGGCGAGAAAGAAAGAAAAAGTAAGAAAGAAAAGGAGGTAGGAAAAAGAAAGGGAAGGAGAAAACAAAGAAAGGAAGGTAGGAAACAGAAAGGGAAGAGAGGAAAGGGAGGGAGGAAATAGAGGGAAGGAGGGAAGAATGGTAGGAAACAGAGAGAAGAGAAGGAAGTAAGGAAGACAGAAGGAGAAGTAGCAGACAAAGGGGAGGAAGAGAAGAAAGGAAGAAAGAAAGGGAAGTAAGAAATAAAAA